ATATTAAAGATAATTTAATGCCTTATAAAATATTATATAGATAATATAAAGCCTTTAATTATAATATTAATAGTATATAATAAAAATAAGTAAGATATTATATATAATACTAATATTCTTATAAATAAGGTTTAGCAAATACTTAATAATAAGATAATCTATCTCCTAGAATTCTTTAAGTATTACTATAAAAATCTTATAGTAAAAAAATATCTCTATATTAATATATTACAGCACTTTATTTAGGAGAGAAATAAATAAAAGCTATATTAAAAAGGCTTTTAGATAGAATAGATTTATTCTCTAATTCTTTATTAAAGTAAGGCTTACTATTTATACTATTTATTAATAATTATCTTTAACTCTTTAAATTATAAAGCTATTTATATAGTAAATAATATTATTTATTCTATCTTCTAAAAGGCTTATTATATACTTAATATTATTAATTATAAAAATAAGTAGATAAAATGCTTTAAAAATACTATTACCTTCTAGATAAGTAAGATCCTTTATATAATATTTACTATAGCTTTAGTATATATACTTTTAATATATAATTCAGCTATTATTATCTAGGAGTATTTTAATAACTTAATTAGTAATAATTTGCTAATATATATTTAGCATATATACTTTCTATTTAATCTCTCTAATAATAATTTATATAAAAATCTTATATTATAATATATCTAGCAGATTATAATATAAGCTAATAAGACTTTACTAGATTATAGATTATTTTTAATATAGTATAATTAGTTATTATAAATATTAAATACTTACTAGAAGCTATAAGAAGAGCTTATATATAATTATATTAAGCAATATAATGCTTTTAAATACTGCTTTATATTATTTAATAAAGGGTAGTATATAGCCTTTTTATATATTATTAAGGCTATTAAGGAGAATTCTATAATAATAAGATTCTTCTTATATAATCTTAGTAGTATTAATAAAATCCCTCTTTTTATTATATAATCCTAATACTAATATCTTTATTTACTATAGGTAAGATCTATTTATATAATATACTAGCTAAATACTACTATTCTTATAGCCTAATTATCCTTTATATTACCTTTATAAGGGTTATATTACTATTTCTTCCTAGTAGCTATATTACTTATAAATATTTTTAAGTCCCTATACTATATAATAAAGATTTAATCTATAATATTAAGTAAGAGATAAGTATAGCAGAGCTAATGTAGCAGATATCTCTAATTATTTAGGATAAAACTCCTATAATTAATTGCTATATCTTTAATACTATTAACTAGATATTTTATAATATTTATAATAATATACCTAGCAAAGGTTAGCTATTTAATAGAATTCTTACTATCCTTAATAGTAATTTTTAATAAATCTTACCTATTATACTTAGTAGTAATTATATAAATATTATAATAATTTATTTATAATATACTATAATTTAGTTATATTTAAAGATTATTTCTCTAATTAATAATATGCGCCTATAATCTATTTATAAGAAGAATTATTATTTAATATAGTAGCTAGCAGATCTTAATTATAATCTAACTATAACTAGCCTAATTTCTTTACTCTAATATATTTAAATAATATATAAGTTAAATATATTCTTAAAATTAGTTTACCCTATAAAGTATTTTTAGGTAATAATTAATCTAGCTATAAATCTAGCTTTATTTTAAAACTATACTATTTTAACCTTATATAATATTAATATTAATAAGTTTAATAAGATATTACTTACTTATCTGCCTAGCTAAAAAATATATCTTCTATTATTAGATAAGTATAATAATAATAATAAATTAAATAAAAAATATATTATAAAGTTTTTATAAAGCCTTTACTTTTCTTTATTATTTTTAAGTAACTTATAGTTAAAGATAAATATATTAATAATACTTATATAAAATTATAACCTATAGTATAGTATATATAATAGAACTTATCTTATTATTACTAATATCTAATACTATTATTTAGAGATTAAGATTATTATAAATAGGTTTAAAGATAATTAATATCTTTTACTATAGCTTAAGCTTCTATTTAAAAATAATAAATTCTTATTTCTTTTAACTTATATATAATTTTTAGTTAAATTAGCCTTTGCTATAATTATTAATAAAGCCTAGAATTAATTGCTTTATTATATTAGGATAGATCTGCAAATATCTATATTTAGCTATAGTTAGCTATATATTATTATATTAAGGATAATATTAGCTTAGAGACTTAGTATATTATTTAAAAAGAATAATACTGCTTAAACTATAAAGAATATTATATAGCTAGAGATATTTAAGCCCTTCTTACCTATTTAAATAGGAGATAGATATTATTAATATTTAATTTTATTAATCTATAGATAAAGGATTAAGTATACTTTCCTTTAAGTAAAAATATATATATATTATTCTTCTTTGCTAACTCCTCTAATCTTTTTAAATATTTTTTTTCTTTTTATTATTTATTTCCCTCTGCTAGAATCTTTATTATTTAGTATTATATTAATCTTTAATATATATTGTTTTTTCTCTAATATTCTAGCTATTAATACTGCGCCTAAAATTATAGCTAAATAAATAATTATATAGGTATTTACTTAGGGTCTAAAAGAATTATTACTAAGCTTAATTATTAAGCCTAATAATCTTTCTATTACTATAAAGTATTATAATTAGTTTAATCTAATCTTTTTAAATAATGCAGTTATATTCTATTAAAGATATTTATTAATAAAGATAATAGATTAAGGCTACCTTATCTTATCTATTTATACTAAATATTTTACCTTATAAAAGCCCTTCCTTCTAGCTAATATTTACTTATTGCTAACTTACTATTATATTATAAAATACTTAATAACCTAGAGTTTAATATATATAAAGACTATATACTACTAATAGTAAAGCCTTTTCTATCTTATATTATAACTATAATCTATAAGCTACTAGCTATTAATAAGTATTAGATATTATATATATAGCTAATAATATATAATTATAATAATAAGGCAGTTAATATAAATATTTTATAAAAAAATAGCTTAAAGTAATATATTATCTTTTAAATAATAATTATAATTAGCCTAAAATCTAATCTAAAGATATTTCCTACTATTAATATAGGATATATTCTCTAGGTCTCTAATAATCTAATTAATTACTTTATATTTAGGGGAAAGAAGTATCTTTATATCTATACTATAGCCCTATTATATATTCTATATAATTTATTAATTATTACATAAGTATTTATACTTAATATAATACTTTATAAATATTACTATAAGGTCTTTAATAAGGCAAATAATATATCTGCTAAGGATTAGGCTAGAGATAAGGCCTTTTAGTTAGATATAATATCTTTAACTCTAGCTTATATTATTAAGTCTATAATTATTAATATTAATTTCTCTTTTTATTTTTTCTTCTATTTCTCTTTCTACTTCTTTTTTTAATATTCTAAAATCTTTAACTCTATAAAGTCTAAGTTAAATAATAATAATATAGCTAAGTCTAATAATAAAATTTTAAATAAAGGCTTAGATTTAAAAAGCACTTAATTAAATAATATTAATAATTATTCTATAAATAAGTTTATTATAAAAAAGGTCTTTAAAAAAAAGATAAAAAAGCAGAAATAGATAAAGTATTAAAAAATAAGATTAATTAATTATTATAGCTTTAGATTCAGCAGTTTATAATTTAAATAGATATTTACTTCTAATAATTAGCTTTAGGTAATTAGGCTATATACTCTCTCTAAATATTTAGCTCTATTAGATTAATTAATAAAAGATTATCTATTAACTAGCATATTCTCTAAAGTAAGAGAAATAAAAGAAAAATAAGATAGTGCAATATTAGGGGTTAATCTAATATAGGGATTTAGCCCTATAATTACTATATAATATACTAATAATTAAGCTTACTATTATTATACTATAAATAATATATTAGCTAGAAAATATTAGGAGTATAAGGGACTCTTACTACTAATATCTATATATATTATATTTAGTCTTAAGCTAAGATTAGAAACCCTTTTTTATATTAGATTAAAATATATATATAGATTAATAATTATAATTCTTATAATAGATAAGTATAAGATAGTTATATAAAATAAGAATAGCTATAAATTATTACCTAGATAAGTTAATTTAATAAGCTGCTCTAGCTCTAGCTCTAAAATTATCTAATATTATAAAGTTTAGGGATAGGCTTTAGTTTAAGGGATTTATCTAGCAGATACTATCTAAGATTAGTATTAAATATATTAAATCTAAAAAGTTAAATCTAGGATCTATTATAATTATAATTTAAGGGATATTAAATATTATTAGTATAAGAATATTAATAGCTCTTATACTCTATATTTAGGAATAAAAAGAAGGAGACTAAGACTACTAATATTTAGGGGTTTAATTAGAAAAGAGAGACTTAGATAGGCTATAATATAAGATAGGATAAGATATTAAAGCCTCTATAATAATCAGTATTAAAGTCCTAATATATTATCCTAATTGCTAAGCTCTATATACTGAGTATTACTTTCTGTTAAGGGCGATAGCCACACAGGATGTGTGGCTAAAGACCTTGTATATAATACTTACATTACTAGCTCAGTCGACAATATTAATCCCGTGAGCACCAAACCACATGGCCTGAAGAACTCCACCAGTAGCTCTGCACTTCTCGTGACTGGTGATGATTCGAAAGAATGCAGAATGTAACTAAATTACTGTAGTTAGTCAATCGCTCGACATCCTCCCACGGTAGGATCAGGAATGCAAGGCGAATTAATACCCCGTATCGAATTACTACCCCGCACATTACTTAGGGTTCGGATCGATCTGGGATCGAGTCAAGAAAAAAAGGAATCCATAACCAGAACAGACGAAGATCCGCGATTTTTAACTACATAGTTACGAGAAAGAAATCCCATGGCCTCTCTTATTAGTGTCTTAGCATATATCCTCGGGAGATCGTTCGCCTTTTAACCCGTAGATCTTTGCGTTGGGATAAACCAAACCGGCCACAAACCCCACTTACTTAGGTAGACTAAGTACTCGCAAATGTTCGCTTTGCATCGGCTACCAATTTCCCCAATCCCTCCACTCTGCGCCGACAGAAGGCGAAGCTCATCATTCTCGAAACGGCCCTAAATGGCGTCCGCTGCAGACCCCTCGATCCCACCTAATAATGGCGGTCATCCGAATAATAACAGTAATGGCCTCTATTCGGAGAGTTCCAAGTCGCTGTCTCCTCAACCGCACCACCGTCGCGGATACCAGGCATGCGACCCTTGTCGTAAGCGCAAGGTCAAGTGCGATCTAGGAAGTACGTTTCACCGGTTCCCCAGAGATCTACGGGATATATAATGGTTTTTGAGCATTCTCATTGATGCGAGTCCAGGTGTCGATAACCCCCGTCCGCCCCCGTGTGTGCGATGTCGACGCGAGAGCAAACGATGCGAATTCTCAGCAACAAGACGGAAGCGCAAGGCTTCAGAAGGCGGCAGTGATGAGGTCGATGGTCCGCTCCGCCGCGATAAGCGGATGATGGTGGGGGAGTCATACAATGATACGCCAGGCAATGGCAATGCATCGCCCTATACGCAGGCTGCTGGTTCGACCTCGTTCGAGAATGGCAGAGCCTCGTCCAGACCGTCGTGGTCAGAATCGTCTCCGTCCGCAACGACTCAGATGGGGCGGCCAGCTCCCACGACGCAGTATGCGACCAATTCATCCGCGCCTTCGCCGCAATTCCAGGATATAAGGCTCCCGCGGCCCCCCGCATATCCTCTCAATGGCAGAGGGCAGAGTTATACGTTGGAGAGTGGGCAGCATATGATGAACAGAACGGCGGCGGAACTCCTATCACCGACTATCAGCAACAGCCATGATGCCCTCCATCTACTGTCGGAGGCCGCCGGCAGGACTGAAGATCTAAACCGTCAGAGTCTGGAAAACAGATATGCTGCCAGACAGGCGGCGGCTGCTTCCTATACATCACCGGTTTCCCCTATGGCCCAAACAGGTACCCCCCGGAGCGGTCCGCAGCCGTACTCGACGCTTCCGCGACCTGAGGCTCTGGGACGCTATTACCGAGGACAAGCTTCGGGTCCTGCGGAGCCTCATTTGGTCGATAATCGAGCACAGTCAGCCAATTCAGTCGATACGCAAGATCCTGGTTATCTTGATGCGGTCAAAGCATGGTCGCGTCTTCGATTTGTGCGAGCAGGTTGGCTCACCGTTGATGAAGCCATGGCATATGTCGCATAGTAAGTTTGATTCCTGCAGGGTTGTTTTGTGCGGAAACAGGCTGATTTACGTTTCTAGTTACTACGAACATATGGCCCCTCTGAGTCCAATTGTATTACCGGACTTCTCGCCACCCTCCACGCACCGAACGCTGCTCACGGAAGAGCCGGTGTTAGCTGTTACGATTCTTACAGCAGCTTCCCGCCATATGAAACCGAAGGGCGATGGTGCCTTCACTCGTGCCTTTTACATCCATGACCGGCTTTGGTCCTACCTGAGAGGCATGATCGAGCGGCTCTTCTGGGGTCAGGAGAAGTTTGGCGGAAACTCTGTTGGTTTTAGCAAACCAAGATCAGTCGACCTTGGACCTCTTCCCGGCAAGGTCAATTTGAAAGGACATCTGAGATCGCTGGGCACCGTCGAAGCTCTTCTCCTTTTGACTGACTGGCACCCGCGAAACCTGCATTTCCCTCCTGGAGACGACGAGAACACGCTTCTGGACATGGATGCACACGTCTCACTGACACGCTCCGACAAGGACATAGACAACGATGCTGATCAGACGTCAAATAAGAACTCAAGTGGCGGTGCCGAAGGAAGACTCGCTTTTCAGAAGTGGTTGGAGCCTGCCTGGCGATCCGACCGGATGTCCTGGATGTTGCTGAGCACGGCACAAGCTTTGGCATTCGAGCTTGGAGTATTCGACCAGAAGAATAGCTCCAATGCAAACGAGTCCCCAGCTGAACAGATGCGAAAACGTCGTGTTCGTCGTCTGATTCTTGTCTATGTGACCCAGAGCAGCGGACGCCTTGGAATCCCTTCGATGCTGCCGCTACCCCAATGGAGTCATGACATTGAACCGTCCCTTGGGGATCCAAAATCAGGGGACGTCCTGATTGACAGGATGCAAGACTGCTGGATCAGAATCTCGAAGGTCATGTACATGAGCAATCAGTTGCTATTTGCCTCTAAAGAGCAGACGTCCGAACTCATCAGGAGTGGACGGTACCGTGAACAGATCGATGAGTTCCTCCCTTCATTACGCGAGTTCCGCCGGAACCTGGACAGCATTAATTGTTAGTGGAAACCCCCTTGAGCTCGTGATCAATGTCCGTACTAACAAAAATGCCAGTGTGCCCTCAAATGCGTCATATATTGACGATCGAATATGAGTATACACGTAAGTGTCTCGTGCTTGGACCTTGCTGAGTAGTTACTAATGTAATGGTGTGAATTGCAGGCTTGTACGTGAACTGTCTGGCCCTACAAGCCGTGGTCGATCGATGGACTACCATGTCGAATGAGGCAGCTTCAGCCCAGGCTCAAAGTGAAAGACCTGGCTCTGGTCCTTCGCCGTCGGGAACCGCATCACTTCGAGTTCTCATGGAGCTGTATCGAGTCAATGAACCCTATATTCAGGAGGTTGTGGATGCTTCGCGGAAAATCCTTCAGACCGTTCTTGAGGGTCTCGTGCCCGGCGATCATCTAAAACATTGTCCTGTTCGGACATATTTTAGGATCCTGTCTGGCATGATATTCATTCTCAAGGTATTTTTGCGTCTACCCTCATGTTTTTCGTGAGTGTAGCTAACATGTTGAAGACTTTCACACTGGGTGCCACGGAAGACGATGTCCGTGTCTCATTAGAGCTCCAGGACAAGACTGTCGAGGCTCTGCGGACCTGCGTTGTCGACGATGTCCACCTGAGTCATACGATAGCCAGGTTGCTTGAATTACTTACAACTAACATTCGAACAAGATTTCTTCGGTTTGCTCCAATGGATCGCTCCGGTGAAGGTGAAACCCAGGACCGCGGTTCGGCACCGGTGTCCACACCCCAGTCACCACGTCCTCGCGACAGCACGCAAGCTCGTAGGGATGTCGCCGGTTCTCAATGGCAATCGTCTCATAGTGGAGCACAAAATCTAGGTTACTCCGTGGATGGAAGCAATAACGCTACCCCAACGGTCACCAACGGCCACGATCCTTTGGCCAATATCCCGGCTCAGCCTATCAATTCTTCCAATCTCAATGTCTCTTTCATGCCCCCTCCGCCGTCTGTGTATTACAACTATTATGACCCCAACGCTACACCGCCAAGTGCTGGTTTGGAGGACTCTAATCCACCATCTCAGGCAATCAACGAGGGTGCTACGTCCTCAGGAGCGCTTCCAGACTGGTTTGCTCTACCGCTGGACCAGTTCTTCAACAGCTCGACTGCCGGTGTTGACCAAGGTCTAGGTGGGACTGGACCTATGGTTGGCGAGTTTGATATGCTCGAGGTTCTCCTCAACGAGCAGTATGACAAGAGTGCCGAAGGTGTAGACACTGCAGGTGGAAATGGACTCCCGTCCCAATTCCTGTGATGTCACACTGTCTCGGGACTGCGAGTTCTCGTGCATCTCATAGCAATCGCGACGTCCGCTCTTGCCAGGGCGTCTTCCTGCATCATCCTCGTCACTATATCTGCTTTCTCCCGTCGACAAGCTCAGGTGTCACGGTTTGTACCTCTAGTTGGCCGCCTTTTGTGTCTGCAACTTCATTGCACGCGTTTACCCAAGTTGTGTTTCTCGTTACTGATACCTCGGGGTTTGGTATAGTGGCTCAGCCCTTTTCTCCCGTTATGTGATCTGTCTTGGATGTTAGTGGTTGCACAGCGACGCACGGCCTTTTTCTGCTTTTCAAGCCTTCTGATACTTGGTAATCTGGTTTGCCATGCACAGTTGTAGTGATAGTTCGTTGAAATATTGGATATGAGATTTGCTCCCATTGAATATTTTTGGTTATCGACAAGTTGCCTAGGCTATAGCAATGTTGCTATAGATCCACGCGCATGAGGTGATGATGTTGCTCATCTGGAATTTGCGGAGTAACAACCACACCGTAAGAGCAGCCTTGCAGGATTCCTGGTTACTTTCGGGAAGCTACAGATACTCGCGTTATGAATGGCAACGTCATTCAATCCGGCGAAGCAGTGATATTCCCGAAATAACGCAATATAGGAGGGTAACATCGTATCCTAGTCATACTTCTTATGCGCTATCTTGGCAGGGTTGGTTGATCCAATTCGAGCGGTGAGACCGATACAAGGTCGATCTTCAATCATCGCCCGGTTGTAGTTACTACTCCGTAGTACTTACCGGGTCTTGCGTCTGTTGTTTTCCGATGGAGGCTCAGTTTTGGCCCCGAAGGCTGATCCAGTCCGTCTCATCGGGCTACAGTGAACAGCATGAATAACCTAAAAAAAGAATCCCGCGGGCCATTTTTTTCTTGGCAGTATACGGAGATCTATCAGGCGCGTCTACGGTATGGCAACATGTAAGAACTGAAAGACGACTACTGCCAAGCAGCGGGGGAGAGGGGCTAGAGTGTGGCGGTCCATTCAGTTGAGAGAATCTCCTCCGAAGGATCATTTTCTAATGTTAATGTCCGCAGATGCTACGGCGGAGACTTGTTATTCCCTGGCGAGTTTCTAGAATATCTTCCTTGAGATCGCGGGAGACCGTCGGACCAGGCAAGGCTGAAACTCTGTCCAGAACAAAAGAGGCCATGCTCTTCTCAAAGGGGCAGGATGGATGAGAATCATGCTACCCTAAGCGGTCATCAAAAACGCCTAATCAGACTGTTTCGGACAGAGGCCAAAACAAGCTGTGATCTTGGTGGCTTAGTCCGGCGATCTGCCGTGTCTGCCCTGGATTTGGTCAGGGACAAAAAAAGACGAGCGGAGCATCAATAATATTATCACCGGCTCTGCATTGCAACCACGGAAAGGCACTGCTGCTGAGCATCGTGGAGCGACATGCCCGATCCAGGAGGTGATATCTAAAACCTTGTGTATCTTTATCGAAAGATGGTGACAGACAGCCAGCATCGGGTCTCACCATCGAGTTTGGCCAGTGATGGTGAACCCTTTCATTTGACGGCCTGGCCCAATCATGATCGATAGACTGACAGGTGAATATCCCCAATGGAAGTTACTTTCTTTCTTTCGAGATCGAACTTCTTTCTCCGTCTTCTCTGCAGCTGCCCGGCTGCTGATCGCCGGAGCCGCGGGTTGTCCTAGGCTTTTCCGTATTGATTATATTTTCGAACCCACACTGTGCTCTCAATGGGCACGTATCATTTGCGCGTGTGCTCGATCTGCATCTACCGTTCCTGATCCAAGCGGAATCTTATGTGCGCGATAGAAAAACTACGAGATACTATGCGGCTTGGGGCTTCGATCGGCCCGCACTCGGACTCCGAGAACGTGTGTTTCTCTCCGATGGATTTCTGTCTTTCTCTGGGGCCACCTCATCCGAGCAGCGCGGGACTCATCAACTACTGGCTGTGCACGTTGTTCGTCCATACCCCTGAGTTTTCGAGCTGGCCAGTGGCAAGGCACAGGGCGACAGTGGCCACGACGCGCGGAACGCAATGGTTTTGAGGAGATGAGGATACAGAGTCTCGATGCATAAGGATATAACCGGGGTCGCCGGTTCGCCCCGTCGTCTGGATTGTTACCTCATTATCGCCAGCATCTTCTGGCTGGCGCGTATGCCAGTTCACCGTTCAGGGTACCTTAGGGACCTATGAGTGAGCAGGCGATCTTCCCCCACACGATAATGATCGTCGCGCCATCGTCGAATCAAACCCAAGCGGTCGAGCTTGTTGGCAAAGCCCCAGAAGTCAGCCTTTGCGCTACACCATGAATAGCTGTCACTGTCTATACATCAGCGATCTTGGCGCTTACCTATCCCACCTGATTCGTTCCGCTTGTGCAGTTTCAAAACAGTTCAGTTTTGGCTTCTCTCCAATTACTCCGTCGGAAAAAACGACCGCGGCCTATCCGAGAAGATCTCTCTGGCTGTGCCTGCAGATGCCCCGCTCAGGCTGTGTTCTTAACTCAGGGTCAGGGGGGGTTGCACGATACGTCTGTTATCGATGCCACCAGGCTGGCCAGATACCGCCCTTCACACGATCCCGAGATGCATTGTAACGTCTGTCCCTCCCAGTTCCAACTGTGGGACGTTTGATCTGGGGTGAGAAGGAGGGGCGAGCAGATTTCGTGCTACTGTTCGTCGAGCAGATGTTTCTGCCGCTCTGCCTAGCATATGCGATGATCCCAAAGCGATCTTCTGCCGTTACTTGGCTTGGGCCTTCGTGATAGACCAAAGACTATAAAGGCCCAGCGTCGTCAGCTCGAAGATGTCTGGTCTCCAAGGTCTCAAGCTCAGATCTCCCAAGTTCTTGAGTATCTCTCGTTCATCGCCCCAAGAACATACAGGGAGTCTATTCACCTTTTAATAATACTACAAAAATGGTTCTTCTCAACAAGGTCACCGCTGCAGCTGCAGCTCTCGCGGCGGTCGCGTCCGCTGCTCCCACCAAGCCTGTTGGTGCTAATCCTCGTCTTGGTTTCACTATCAACCAGATCGCGAAGCCTATTACTCCCAAGACCATCAACCTGCCAGGCATCTACGCCAATGCTATCCAGAAGTACGGTGGTACTGTTCCCCACCACGTCAGGGAGGCTGCTGTCAAGGGCAGCGCTGTCACTACGCCTGAGGATAACGACCAGGCCTATCTGACTCCTGTCACCGCGGGAGCCTCCACTCTGCATCTGGATATTGACACCGGTTCCGCCGATCTGTATGTGCTCAAGTGTGCTATTCTAAGAGAATGAATGTTTGCTGACAAGTGCCTTCAGGTGGGTTTTCTCGGACGAATTGAGCTCTTCTGAGAGCTCCGGTCACTCCGTCTACAAGCCCTCTTCAAATGCTACTAAGATGAGCGGCTACTCCTGGAGCATCAGCTACGGAGACGGCAGCTCTGCCAGCGGTGATGTCTACAAGGACACCGTCACTGTTGGCGGTGTGACTGCCAACTCCCAGGCCGTCGAGGCCGCCTCGCGGGTCAGCTCCGAGTTCACCGAGGACAAGAACAGCGATGGCCTCCTGGGCTTGGCCTTCAGCTCCATCAACACTGGTAGGTCTTGGTGTTTCAAGCAGCATTGTGTCGCCAGCCGTACTGACTAATGGTGGTGCAGTCAAGCCGAGGTCTCAGAAGACATTCTTTGACACTGTCAAATCCGAATTGGACGCCCCTCTTTTCGCCGTGACTCTGAAGCACAACGCCCCCGGCAGCTACGACTTCGGCTACCTCGACAATTCCAAGTACACCGGCAAGATCACCTACACCGACGTCGACAGCTCCCAGGGTTTCTGGGGCTTTACTGCTGATGGATACGCCGTCGGTAACGGTCAAACCACCTCTGACCAGATTTCCGGCATTGCTGGTAAGTTGTTACTAAATACGCACACTTAAAAAAGTTGCCAACATTCTAATTTTGCATCAGACACCGGCACCACTCTCCTCATGCTTCCTACCGACATTGTCGATGCCTACTACCAGCAGGTCGACAGTGCCCAGAACAGCGAGCAGTACGGAGGCTATGTGTTCCCTTGCAGCACCAGCCTGCCATCTTTCACTGTCAGCATCGGCGGCTACAACGCCGTCGTCTCTGGCGACCTCATCAACTACGCTCCTGTCACTGACGGCAGCTCGACCTGCTTCGGTGGTATCCAGGACAACTCCGACATTGGTATGTCCATCTTCGGTGACATCTTCCTGAAGAGCCAGTACGTCGTCTTCAGCGCCGACGGCCCTAAGCTAGGTTTCGCCGCCCAGGCTTAAACGCCTGATTTCTTGCTAGACGGTCGGGCTCTGGCAGTGCCGAAGAAGTTTGTGGTTGGAAGCGAATTTTTTCCTATCTTTGACTGCATGGTCGGGTTTTCATTTTTTTCTTTCTTCCAAGTACATAGGACATATTTCCACCCGGTGCCAGTGGAAGATCTGGGCCGCATATGCAGAAATAGCCATGCAATATACATACATCGCGTGAAAAAATGCATTCTCCCACTGTAGGCGGATCTATTAGAGGAAGCAAATAACCACTGGGCTGCTGAAAGCCAGTTCGGAATCTTCGAATCGGGATATACCGTCAACCCCAAGAACTGCAAACAAGAATATCACGACATCACGAGTCCGTCAAACAGAATGCACACATGGAATATGGCAACGTCTCAAGATGCAGCGTCATAATTTGGGTTCCTGCAGGCCCGCATTCCAGACCACACGTGCAGATGGCATATCCGACACCGTGGCTTTGGGTCGTGATCTATTTTTGTTTCCCGCTAGTCAAGTATGTACTTAAGTACAGCTTTATTTGATTTTGACATGTTCTTTTCTTCTGTTGTGCGGGGTAAGTATTTTTTACTCCTGTGTGACAACATAATCCAGCAGACTCTCATTATTCGGTCTTTTTATATCCTCTATTTCTTTTTCCCCGTCATTTCCTCTTGCGCTCGATTTCGGAAGCGATAAACAGTGATACCGCGCAGATTCAATTGACGACATCGGCTTCGTGTTCGGCTGATCCCGATCAATCCACAACTCCACCTTTCAAAGGTTATCCCACATCGTTCTTCTCTCTATAATAATGGAATTCAACAGCCACGCCAATGGCATCTTAACTAATTGAAACAGCACGGCGGCTGGGCGTCGTCTAGCAGGCACCATGAACGCTTAGCATCTAAACGGTCTGCGGGCTGGCGTCCGGTGGCGCTTCGTGGAATCACGATGAGCTGTGGAACGCGCCATCGATTAAAGTTACGGGGCTCCGATGGCCTTGAGGGAACGAGGCTCGAGGATCAAGATAATCTTAACTTGAGCCCCTCTTCCCTCTTATTCAGTACCGAGTCAGATCTTCGACACTTTCTGGAGGGATCAGATCTCGGTCCTGTTCTGTTGACGTCCTTTGAAACAAACTTATTTCTCACCCGGAGCACTTGATATATATCGTTACACTGGGACGAATTAATTGGTGCCGTGCTTGTCTGGGTTGAAATCAAGCTTTCTTCGTTCTGCATAGCTTCAAACCCATGGCTGAGGTGCCAGCACCACCACACTTTGATAATGATACTCACGGGCCTAATATCGCTGTTGACGACGATCCTGGCTATGATTCCTATTCCCTAACGGGCGATCAGTAAGTGCAATCTATTTGACTAGTGTAGCTAGAATATATTAACCCGTGTCCGGTTCGACCGGGATCCGTAAGCCAATCGCCTGGCCCTTGTGTAACCGAACAGGGACTATTGACTCCCCATGGCTTGATTCTAATGCGCGCGCATGCACACTTACATGCATACATGCATACATACATACATATATAGTTGCTTACTTTTTCACTCGACTCCCGAATCGATGCTAATGCGTTCATGTGTCCGTATTTTATTTTAATTGCCAGACATGAGAACTAGTGCTGACTGAAATCAACACACAGAGAGACCGACACAACGTCCATCAAGTCATCGATATATCGTTACCGAGTGGAACATGGACGACGGTATCACGCGTACAAGGATGGCGCCTACTGGGGTCCGAACGATGAGGAAGCGCAGGAAACTAACGATTTGGCGCATCATGTTAATCTACTCATGATGAATCAAAGATTATATCTTGCTCCGTTGAATAAACCTCAGGTAGGTTTCTCTGCTTCTCTTTTCTATATCTCTATCATGAGGAGTTTTTTTTTTTTTTTTTTTTTTTTTTTTTTTTTTTTTTTTTTTTAAGATTGCAATGGGTTAAATCAGGTATTTACATTTCCAACCCACAACAGAAAGTCCTCGACGTTGGCACCGGAACCGGTATCTGGGCAATAGATTTCGCAGACCAACACCCCGAAGCCGTGGTCATCGGCACAGACCTCTCCCCCATCCAACCACGCTGGGTCCCTCCCAATCTATATTTCGAAGTCGACGACGCAGTCGAGTATCCGTGGAGATTCGGCCCTAACACTTTCGACTACATCCACGTCCGAGACCTCTTCGGATGCATTCCCGACTGGCATCAATTCATGCGTCAATGTCTCGACTGTCTTAAACCAGGTGGATATCTCGAAATCTCCAACGTCAGCGTCTGGGTTGACTGCGACGATGGCTCGATTCCCAATGATCCGAATCATCCGCTCCGTCGCTGGGGTACGGTCTTCCGTGAAGCGGGCCGAGTTACGGGCAAGACGACTGAGATTCTCGAAACGCAACGCCAAGTAATGATGGAATCTGGCTTCGAAGACGTGCAAGAGGCGCGGTTCAAGAAGGTTATTGGACCGTGGCCGAAGGATCCAACTCTGAAAGAGCAGGGTCTGTTCTATCAAATTGAATGTCTCCAGGGGTCCGAGGGATGGGCGCTCGCGTTCCTGACTCGTGTCATGAAGTGGGAGATTGAAGAGGTCAGGATGTTCTTGGATGATTTCAAGGCTTGTGTGAAGGATAGGCGTATACATTCGTATAGTCCTGTTTCAGTAGTGTGGGGACGGAAGCCAGTGGTTTGATTAATGCAGTATACTGTACGTGCGTGTGAACAGGTAGATGGTATTGCTAAGTTATGACATAATGAGCGCTGTAGAATTAATTCTGGTCAACATCACAACAGTGGTTACATCGTATGACTCTGCCTAGAGCCTGCTGAGATGGAGGGTAACGGGAGGCTGGCATTCGGTGCGGAGCTGGAGAATAACCTGGATCTAGGATACACCATATCCGGGTCGTACTCGCTTGCTGTAGAACTGACTTACCAACTGAAACGATTGCTTCTGAGGGATCCTATCCCAGAATTGCTGATTTACTGATTGCTTTCGTAGTGTGGAGAATGCTTTTTTCCCATTAATTTAGAACTCTCGACTCCTGCTATTCAAAGTACAGTCTCCCGTCTCACGAACTTCCCCCAGTTTCCATAGTACACCACCCCGTAAAGCCATTCCCGAAATACCCAAACAGATTCTTCGTGGTATGAGTCAGAATATAATCTTCCCAGTGCAGATTTCTCATCGTCTCAAACAAATGGATCCTCGACCCTGGCCACATCACAACTTCACCGCCGATCCCTTGTGCTCCTGTAAACTGCATACTTTACTCGAGATTGTTCACTTTTCGAATCAATTCTTCAACCTTGTCATGGATACGCTTGTCTTTTTCCCAAGTTACAGTCTGGGACGTCTGGGATGCTGCAGTCGAGTCAGGCCCAAAATGGACTTTTTCAGTAACATAACCATCGTATGAATCCACCCATCGCCTAGCGACGATATGGTACATGCAGACTGCTGTCTCTTGGGACCTAGAGAAGTTTTGCGGAAACTGCCATGGCCAGTATGACTTTCCATGCGTTCCCCTGGTGTAATAGCGCGTATCATGAATACGGTTATATGCCAAAAAGAAACAGTGGCACCCTTGGCAAGAAAGTTTCGAAACTCCAACGTATGAATATGCTTTGGTAAGCCGAGGATTTTCTCTCTCCGATTGCGCAATATGGAGAAGTATTTTAGTCTCACAGTGCACAACCAGGTCTCGACTCAAGGCTTGCTGAGCCATGTACGCTGTGTCATTATTGATAACAGACATGTTCATCACTTTTGGTTGGCTTTCTAGCCCACCTGCATCATTTCGATTTCTCGCTGACAGTGCTTTTTCAAGCACGGTTTCCCAATCTTTAGGAGTTTGAGGAATATATATGGATCGAGATGAAATAGCAGGTAGAGCATAAAGCTTGAATTTCAACCCAAAGAGACGCTCACAGCGCGGGGAAATCGCGGCCTTTATCAGAATGTCGACATTATTCATGACTCCTGCAATTTTCCTCAGATAACTTTCCCATTTAGGGAAATGGTTCACACGGAGAAGTTCATCTGGCGTAAATGCACCATTTTTGAGAAAATCGTTGATACTTCGTTGGCACATACGCAAGAGATGTAGTAACATTTCCCATGTTGCGTCGTCCACGGGCTTTTGTTCCCAGTGTGGAGCGCCTTCCCTGGTAATGGTTTCAAGCGCAACAATGGTATGGATGATATGCCGAAAAGGATGATTCTCACCAAAGTCGCTTCTGTTTATCTTCTGAAAATGACCGAAACCGCCGTTTACACGCTTTCTAATCTTGCTTGCCGTGAATTCAACACACCGGCGACTGAAGCTATTGAATTGTCTGACGAGGTTTTCATCTTTGATATTATGGGTCGGGCTGTTCTGTGTGGGATTGGAGTAAGCTTCACGATAGCGCGATGATATTTGTCTCATTGTCCCCCAGATCCATTCCAAGTGAGAGGAAGTCTTGGACGAGACGTCATCATTAGCAGCAAGAAAAAATTCGATCGTTTTTGCATTTTCGTCCACTCGAAGCGCAGTTGCAATAACTTCTCGAGAAGGTTTGGAGACAAGAAGGGAAGATAAAGAATCTAATACACGCGCAACTCTCCAGGGATAACTGGTTGGCGAACATAGCGGATTAGACAGTTCTGGGTTTGCTTTGATCGTACGTTCGGCTGGGATCTGCAACTTATCACGGCCTTCAATTGTTGCAATAGCCGCAAGGAGATTCTGTACGTCAACAGGCTCAATAGAACCAGGTACATGCTGCGCACTTCGTGTATTTATTTCCATTTCTTCTTCTGAGGGACGTATATGTTCGAACATATCTTCTTGTCGATAGTACTAGTTTGCTATATCCTCTCTCGTGCTTTGATGACTTTGATGACCACTAGCTTGCACATGACTTTGTATACCGCGGTTTGGTCGACCGAACGTGGACGACCGACCGATGTTTCCTCTTTGGGTGATCTTTGTCCGACGGTTTACGTCGTATAGCACGGGGAGAAGTCGGTTTAGTATAAAATATATTATCACCGTGTCTCGAGTATTGACATATTCAGGGCTGTAAAATAAGCCATATCCACAATACTTAATCTCCATAAGAATGTCTGGGAGTCTTTAGAGACATAGTTCCCAGATATACATACCAATAGTAAGGATAAGAACATAACTGAGCGTTAGAGCTCTAAAAGAATCGGTCAAGGCTGATAGAAGAGAGTGAGAAGGCGTTAGAAAATACCAAGGCGGAAGGACAATATAATATGAGGACATTGGCGATTCTATTATAGAAATCCAGTCGTCCATGACAAAGAACGAACTTGGATCTTCTGCCCCCGCTCTGAGCTCTTTGATTTTGGCTGGAGAGTCTAGAGTCTTTGTACTCTCGTTTCCTTTTGTGTCTGTTGATGATTTTTGTTACAGACAGAGATAAATTTGCTAATTGAGAAGGGACAATACCAGAATTTCCAGTCTTTGGCCCGCAGACAGAGAAGGTGTGTTCTCTTAGTGTCCTCGATGCGACGACCAGGTCGTCGATATAGATGCGCACAAACTTGCGCAGCTTCTTGAGGTAGTGGTCCATGAGTCGTTGTACATACCTATGCAGGTGCATTGCAGAACCCCATGACCGCGACATTAAACACTTCCTGTCCGCGGTGTGTCACAACAGCCAGTCTCGATCGGTGTGGGGGAAACACTCTCCATTGATGAAAAAAGGAGATCGCAATTTATACTGTTTATTTAAAAAGGAAGAAACTATCCTCAAGAGGATGATAGTGGCCTAATAGCGAGATCTGAAAGTGAGGTAAAAAGAGGGATTATATATAGCGCGGACGAGAAAAAAGATGGCTAACGAATCGTATAGTAGGTAACTATAACTATGCTCTAGATATCGCATCTTTGTTGTTGGAGATATTCTATTATAGTAGCAATAGTGATAGAGAAGAAGAAGAAAGAGGACTGACGGAACTGCTATTGTTGATAACCTTTACAGCTTCTTTATTCACCGAACCTGCTATACCAACATAAAGTCCCTCTTCACTCCAGGAATGAATGTCGGAGCCTGCCTACATGCACGCCTCTCTCTTGTCGGAATTCTCCCACGCCTTTCGAGCTCCACCCACAGAGATAATTATGCTGAGCCAGTTGCTAGAGAATTCAAGCTCAGCGAGCTTCACTCCATATTAAATTGATACTTTCCGTTTGGTCCATAATACATCAAGTCTCGTTATATCAAGGAGATGATATGTTCTTCTAATGTATATGTTACATATTACAACGCTTCCGAAGGGTCAAAGTACGTATGTACATAGCCACGCCATAGATGCAGTAAACATACGAATTTGGACACAGTTTAGTCTGTAAAAGACAAGAAGCATAGACGAACAGTAAACCGGTCTTGATAAGAATCGAACAAATGAGATATAGACAAAGGATAAATAAATCAACCACGGCTTTCTTGCTGAGAACTCCAGACACCTCCACCATGCTCCGCGGTCTAACGGCCTCGAAGAATCCTGTATTGGTAACCCCCTTTATTTGACCGTCATGAGGGGAGAAAGATGATATATGTTGCATAAGATATGGTACAAGTTGAACCCCCCCCTTTCGAAGCTTCCGACAGGTTCTGTGGCTCGGGTAAGTTCACATCTCCTGTACATCCAAAGACCAGATCTCCCAATTTCGCAGAACTTCCCATCCCACACGGCGAACGCGACGACGCCATATGAGCTTTTGGCCTTCAGGTCCTGTCACGCTGCTAGAAATGGGGTTTCCACAAGAAATGGCACTGTCGTGTACTGACGGGCGTTTCTGGTCAGGTAGAAGAGAGAGGCTATCTGCACTCCGCGGATGCTTCCCCAGAGAGGATTTCGGTGATGGAACTGTCGAGTTCGCAGGACGTGTTACAGGGGAGTCTGGGAAAGGCGTTGCGGTTGAGGGAACCGTAACAGCTTCGCGGTCAGGTCTCGTTGCAGAAGTTGGGGAAATGCCAGGCTGGCCGGGGCTGTCGACGGGAATAATTCGTTGTTGACCTAGAGATGCTGCACCGCTCACTGATGCTGGGTACAACCTCGAAACATCCTGCACGCTCGCCGCTGGGACCGTGTAAAAGCCACCGAGTTCAAATGCCTTCCAGCCAATGCCGATAACCTTCAGCTTTCCGTTCATCTCTTGATCCGTAAATACAGAAGACATCATTTCTATATGTACCGCGTCATCCATCTCCACGATGTCAGCTAGCGTCTGAAAGGGGGCTGACCGCTTGCTGTTACTGGAACCACCGTTGGGAGCATGTCCTGGCAGACCTCCTGCAGCAGATCTAGGTGGAGCGTCGGTAGGGATTAGGAGTCGTAGAGCAAGGAGATTCTGCAAGAAGGGGATGAGGATAGCCAAGACATCAAGACTGGAGGATTCAGGAGCGAATGCAAGTTGAGTCAGATTAGGACAGCTGCGGACAACACGGGCAATGGCGTTCGAGGAGAGAGGCCACCGTGAAGAAAGCAGGAGGTGGCGTAGTGTAGAACCATGATATGTGGTGACATTGTTGAGATAGAGATGCCTGACGAGATGCTGCGGATTGGGAGGGCTTTGCGGATGTGGAGAGTCAGTTGACCCTGCAGCTGTCCCGGTCGCACCATTCGGGGACGAGGGCGCATTTTCCAACGTAGGAGGTGTCATTGCGCTCGCTGAGCCAGCCGACGGTCTCGGGGTATTGATGTAGTCTGATGGACCGCGGATGGCGTTCACAAAGTATAATCTCTCCAGCCCGGAACATTTCGCCAGAAACTCACAGTCATTCCTAGATATGTGATCGTGACGCAGAGATTTAAGGCTGAAATTCTCGTCAGGAGGACGTGACGTCCAAGAATTGTCCACAAACGAGTTCGTATGAATGTCGACTCCGGGACTATTCAGTACAGTAATCTCCTCCACCGCGTTCTGATCAAACGCGGTGCGGAACTCTTCCGTGTGGAGGGCGTATAGGTTCTGTAGAGCGAGTCTTTTCACCTTGAGCGGTGATTTGGCAGCGATACATTTCCGAAAATAATCATGAAGCATGACGCTGGGTTCTTGAGCTTCCCGCATGCGAGGTGACCAGTGCATCTTGAGTTCCTCCAACTTTCTACTGCGTAGAAGAAGCGTCGACAGATCGTCTGGGTAGCAGAGAGGGTCGATATCCGTTACCTTCAGAGACCGGAGATGGGGCATGGGCGGAATGACCGTCGTGGGCCGCGGATGGCGACTCGAAGGAAAGCGGATCGTGAGTGATGTGAGCTTGGGTCGCTGTGCAAGGCCTTGGTATACCGTCTCAAGCAGTTTCGTATTCAGTTCCCAGCTTCAATCGCGAGTACAACCGCCCAAGTCAGCGACAGAAGAACCCCGTGTGACAGGAATACATGATTACCTGAAACTCTCCAGCTCAGCCATACGATCGATTGCTGCCCGCACCGCGATATTGAGCATCATCGAAGAATCCGGCACCCTGCCCACGCGCGCATGTTCTTGCAGCTCGAGCTCCCTCCATTCTCCCCGCAGTGTCATCGATCGCACGAGTTCCGCATGAGGCCTCGTCACTACTGCATTCAATCCCATTGAGAAGGGACTCGCACCTCCCCATCCTTCCGGTTGTTCATCCCGATAGCGAATTTTATCGTACGAGGTCAGCGTCAAGTTCCTGTAGAGCTGAGGCAAGGCCATGTAATTGAGCACCCGACATGTCCGACAAACGCGAGCGAGGTCCGCTGGGTTATCCAACTGTGAGAGCTCCTGTTAGCGGGGTTTGAAGCGTATAGCTAGAGACATTCGATAGAAAGCCAGTCTTCTGAAGAGCGTAACATCAGTCTGCGACAAAGCAGACAGACAACGACGTACATGCGATATAATCTGAGCGATGAGATTCAGCGGCAGGATCATCACCGTTGCGCCCCGCGCATGCGGCGGATCCGCGCTGACGCTGGCGTCGAACATGTTGCGGTTGACAGCCGCCATGATGCAGTGTCGCAGGCAAGGGTGCGCTGCAGCATCGATGGGGGTTCATGGAAGACATGAAAAGCGAAGTGTGCGCTGGGATGGATCGCTGCCTCGCGAAAGCCGTTATTATTCCTGTCCTTGGGCGGAGCGCAAAGTTGCCGGGCTGGTCAGCGGAAAGTCGAAGTCCCGCCCAAACGAAGGCTTCTGGTTTATGGGAACAAGGAGACCCTGCTGTCTTTGTAGTCTGGACACAGAAGACAGAATTGTCACTACGATGAGACAATGTATGTATGTATGTATGTATGTATGATTGTACAGTACAGTACATACATCGAAGGATTAATGCACTGAAGTTGTGAATTGATCTATGCAGGGTATAAATCCCGCCCATTTCTGCCTCCGCCGGCCTTGCCATATACGCCTGTGTATGTATAGATACATGCCTCCATCCCACCAGCTGCCATCCCATGTTTTTAGAAGCCTGAATGGTTATCTACATCCCAAAAAGCAAAATCAAATATAATAAAATAGAATATATAAAGAAAGAAAGAAAAGAAAGAAAAAGAAAATACCACCGGGACTCCTTGCTAAATAGGGAATATAGTGGTTGAATGTCGCGAAGAAGAGAGAGATGACGAAGCCATATAACATTTCATGCCAGACGTCCAGGGCTAGGGCCCAGCCCAGCCTCTAGGTCCGTATCCTGCTGTCTAGCAGCAGGATCATGCAGCGGTGGCGCCTGCGTCGAGATCGCCGCCGAGCTATTATCAGCGGACGCCTCAATAGGTCGTTGCGCAGCGTGCTCTGTTGGACCCTGCACAAAATAGGATGTATCCGAAGATGTCGTGCTTCCTGAGGCGCGTGACTCACTGCGGCTGCCGGTACCTGCGACAACAGTCCGTTCGTCGGATCCAAACGTCGTGTCATGCTCAGAGGTCGTGCGAGAGATCGCATCTCCTTGCGAATCTGGATCGCGGCGGACATGGTCAGGTTCGACACCAACCAATGCCGCTGTCTCCGGGTCGTAACGGAGCTCCTGGTCAGCATAGCCAGTCTCTCCGGTTGCAGCTCGAGGCCAAGGGGCAGCAGAGTGAGTTCGAGTTCGCGACGGAATGACCATTACAGGCAGGTTACGACGACCTGATGGTTGGTCACTGTCGGAATCATCGGACTCCGCATGGACGCTGGAGTCGTCAAAGCCTTTCGGAGACCACGTCTGTTGACCTCGATCTCGTGGGGGAATGACAGTGACCGGCAGCCGGTTGTCAAGGCCAGGGCCGTCCAGCCCACTCCTGTCTCTAAGCCGATAGAAGAGATTATCAACGCGAGGTATCAGACCCCGTCTGCCATTCCTTCCTCCTGACTGCTCCGGGTTCTGGACACCGTTGCTACCAACACCGCCTTGCTCCTCCGCTTGGGCCGTAACAACTTCCGTCGGAGGAGAGGCACGGCGTCTCTTGAAATTGTTGAACAAGGAGTACCATCGTGGATCTGACGGCGGAAGAGTAGTTGTCGGTCGAGCAGTCGAACTATTGCGTGCAGGCTGGCTCATGTAAGGGCCTTGCTGTTGAGCCTCCACAATCGTTTCCATCCTGGGTCCATCCTCTTCTCCAGGAGCCGCTGCGGCATTGGTAGCAACTGGCGACGGACTGGAAACAGGATGATATCGGACATAATACACCGTACTCGCAGCACTCGTGGTGTCAGCGCGACTGACCGGCGTCAGAACTGCTGGGGGCGGGCTAGGATGAGTGCCTCCAGCACGTCCGACTCCCACAGAAGCGGGATTCTGCTGGTTAGGATCGTCGACATGGCCACGCTGACCGCGCGGAAGACGAACGCGAGTCCGCAGTGGACGATGGCGCGGACCTCTTACAACACCCCAACCAGACGATGCTCCAGTCGCCCTGCCATCGTGTGGCCCAGGTTCCGATTTGCGAGGCCAATCGACCTCCTCAGAAGGTGTCACCTCGAGCATCTCATCTCCATCAAAGATCTCCCGCCCCAGGATTCCGTCCTTCCGTTCATCTCGTTCCAATGCTTCTATCCTTTCCACCCACTCCCAAACGACCACGCTTGCTGCTGCTGCTCCGACCCAGCGCATATACTCACCCCAACCGGCCACGTCCGGCTTCGAGATGTCGAGAACAAAGAAAACAACAGGGATGAAAACCGCACATAATGATAGTAATGCCACCAGGCATATGTTTCGCATCTTCGGATGAAAAAATGCGAATCGATGTTTTGTTATAGAATAAAAGATGACCCACGCCGCATAGAGCAGATTCAGCGCAAGTTCGAATAAATAGGTGAGAGCAGGAATCGCGTCGTCAAACAGTCTCGGCCGCGTGGTGCCGCCCTTGTCGACAAAGTTGTTCAGGATACTGAATATCGTATCCAGCACAATCAACGCAAATCCGGCCCATTTGATTATAACCTTCTCTTTGTGTCGCGGAAACAGTCGGATCAGAGTCTGGACCTGGGCCAGCCAGAGAAAGGTACTCGAGATGACCCGGACAATGCGGATCTCCAACCCATCGATGACTTCATCTGTCAGACTCTGCGCATCCATATAACCGTAGTCGTACTGCTGTTCGGCGACCGCGAAGGAATCCGCTGTTGCGATAGTCAACGAGATGGCGACGGTCAATGCTGCCACTTTCTGCAACCACGGGCGACCGCCGATACCGATAACAGAGGAACCTGAGCTGTATGTCATTCCATGGCGGCCCAAGAAGTTGGCACCACCTCCAGGCCCTCCGACAAAGAAGGTCCGCGGCGTAATGAAAAGAATGATGACGAGAAGGTAGCTAACAACGGTCGCGCATCCGATCGCGTATAGCTGAGGAGAAGTAGACGAGTAGAAAGGATCCCGAAGGTCGATCACAGCAGTCGGATTACCCAGCTCATTTGCCGACGAGTCTCCTGTGCATATCGGTTGAAAGACGACATTTTCGGTTAATGTGACTTGGTAGGTACGGTTCAGATGTATGATTCCTGCAATGTCGAACCAAAACGAGTCAGCATATGCGTGCATCACCACAATTTCGATCCTTCATCCTATAGCTCCTATACCCATCCGCAACGAAGGTGAACATACCATTACTGGGCAGTAGAAGAGGCGTACAGCTCGGCTGGATCGAGGTCGAACTCGTATGCGTAGGACGAGCCCATATCTGGCGGCGTTGGACGTGGGTCGCATCTGCCATGGTCACAAGCTCTGGATTGTGGCTTCAATGAAGCCGTAAGCCATGAGTCCACCACTTTGAAGACGTCCCAATCGTGAATGATGCTGTATCGCGGCTGTCAGGATCCTGGCATGATCGCGCTGGTGAACTTTCGATCGGGATGCGGGGGTCTCTGGGGAAGAAGGGAGGAAGGGCGTTCGACCAGGCCTTGAAAAGGTGCCAAGTCTGAGGCGCGATATGCTAGATGGCGACGTCAAGAAGTTAATAATAATACAGCAGACAGTAGGGAGAGGAGAGGTATTCGACGATGGAGGTCTCGAGTGTCTCGGCGCCACCGAACTCATGTTCCCGCCTCCAGATCTGCGGATTATCGACTTACGGTTGAGCCAAGACGGCCCAGACGACCCCATGTTCTCTTCCAGTCTGACGGGGTCACCAATCTGACAACCCCCTTTAAACCTGCAAGATACACAAGACGCACTTTGTAGCAGATATTCCTGTATTGGACAGCTTTCTTGGTGCGTTAGAATGCGTTTGATGTCAGACACAATGTCCTTTTACTGAGCACGACTCTGTGGGTTTATTCAACATCGAAGGTTGTAGTAAGAGATCGTAGACGCAGAAGTCCTATCGAACTGTTACGCACATTGGAACATGATGCAGAGGAATTGGAGCCTCTGCATGGCTTCGGCCATACATGCAATAACCTCATACCCTTTAACATGCGACGCTTCCCGATATTCTATATCCTCCACGCTATCAATGATCAGGGACGGTCAACCGTGACTCCAAATATTTGACAAGCTAACCAGATACCATTTGTCTAAGGTATCCTGAACAGCAGGTGACTGTCCTCTCTGCAAGCTTTCGAGACTGATATGATCCTAGAATAGTTCTCTTCCCCTGTTGACTGCCGATTGCAACGGTGGTAGCGCCCTGGATTTGTCGGTAATGACACCGATGATCCACAACGACCACTTCACACATACTTTGCGCAGGGTCTCGCGTTTATCAGAGGATGTCGCGCTACACAGACATTGTCTCCGTCATTGCTAGGATAAGCAGATGGACGGCTAGAGATGTCGACATTCGTGACCATTGCAAGTGCTGCCGCAGATACCAAACTCGGATACTGCACTCCTTTCGTTGCAATGGGGATGCTAGGTGTCGCTCCCGGCCTTGCATTGGCGTATGGGACAGTATGCAAAACTGAATGATGTTCCTCGGCTATAATGCGTTCGTCTAAAGTAGTCGTCCTTACCGGAGAGCTGACGGCCGTACGAGGCACTAAGTACCTTGTAGTAGGAGGATCACTGAAGGCTGGATCGTAGAATACCCTCGGACTCCAATCCGGCCTGCCAACATTGGGATCTATTCGAAACACATAGCTACCCGAAGGCAAAGAATCCGGTGGCAGCCATGCATGCTGTCTGATCCACGAATTCTCCGAGTTATCTGCTTCTGGCGTCATTGACTGCTCTTTATGGGATCCGACTAGGCTGAATGGTTGTTGGCACAAGAAGGATTACTCACTGAACACCTGAAGAACTTGTTCTCCCGTAGTTGAGTCAAACAGTGTGATTGAAACGTATACATTGTCCCAAAATTCCGTTTTGGCATGCTTCCAGGTCAATATTGTAGGCTTGTCTCGCTGTATCCGGAAATCCGTGGTCGTCCAAAGGGCCCTAGGGCCATGCTCCTTATTGTTCCACGCAAACAGTATCCACGGTATCAAGAGCGCGAAGAAGGACATTGTCACGGGTGTGTGGTCCAATAGCATCGTGGCCCTCGAGCCGTGAGGAGGCTCAGTCTGTAATATTGCACAAAATGATACGAAGACCGGACTAGGGTTTGCAAAGTATATTGTCCTAACCTGCTTGCTCGAGGCTAAAGAAACGAGTTGCATGTCGGAGAGGAGATTATACGGGAATGTTTTTCAAGGTATAAGTAAGTCGGCTCAGACATGTACTTGCCAAAGGAGTGTGAAAAGGGTGAAAAAGTGAGCTGCAATGCCGCAGGTAGCCTTAGGAAGGAGCCACTGCAGCGAACAGCCAGTGGAATAGACCAGGGTAGCGGGCAACTTCATCCATCACAAACAGTAAAAGTATGCTGTAGAATCGATTACTCGTCAGGTCCATAAGATTTAAAGAAGCATTGGTATTCATGGATATAATACAAAAGAACAATTGTCCTGTCGAGATAGAGTATGCAAAGAATTCCAATTTCCTTGTGAATAATGATATAGGGGTGCTGGAGATAACCAGCTCGATGGAAGGAATAGACAGAGGGGTATATAGCGACCATATAAATACAAACATAATCCGAGCGCTAAATGAGACGAATGTTGTCTGCTGCAGCAGTGGCAAGTACGTGATGGGGGGCAAAAAAAAAAAAAGAAAAAAAGAAAATTCCATGGTAAACCCCTACTCTCCTAGACTTTTATCTAGGAGGTGGTGGGTATGACATCTGTGTAGGTACGGTATATGGCGAAACCAGGTGTGCGCTTGCTGCTCGAACGGCTCTGCTTCGGTGTTCTTCTCTTTTCTTTATCTCCCGCTCGTCCTGAATAAGAGTACAGCAAGTACAGCATGACGCCCGGATACAGTCAGAAGCGACATTACCTTTTATGCGGTATGCTTTTCGGGTTCGGCTATGTTGGATAGTTGCAAGGAGCCCTGCAGCAAATATATCAGCACATAGATCAACACAAAGAGAAGATGATAGAGTAGGTACAGGGGATCAGTCTACGCACATTGGCATCCACAGAGAAGTGCCATGACGGTGCACGAGCCATTGCACTTCTCATATGCTAACAAATTTGTCGGATCCTCCTTTCTTGATTTCATATCTAAGCGATACTGCGTTCTCCCGTATAAAATACAGGGACATAACAGCCCAAGACAGCAGGTTCCCACATCGGAGCAGTCGCACATGCCATGGCTCCATGTTCCTCCCTTGACCTCTTGGTTGGGATGCGAGATTTGGCCTGGCAGATGGGTTGCATAGATATCATCTGACTGCGCTGGCCCATGGTTTATGTTCCGGAATGTGCCTACCGGGGAAGTCACAGAATGAGGAGACAGAGGAGACACCGGAGAAAAAGGCTGCTGTAGAGGGTTGGAATCCGGCTCAACTGACGTTTGTCGAGGCTGTTGCTCGGCCACTGGCACTGACTTGATCGGAACCGGCCCTGGAGAATTCGGTGGCCGGACCTCAGGTTGCTGTGTCGGCGCGACTGGCCTCTCGACTGGCGACTCGATGTCATCTGCATACGGTGCGAAATGCGCCGGATGTTGTTCCAGCGGTGGAGGCCCATCGTATGGAGTGGCTGCGCGCTGCTGTTGCAACTGGAGCTGTCGCAAGTACTCTTGTTCGTGTTCTTTTTCGTTTGGTGGATTCGGATTCAGCTGTCCTGTTTGCATTGGGTTCGGATTAATAGGAGGAACAGGTGGTGGAGGTGGTGAGTTCTGCCTGTCCGATATACCAATTGGGGCGCGCATCTCCATTGGGGTCTCGAGGAACGAATATCTAGACGGCTGCTCCGTATTGGAGGTGTCCAGGCGCGTATTCCGCCTCATGCTGACTTCGCCTCGGAAATTATGCGGTCAACCATCATCTGCCAGCCGTTCTGCCTCGATGTAGCTGCCGTATCACCCCGTTGAGTCCTTAACACGGCGCGAGGCCTGGGGCAGAGATGGATGAATCGTCAGCCTGCAACGTTATATGGACAGAGCAAAGCGCAATACTTAAGGTCAGGGCTAAATAAGAACGCGGGATGCTGAATTCATCGAGGACCATGTACCTCCAGGGAGTTCCTGCAGATCAGCGGATTGGCAAACCGTTAATGAGTTCTGTTCTTTATTCTCAACATCAAATTTCAGAGATGGCGTTCGCATCGGACGCTAAGCATGCAGGAGGGGAAACAAGCGCTCCACAACCAAAAGTCCGTGATCATCTATCTATAGGGGTAGATATATCATTTCTGACGCGCGAGGAAACCAGAGATTCAGCCGGAGTAGACACAGAAAACAACTTGCAAGATTGACAGGTCTAGGAGAGCGACAAGGTGAGAACCAATTCAGATCTCACTAATCAGCCGGAGACTGTCTTGCGACAGCTTAATGATACCTTGATCACGCCCCAAGCTACCGGTAGATAACTACTCAGAGGACCTGACACGGCAGCCCTGTAGATGGATGGTCCTGTTTGGCTCTGGCGGTCCCTCCCGTCACAGCCCGGTCTGCGTCTCATCACAGTTGGCAGACAATTAGCCGCTCGTCTTCCAATAACAAGTTCCGGACAAAGAATGCCAATTCTTGAAACTCGTCACAATCACCAATAAGAGCTTTGTCTTCATCTGTCACCAGAGGGTTTGTGGCTGTGCAAGACGAGGTCAAATGCCGCGTCATGGCCTGGCAGGACTCGCGATAAAGACGAAATCGGGCCGAAGATGGAGTACCTAGATGTCGAGTATTTATTTTGGTCTTGCTGCCACAAATAGCTATTTATTGACAACCCCGCAGGTGACAAAGGAAACTTGCAATCTTTATTGTACGTATGTACATATGTAGTGCGAAAAGAAAAGTGTAATAGCAATACCTATCGCTCTCCAGAGAGAGAACTGATTTATCCGCCCGTATTATTAAATTAGGTATTGCCCGAGTTGCTTCGGTTTGAATTAAAGACCCCGTTCGAAGACTGCCCATATAAGTCATCACATCACACTGTCTGGTTATGCATGCATTATGGAGTCAGTTCATGTCGTGCCTTGAATTAGATCAGCTATCTTCCCGCCGTACTAAACTTAGGACAGAATCTCCTCGAGGTCTTCTGGACGAATATAGAGACTAAGGAGCTTGGGTCCATCAGAGAGAAGCGTTTCTCCCTGTGGGTTTCCATCCAAGGCCAGCCGGTCCACCCCATGGAACTCCTCACCATACCAGAGAGGATGACCTTCGGCGTCATTTGACTGCATACCATCTTTCGCGAAACTCGTCGACCCGCCAAAACGGCGATGATATTTTGCAAAGCAAAAGCCATTACAGATAGCATTTGGAATATGCAGAACATTATGCAATATAAGCCGATGTGCTGGCGACCCTCCATCAATTCGACGGTCCCCACGCCAGCGACATAGACGTCCCCGGGGATCACGGCGGTTGTAACTTTTCGTCCCACTCGACGGTATTCCTTAAAGGACGAGCGATTTCTGGCATAGTGACAGCTACCCATTACCAGCATCCAATCCCAGCATCGACGGCGCGGTGGGTTTTCAAGCTTCTGTCTCTTCTGTCTCTTTCGGTGCGCCTTCACATCTCGCCAATGTTCTCCGACCTTGCCCATTGCACTGTGAATACTTTCACTTGATCGCTTAAATGTGTGGTGTGGTTCGAGTTTCGCAACCGCGATAGAGGTCAGATGTCAGATAGATTGGTTTCAGGGCTGGTGGGGATACAATCATTAGCTTAGGGTACCAGCTTTGGATAACGAAGGAGCAAAATCGGACTTACCAACTATTTGAAGTCGACTGAGAGAAAAAGTAGTGTTATTCCAATAGTGAGGAGTGAGAATATTGGCATTCTTTGATGGCGAGATAAGAAGCGAATGTCGATGACCCCTCCGCTCAGTGATCATGTGGTAACTATGAGTATCCAATAATAAGCTACCGAGGTAGATGTGACCGAATGCATCTCATGGTGAATAACGTACTAACTCTATACTTAAATATTCCAGGATGCGAAATGGTACAGAAACAACGGTTAAGACTGAACCTCCTAGTAGCATAGATGAGATAAATCACTTTCGGTTAGCATGAGAGTAAATAAACAGTGTAATAATTATGCCTGATGAATATTCTAACTAGTTTACATGGTGATGCTCCCGCATGCATGTATATCAAATCGAACAAGCCGGTATTAACTACGTTCCGGGTGCCACTAGATGCTGTGGCTTTTCATATATAGACCAATCGATAAATGAGTGTAACTGGCCAAGGGACCAATGATATTAATTGAACTAAACTGCTGCTGTAGTATTCGGACAGCCTTGGTTACCTAGATTATGAGAGAGACTCGGGGCCGAAATAGAAATCTGACTTTTGACGGTTAATGGAACCCCTTTACTTATTATTATTATTATTATTGATGGACAATAATTCCTCTACCGGGTCGCTATCTTCAAAAGAATGCTAAGCCTACTAGACTACTGATTTCCCGGGAGAACGGTAACATCCCTTAGACTTAGACCCATCTACCGGCTCCAGACTAGGCGACTCGTATCCGCACAGTGCCGCGGAGGCATTGGCATTTGGCACGGAATATGCTAGCAATTATTTGAAGTGCAACAACGATCATTTATCTCTTTGTCTGGAAGCTCTATTATGTATGAGGAATTCTGACCAGCTTCAAATCGAGTAGGAAATCAACGGGGTGTAGTATCACCATTATTGTAGACCCGACAGTATCTGACTAGAATTATTATTGCACTACTGCTGTCGGTAATGAGCGGTGACCTTCCCAACAAGCTCTGTGGAGTAGGATCCAAGATACAGAGCCGAGAATGGGTCTCAACGGAGAATGATTGCCAACCTGTGGGTTCAAAATCCCCGACGAGCCGAGCATAGGAAAGATCTGGTATGCAGTTGTGTTCGACATGCAGGGCGCCTTGCTTCTTATCTGGGCGAGTTTTCTTTAGATATGTTCTGCATAAGCATCCGTCCAACATCTTCGATGAGGATATATTTTCGATGAGTCAGTAGTAACTGTCTGGAAAGGACTTCTCGTGGGGACCATGGGGACATGCGGGCCTGGGCGGTGACACGTATTTGCAGCGCTGAGCGAAGACATGCTAGTCTATGTGATACTAGTGAACGTCATGGCGGTGATGTTTTGATTCTCATTTGTTTACCTGTCTCCCGGGACTGTCGGGATCGCTCTCCCTGGCGATCAGGGGAGCCAATCCATTTTTTTTCCTTGAGTAGTCTGGAAGCCGGTTCGTCGTTTCGATCATCAGAGGCGGATGGTAACACATAGCTGACTCGGTTAGCTTCAGACCATGCGTGTTTCTAGATCCGCGAGGACGCTGCAAGCGGGACGTGGTTTAGAACGAAAGAGAGACCGGCATGACCAGCAACAGGAGCACGTTGGAGGATGATTGGGTAGGCGGAAACAAGATGGCATTGCACCGTGCATAGCTCCCGAAACAGAAGGACTTGGGCCTGTTCGATCAAGGAAAATGCAACAAGCAGCAGCAGACAGATTGGAGGATTAACATTAAGTATTATCTGATCGCACGGCGGAATATGCTTCCGTGGATGCATGCTGGATGAGCAACAACTTGCTGCGAGGTCGGGCAGCCAGGATTGAGATCTGTCATCGCGATCAGCCCAGGAGTGGAGAGATCGGAGAATGTTGGTGTGTTCCGATGGAGCAGGGGAATGATTTGCTCTACAAAGAATGGTCAGACAGGATGAGATAGATAGATAGATAGATAGGATGATGATATTCCTTACATCAAAGCGAATATAGACTAGATAGACGGATAACTAGAGAGAGAGAGACAACCTCCCGCACTTTTGCTCACCGCTTGCCATATCGGCCAGAGACGGATAACACTTTGCTCTTTGTCTCTTTCTCTTTCTTTCTCTGTCCATGCTCGTTCCATCAGTTCTTTCCATCACCAGCAGCAATAGACAGACAAGAGACAGACAGACAGACAGCAGCTGTTCAAATATCTACAATTAACCTACATTCCTGGTCTAAACAATAACAGCAGCAGCACAACACTGCTAGCCTGTGTTATCGTCCACCAAGGCGGTGACGGAGATCGGCATCACTGGAGGACCTCACAGGGCTGCGCTATAAGCGCCTTAAGCCCTTTTGACACTGATTCTGATTCCAGTCTTTCCCTAAGATCTCTCTCATGACGACCGCTCCGCCTCCGCTGTCTGTCCAACCAGATCTGACTTATCGGCCTCTAGCAGCGCCGCGACCCAGAACGTGCCGTCACTCCTGGTTCTCTGTTACTCTCTCTGTCTTCCTCTTCCGCTCATCTTCGACTGATCTGATCCTTTGATCTGGAGACGCCATCGACCATATCGCCCACCCCTTTCTGCTGCCCTGGAATCGCCTGTTTCGCGCCCAGTTCCAGCTCCGTCGAATTGTCTGCTCTCTTCCATCCCGGCCTGACCAATGTCCTCCCCATGTCAAGCCCTTCCTCCGCAGCAGATAATGGCTCGCCCGGACCCCTGGTGACACCTGCTCCGGCTGCCCAACATGATTGCAGAACGAGGATCGACTCAGATCTCCGCGAGCAGGGGATCCAGGAGTCCGGTCAGCGGCCGATCGACTCTCATTCCGTTCCGCGTACGCCATCACCCTCGTCCCCCGCGCCGTCTCCGAATCCCACGCCGCGGAGTCGGGCCTTCCACCTCAAAAGAGCCTCCACGACGTCCCTCGAGCATCTCCGGCGTCCCGATCTCTCCTCGATCCGCCCGCAGAGCCCCCTGCTTTCAGAGAGAGACAGTATCTTTGCCACCCACTATCTCCCCTCGGACAGTGAGGTGAGTACTCCGCCGCTCCCTCCAGTGTCAGATGCAGACCGTGAAGACAAGGTCAGCCTGATACCGGGCCATGAAGATGTATCTGCGTCCGCTGTGACGACTGCGAGTATTCCCAACCTGAGCCACGATTCCCGCTCCAGCATGGAGTCTCCTCTCCGTCGATCCATTGCCCATCACCCTCCATCCCTTCGTCCAACCGTCGGCCTCCCCTCGCCTCTTTTTAGTCACACTGGGTCTCGTGTAGGTTGGGTGAAGCAACACGAAACGCAGGACAGCTCGAAGCAAGCGGGATCCCACGGGACGGCTGTCCGGGAGACCCTACATCCTCTACGCAAGATTGTCTCGGACGGCATCGCTGGCGAAATTCCGACCCTCAAGAGCACCAACGCCGGAAACATTTTGCCCCCTCCTGTTGACATCTCTCGTTCCAACTGGAATCCAATGGTGATCAGGTCGGATGCCAATCGCGAGCCGCTGCAGCCCGGGGAATCGTCGCTGAAGGAAAAGGAGATTATCAAGGAGGATCTAGGACACACAAAACTAGAAAGGAGTGGAAGCAGAGGTCGCAGCAGTAGGGTGGAGGAATCAATTGAAGCCAATATAGCGAACGCGGAGCCGACATCTCATGTCCGCAGCCGCAAATCCAGTCATTATCTGGGGTTGTTCAAGGAGAACACGACTACCTCTCCGGACCGAAAGAGGCGAGAGGATCGTGCCAAACATGATCATGACCAGCTGACAGAACCCCAGGGAGATCACCGGCAGCCACCGTCTTGGGAACCTACCGATGTAGTGCTCGCGTCTCCGGAGCGACACAAGACATTTCCTCGCACCGAGGCGGACTCCAAGGACAAAGCTGGCGCGCTGGAGCCCTCTGATCGTCCGAATGATGTGGTTTATCTCGCGGACCAGCCAAGAACGTTGCCACGGAAGTTGCTGGATGAAATCCGAAATTTTCACCTCACCCCAGGCGGTGGCCATGGCACGTCCTTCTCCAAGAGCATTCCCACTCAGTACTCAGAGCGGCGCCGTGATTATTTCGAAGGCGTTTCTGAGGACAGTCTGTCACCATCGTCGGATACGGCTCGGGCCCGGCGTTCGCGCGATCCCAGTCAATTCGAGGAAGAGGATGACGAACAGATCTCGTCAGCCTTGTATTTCCCACACGAGCGTGCCACATCGGAGGACGTTGAACAATTGGAATCGTTCGAACGTCGCCCTGTCAGTGACCTAGAATATGATGCAATCCGGGCGGATGCAGAACCGGGTCTTGTGAAGCCCGAGCTCAGCAAGGAACAGGAAGTTAGCCATGTGGATATTTCTCTACGGTCCAAGACCGATAGCAGGATACTGCATGGTGAATTTCAAGGTTTACCTCCGCTACAACGTGACACGAGTGAGAAGTCTTTGGCGACTATATCCGAATTCAGCCAAGAATCTGCTTCCGAATCCGAGTTTGCGTCAGCTGATGAGAGCGCATCGTCTGTCCGGGATGAGGAATCCAGTGTAACTGACGATGCTGAGATGACACCCACGGCGACGCCCACCCAGCGTAGCCGATATCTACGTGCCCGGCGTCCCCGTCCGGTAGGAGCGGTGGAGTTGAAGCCATACCGTCACCAGGTGGGCGGTCACACAACAGTGTTTCGCTTTTCGCGACGTGCCGTCTGCAAGCAGCTGAATAATCGAGAAAATGAGTTCTATGAGAGGATCGAACGCAGGCATCCGGAGATGTTGATGTTCCTACCAAGGTCCGTAATTCCCAGCCATGAGTACATTGTGCCTATTGGCCATTCCGCTGAGACAATCACAAGACTATTCGATGGTCTCTTCCTGGTGAGAGAGAGTTTTGCTGACAGTATGTTTCATTCTCTTTTAGGTATATTGGTGTTCTCAACGTGACTTTCTCCAAGATTCCCAAGCGGCCAAAAGCTCCGGCCGGAGATGCCGCAGAACACGTTGAGGGTGGAAACATCGGTGACTCTAAATCCGAGGACACTGCTCCAGCGCCTGTGAGTCAAATTCCAGGTTCATCGGAACAGCCTAGGATCTTCAGTCAGCAACAGGTAACTGGGATCATTCCGAAAGTCATATTGGAAAATAATCGTCACATCATCCCTGCCGACCTATTTTCCTCTCAGAGGCCAAGGACGGCGGACGATGCGAGGACTGGTAGGAGTCTGCTGTCTCGACGATCCGCCTCAGATATGCCGCATAGTAGCTCCGCGGGCGATATATCGGCGCCGGCGCCGCAGTTGAGTAGCCATAAACCCAGCTGGGGTGCTACAACGGTAAACCGAAAGCTACAGGAGCAAGTTCTGCGAGAGGTCTTCTCGCCACCTGCTATCCATCATCATCGACGGCACGCACGCGGACACACCATGTTGCCCAGGATGCATTCAGATACCAATCGACGGAGAGCCAACCTCTCAGAAGATCAAACGGCCAGCAACCGCCGCGGCATGTATGGTAACAAGGGATCGCCCAAAGATTCTGGCATTGACATTGCTGCTTTCAAGAACCAGGACCAGCAGGGACTCTCGTCATCCGCATCGACCGCGATGGAAGGCAATCCGAGTCTACTGGAGAGGGTTCGAACAGCGGAAAGCCCTCCCCGCGCTAGTTCCGCCTCTCGGACGCGCGCTGTCAGACGACGCCATTCAGGGAGTGGCCTGCAGCGGCGCCGAAGCCTGAGTTCTGGAAAACGCGGTGAATTGATGTTTTTCGATGATGAAGGCTACGGTGGTGACAGGGAAGATGAGATTTTCGCTATGGAAGGGGATAACCCCTCTGCGGTTGTCTCTCCTCCCGAACAGAAGTCTCCGGCTGCCACTCTCCCCAAGGATAATGACCCGTCCGATGAAGTTGGGGAAAACCATATTGAGGATTCTAAGAATCCTTGGACGACCGGGAAAACTGCTCCATCAGCTGCCCCGGAAGCCAACGGGGTAGATCGTTTCTACGTCCCCAAAAATCCTAAAGAGGCACAGACACGAAAAGACGAGAGAGTCCAGTTCTTTCTTCTGCTGGAGGACCTCACTGCTGGGATGAACAAACCTTGTGTCTTGGACTTGAAGATGGGCACTCGGCAATATGGCATCGAAGCAAATGAAAAGAAGAAAAAGTCTCAACGGCGGAAATGTCAGACAACGACATCGCAGCAGCTTGGTGTACGATTGTGTGGGATGCAGACGTGGAACGTAAAGAAGCAAGAGTATCTGTTCGAGGACAAATATTTCGGACGTGACTTGAAGTCAGGACGAGAATTTCAAGATGCCCTCACCCGTTTTCTTTATGATGGTGTCAGCTACACTAGCGTTGTGAAGATGGTTCCTATCATCCTCGAGAAGCTTGGGAAACTGGAGAATATGATTCGAAAACTCAAAGGTTATCGATTTTACGCAAGCAGCCTGCTTATTCTCTATGATGGGGAGCAGTCGCCTCCGAATGGTCACGAGAATGCGGCCAGTGCAGCCAATACGGATGGGCACGCCGATAAAAGACGAGCCCCTCTGTACCGTCGTCCTTCGGAGGAGGTGCAGCGAAACTATGATGTCCAATTGAAGATCGTGGACTTCGCCAACTGTGTTACGGGCGAAGACGAACTGCCTCCTGATGTTCCTTGTCCGCCACACCATCCCGGAGATATCGACCGTGGCTATCTTCGGGGTCTCCGTAGTTTGCGCATGTACTTCCAGCGCATCCTGAACGAGGTCGGCCAGGAAGATTACGTGGAACGAGGAGAGGGTGAGGCCATGGCACTGGCACCTCGTGGTTCTGTCCAGGATGTCGTGGCCGATCGTTCCTGGGAAGAAGGCGTCATGGAGAGTGATCCCGGGGAGGTCAGCTTCTGATGCTGTTCAAAGCGTTTCATTGCATGCATATCTGGAGATAGAGGTTTTCATTCACCCGGAGTTGGTGGGCTTTTCCATTCATCTCATCGGCACGGCTCGTACATGGACGCTACTCACCACATGCCTCCTGGCCCGATGGCCACGAAGGCTCGACGAAACTTTGTTGATTACATCTTCTTACCGTTATTTTGTCGGGTTGTACGGCGTTTATTCACTGGGCGGGAAGCGAGAATGTTTTGAAAAGATTCCCCCGGCAACGGTGATACGACTGCTCTTGATTTTCGCATATTCTTCTCTTTCCGTTCTATACCGTCTTGCCAGGTCTGGCTGTCTGACACGTCGGTGCATGATAAGATTCCTTCTCACACGGATTTTTAATTTTTAATTATTATTACCATTTTGTTTCTTCCGGTGGATCTTTCTGAGCCTGTTTTCCTGACCTCTATACCACTTGTTTCTTTGATTCCCAGAGTCATCTGGTTTTGTGGCGGCTTATTCCCAATTCATTTCTACGCATGTGTATATAACAACATTTGTTTCTTTATGAGCATTCTCCCAAGTATTGTATACATCATAGACACTCTGTAGACCTCTCAACGGAACGGCACAAGCGACGAACAAGAGTAGCGCCTTGCGTAAACCCCAACATATAACTAATACTCTGAACAATGTCGTATTAAGCGTATTACACCTGCGAACCTCGGGACCGAATATCGCCATGTACTGATAGTACTATTTTTACTGTGACGACAATCACGTGCTGGCGATAAGCGGTGACTCGTCGGATCGGGCGTTATCGGTAAGTCAGCTTGGAGCTTCAACTACCTTGGTTCATTACCTGGACCAGCTTATCCAGCAGGTCTTAGGAGAAGTTCTTTGACTTATTTCAACTCTACCTTCATGGACTCTGTGACCAGAAAGGTCCCCAACCAGACTTTCCTATAGAACTAGCAAGCTGCCTACAGTAAGTGCTGAGATCATCGATTCCGGAGTTCGTCCAGGTCCGGCGTCAGGTCTCTCGCGATAAGGGCCACCTTCCTGTCCATCCAACGAGTACTTCAGTATATATAATGGCTCGCTCGAATGACCATGACAAACTGTCGATAGACAAGCGAGATTTTGATGCAAATCGTCCCCTGCTCCATGCTTCAATAGTCGATGGAGACGGAGATGAACGGGTATACCAGCCACCAGGCGCCCGATCCAGATCGAGGCATTCACGACCTTCCACCGAGGATGGTCTAGATGGAAGAAGCGATGGTCTTCTCAGCGACGTCGTTGAGGAGATATTAGAGCGGGATCGAATGAGGATGAAGAGGGAGGTGGTGAGAGTGTCGAGCTTTGTTTGGGGGGTTGTTAGCTGGTATGTTAGCCGATGTCATTTGCACTCAGTACGTATGAGCTCTCAAATATATTGACATTTATGGTTCTAGTTTATGTGCTGGGAGTATCACCACCTTTTCTCTCTATGGCCCTTTGCTGCTTTCGCGACTACACTATACCCAGATGCGCGTCAATGCTGTTGCTATCACCGCTGAAGTTGCCATGTACCTTCCTGTCTCCTTTTTCGGTTATCTATGCGATCGATACACGCCCTCTCCGCTAGCGTTATTGTCGGCGATATTCTTCGGAACGGGCTACCTTCTGGCTGCATTCACCTACAAAAGTGGACCGCCGCCTGATGCGGGTGGATCAGGATGGCCGTTCTGGGTTATGATTGTGGCTTTTGTTGGAGTGGGAGCGGGAACAAGTTGCTTATACCTCGCCGCGGTGACTACTTGCGCGAAGAACTTTGCAAGAAGCAAGTATAAGGGTCTTATGCTAGCAGCCCCGATTGCTGCTTTTGGTCTCAGTGGCATGTGGCAGAGTCAGGTGGGAGCGCATTTCTTGTACGAAAGACTGGAAGACGGCTCCAAGGGCGATGTCGATGTATTCAAATACTTCTTGTTTCTGTCTATCGTGCTTATTGTCGTTAGTCTACTCGGTGTGTTTGGATTGAGGATCGTCGACGAAGAGGAAACGATCGAGGAAGCATACGAGGAACTGGAGCGCAGCGGAATCCTGGGAGAGAGCGACTTCTTCCGATCCAGAGACGAAACGCGAAGTGCATACGGGACATTTCCGCAGGACCGGGCTAGTGAAGGGGATGAGGAACAGAATATTACGCTGTCAGATGAACAGCGCGAGGCTCGTAGGCGGGAGAAGGAACGCGAGGAAGAGGAGCGGCAGAGGAAGAACTGGCTCCTGAATTACGAGACGAGGCTCTTCCTCAAGGATCACACAATGTGGTGGCTTGCCGCCGGCTTTTTCCTGGTTACAGGCCCTGGAGAGGCTTATATCAACAACGTAAGTCCACTTGTTTGTCTCCTCCCAGTATAACGTGTGTCTCTGAGCTAACGTTGTTCTCAGTTGGGAACTATCATCCAAACTCTCACGCCACCTTCATATCCTCTTCACAGTCAACCGCCGGCGGGTTTGCCATCGACCCATGTATCAACTAACGCATTGACGTCGACTCTGGCTCGCTTGCTGACGGGCTCTTTATCCGACCTCTTTGCTGCCCCCGCAAGTCACCAGTATCTCTATTCTCTTGAAAACCCCAACCGGCAGCCCGTTCCCCGCGTAGATGGCCTCACCCTTTCACGCCTGACATTCCTTCTTCCCTGTGCCCTGCTCCTTTCTTTCGGTTTCTTGCTCCTTGCCTCCCCGCTACTTCTTCATCATCCAGGACTCTTTCATCTCACCACCACTCTTGTCGGCTTTGGATATGGTGCTACGTTCTCTCTAGTACCGATTATAATATCCGTTGTTTGGGGTGTCGAGAACTTTGGCACAAATTGGGGTATCGTCGCTATGACCCCTGCCGCTGGTGCTGCTGTCTGGGGTCTCATCTACTCCGCGGCCTATGATGCCGGCAGTGCTCCAGATGGACAGTGTCGGGGCTGGAAGTGTTACGGCTTCTGGGCTGTGGGCTGCACGCTCAGTGTCTGGGTAGCTGTCATCGCATGGTCGATTGCATGGAGAAGCTGGAGGAGGAGAGGAGTCGTTGTCTGAGCGTCTTGATTCCGCTATATCTAGCATACTAGATGCATTCTGGATATTGGCGCTTCTGTCTTGCCGGCGTTATTGCAGTCTTTTTTTTTTTTTTTTTTTTTTTTTCAGACTTGCTTGTTTTACGGTCCATCTAGGTAACATTGTCTGGCGTTTCTACTACTATATCCGATACACGGATGAACATGCGATCGACCTCATAGAAATCGAACTGGTATAAGATAAATAACATAATGATCATTCGCTCCTGATACCTGCCATAGACTGCAGTATGACTGCTGGTCTGGAAACCTGCTTTATCCTTATGCGCCTTCTGATGAGGAAATGTCCCAACGCCCCCTAAAGCAAAAGAGAGCATAATTCAATATACTCCATCCAAATAATGCAATGCAACGCAATTAGTCGGTCCCATGCATGCTGTCGAAACTAGAACAAGAAGAGAAAAACCCACACCAATTGTTGATACCAATACGTAAGGTTTAATGCCCAACCTCTCTCTCTCTCCTTTTTTTTTTATTCTCGAAGAGAAAAGGACCAATGCCAAAAAAGGATACTGCTGTGCGCAAGAGCCAAGGTCAAAAATCCTTCTGGATCCCTATGCCATGTTAGAACCGTAAAGAGAAAGCAGCCGCGAAAGCTAGATCATATGTCAGTAGAAGAAGGGTCGCGGCCCATGAAGACTTTATAGAGACGTCTACTGACGGCAGGGCCGATGCGGGTCTCTGTCAAGGCGCCGTTTTTATTTGCTGATTTCTGAGAAGAGGAAAGAAGGTCTGTTAGTACATTGATCGTGGGTAGAAGTGGGGTCTTTTTTTTCTTGTGAATTCGGTGCGAATGTTTTATATAGCTGGACCCAGTAAACATACCTTTACGTTTTCGAGCATGGTCGGTCCGTGAGATCTCATTCCGCGAACAAGGTCCACTACGCTGGGGTATTTGGTTGCGATACCGTAAGCCATAGGTGCCGTGACGCGGGTGACCTCTTGAAGCATCTTGACGAAGGTGTCTGATTTATCTTCGCCGGTTTTCACCTGTCCTACGTCCATGCAGAACCCGGAATCATTGACGTCCATCCGTTCACGTCTGTAGGGGATCGTGGAGATGTGCTCAGTGAAGGTTTTGATCCATTCGGCTGATTCTGGCGCTGCTGCTGTGTGATGGATGAGGCATGAATGTGTGACTTGCAGTTCGAGAAGGGCGTCTTCGATCACGTCGTCGTCGACCGGGGGCGTGGTTTCTGGCTTTCTGGCTTTCCTGCGGGATTGTGTCCCCGAGGGTGGTTGAGAATTTGACTCGGAGAACTCGCGAAGCACTTCTGCCTGGAATGCCCTGTTCCGCGTGTTCTGATTCTTTCGCATCCAAGCGGTGAGACCCTCAATCATATAGATTGGTTTGCAGTCAGGATACGCGCTCTTAATCCTGAGGACGTGTAGCTGCAGAGTATTATCCGAGTCTGGTTCTGCGATCACCATATCCGCGAATTCTTGCGCTGATAACAGACACAGGACATGTTGTTCCTCTCCAATGTAGTTAGGACATGGCTCCCAATAGCCAAGCTCCTCGTTGAACCTAGCCACGACCTTTCGTCGCCATTTGACCATACCAGGGATTGAGCTGGTAAAATAGTTGCATTCGACGTTGAGGCGCTTCATGTACTCCTTGACCTGGTTCCCGATACTGGTATCCTCAAAAGACGACGAGAGATCCACAATCATCTCCGGTGCCGAGACCCCCTTGTCTACCTTCAACTTGTTCACTTCCGCAAGATCCGCAGCTAGCTGTTTCTCCTTCGCTTTATCCTCTTTCAACTTCTGCTTTCTTGCCTTTTCCTCCTCGCGTTCCCGGTCCCGTTGGGCTTTGGCTGCTGCTCGTTCGCGCGCTTTGGCTTCTTTGGCTTCCTTGTCGGCCGCCGTAGTTTTGCCCGTCTTCCTCGGCTTCCTGGGGGCGGGTGCGACGTCGACATCAGAGATCTCATCATCAGATACACCGTCTGTCTTTTTCTTGCTATTTCTCACTTCCCGTGAACTTTTGCCATCATCAGCTTTCGAGGAGCGATTGCCAAGACTAGCCAACAAATTCGCCGTACGATCCGAAAGCCCGCGCGACAGAGGCGGTGGCTCGATATTCAACAGACCATCGAATAACGAAGCCGGGTCCGTGAATTCCTCAATAGCATCATCGTCATCGTCAATCGTAATGGTCGTCTTTGCTGTAGTCCTACTGACCGTAGTCACTTTCCGTCCTGTCCCCGAACGCGTTGGCTCCGGCGCAGAAGACGTGAAGACTATAGGATCTGACTCTTCCCCATTCCAACGATATGTCTTAGTAGCAGGACCGGCGTCCTTGTGCTTCGTAGGAGGTAGTAACGCCGCATCGTCGTCGGAGAAGATGTTGTATATTGAGCTATTCGCCGCTGGCGGGGGACTCGTCGGATCATTCCCCTTCGCTGGGGAGATCTCTCCGATTCCTGGGGTTAGCCGGAGTCTCTTGGTCGAAGGCTTCTCCGGTTCAATATCGTCGTAGTTGAATACCGCGGGGTCGAAATCGCTAGATAAGAAATTCTGGGAACTCGCAGGTAGTACGGCCGATGGCGGAGGCGCGGGGGTAGGGTGAGACCGTTTCTGCACACTATTTGGCGGTTGTGGAGGAGGCGAAGAGACCAGATCAATGACCTCTGGCATCTCTGCTGGTGGTTTCGACCCGCGGTCGAAACTGTTCCGTGTCGCGATCAGATCGCTATCTTAGATGCTCGGCGAAACGCGATGTTCTGCGGAGCGTGTCGCGGGCTCACGTGATCCATATCTACTTTATCATCGAAGAGTTATTGACTACTGCAAATGAATCTCGGAATAATCAATATGGTATCATACAGTATCCTATATATCAGGAAAGCTTAGAAAATAAAAAAGGGGTATTATCATAATTATTATACACTCTAAGGGTACAGCGCCTTCAACGCGGCAGCAGCAAGCATAGACACCAGAACTCCAGACAAAACGAAGACCAACAGCAGATGCTGCAGTCCACTAAAGGGCCGCCTCTCTGCATTAAGCATGTCAGAAATCTCGTCTTCCAGACGGTCTCCCATAGCTGTGAGAGAGAACTCTTTCTGCACACGCTGTTTACTCTGAATGGATATTCTCTCCAAGTCCTCCGGACTCAGTTCGAACAAAACCTTTTTCATGACAGCCGTCCATTCATCAACCGCCTGTGCGTCCCGGAGCCAGCCCGTTTCGCCTTCAACGATCGTCTCGAGAGGCCCACCGGTATTTGACGCAAGGACAGGTAGGCCATGGTGCATTGCTTCTACAGGGACAATGCCAAAGTGTTCGTTTGTCGGGGTATAAAGAAGGAGTTTGGCGTTTGCCAGGAGGGTATCCCTGAAGGCTGTAGGGACGGAAAGGAGGAAAAGGACGTCTATCGAATCAGGAACAGAGAGCGCAGATATAACACTCTTTGACGTTGCTGTCTGGAGGCCCAGACTACTCGCCAGCTCGTCAAGCTCCTTGTGATATTGTACGTTCTCTTGAACCCGATTGTCGTAACCGCCTGTGGGGTGAAGTCAGCGTCTATATCGTCCACGTCGAATGCTAAGACCATGATCAGGCACATGGACTACTTACCAGCGACTACCAGTCGAGTTCCTTTCCTAGCTTCCTCCCCTAGGCCATGATACGCTCGGATCGCAAGTGCTAGATCCTTCTTTCTCTCGAAGCGATTGATACTCAATAGGATCTTCTTCCCACCCCATAGATTATCCCCAATGGCTTCTTCCGCCAGCTTCCCACCCGCATTCTTCCCTCCCTGGGGCGCAGGATCCGTATCCACACAGGGGTATATAATCCTGACATCACCCAGCCGTTCGAATCCCAAGACCTTCCCCACGACTCCACGCGTAAACCGGGAATTCGCAACGACTTTATCCGACGCGCTCATAGCCCAACCTTCGAACCAGTCGAACGGATACCGATATAAGCCCTTGAGGAGTCGAAGAACCGTAGCTTTCTCATCGCGTCGCGCAAGCAGCTGGTCCGGGAAATGGCAGTAGAATAGTATGCGCTGCTTCCCCGAAGCGCGGGGAGCGCATCGCGGACCCAACGTCTTCAAAACAGGGACACAAGCAGGGACCTGGTCCACAATAAAGACATCATCTTCAATTTCGACATCCTCACTCTTCTCCTTCTCAGGTACCGTGGTCCCAAGCTCATTCAATACTGAGACCGTCAGGTGTAGCTGTCTCAACACCGCCATCAGCACATGTAATCTCCCACACACATGTGCGGGGAACACTGTATTTCCCCGGACACGAACATCGAGGGTCCCATCGCGCGCTTCCTCGAAACAATGCGTTTTGTCTCGGTGGGAGGTGTAGATCGTTACGCGGTGTCCGCGGTTCTGGAGAGCGAGTGCCGCATCGATGATGAGCCGTTCGGCGCCGCCGATGCCCAGATCTGGATGGATGATGATAACGTTAGAACGCTTAAGGCGCGGCATTGCGATCGCCGAGCAGCCCTGCGAGAATTGGCACGACCACAACTAAGATGCAAAGGGTCGGACTGCGGTTTCAGCTCGGAAGCTTGAGTGTTGGTGACGAATGTTGCGGCGACAGACCACGTAGCGTCATGTGATACCCAGCGGAGGTCGCATACAGACAGATGTTTCCGCAGAATATGGCAGTTCTGTTAGTTCTGCAATAATACAGGGTCTTGCGAAATTCATGCCGCTGGATTTACGCTCAGAATTTTAGTCTTTCGTCACCAAGCTTGCTTATATTACTATTCCTGCTCTTGGTATTCTACTAGAAAAGACGGACCACGGCGACATTGGCGTACGTTCACACGAGTTGTCATTGGTATCAACGTTGTAAGGGTCCAAAGCACATAACTCAAACAAAGGGGGGGGAATATGACACTAAGGGGCAAAAATCATTTAAGGTACAATTAGCCAAGGTGTGTCCGAGGCCAGGATAAGGGGGAATCAATGCTCTTGAGAAGAAAATATGGGTAAAGGGGGAAGCCACCCAAGAAAAAGAATTACAGCGAAGCCAACATGTGGGGAGGGGTAGTATCTGGATGTAGCATGTACACAAGGGGAAAAAAAAAGTGATTGAAGGTCGTAAGTCACATCGTGAGAAAGTGGGGGCTAAGTAAAAAGGAGAATGGTGCAACAAGAATGTAACTGTGACAAACGTGATTTGGGGGAATCAGCACAGAAACAAGAGAAAAGGATATTCCGGAAAACCAGAGATGGGCAGACGAGATGTCACTGCTAATCTTCCGAATTGAGCGCCGAAGAGAATGAATGAGACCCAGAAACTTTTGAGTTTTATCTTCTGCTTCCCATGATATGGAGAAGATTAGAAGCAGTTGAGGGTACTCTTCTTCTTTTTCTTGTTGATCGCATTCATCCGCTCTTCAAGTTGAGCTCGAGCGGCTTCTGCTTCTCTTCTGGCGTTCCGCTCTTCCTCAACCGCTTGAATAGAAAGACGTGTGGAGTTCCTTTCTTTTCGGAGTTGAGTGAGCTCATCTTCGTACTGCCAGGCCTTCTTCTTCCAGGCTTCCATGTCAGCCTTGACCTTGTTGCTCTGCGCCTCGAGGTCGCCGAGAGCCTCCTCCAGCGTCGCAGTCAGCTGTTTCTCTGCGTAGAGATGCTTCTCGATCGTTCGAATACGAGCTTCTTGGTCCTCAACGAGCTGGGCATTGACAAGCTCCTTGCTGGTATGCCTGGAACTTGGAGGAGACATGCTTCCCGCGTTGCCCGACGCGGCGGAAGCAATGGTGGGAAGTGGTGGCAGTGGAATAGCCGGTGGAGGGGATGGAAGGGATGCAGTGGAGGAATTCTTCCGTAGGTTCGATGTGATGGAGCCGTTTCGGTCAAGCGAACCATCCTGGGCGCCACTGTTTCTCTTGAGCTGGGCCTACAGATTCATTAGTAAAAAGCTACACTGACTGAACGGTGCCAGACATACCTCAAGCTGCTCAATGCGAGCACGGTAGGATTCAATGTCCTTCTCATGCACGGCGATCTTTGCGTTGGCATCTTCCAGAGCCTTACCGCGTTCTTGCTGGATGACAGAGAGACGATTCTGGTGTTGGTCGAAGCTGTTGGTGATCTGCTCTTCGAGTTCCTCCACCAGACGGGCACTCTTGTCTTTCTCGGCATTGATCTCTTCGATGATTGCATCTTTCTTCTTCACTTCTTCCTCCTTCTGCTGGATCACTTCTTCAAGCTCGGCGATGAGCTGCGCAAGCTCATTCACCTTTGATTCTTGCTGGGAGGATTTCTCGGTAAGTTCCTTTATCTTGTCATCCAGGTTGCCATTCATATCCAATCTCTTCGTGAGTTCTTCATTGGCGTCGATAAGCTCCAAGTATTTATTGGAGAAATCCTGCTTCTGAGCAACGATATCCTCCAGTTGGTCTGACAGAGATGCAGCCGTAACCGGCGTGCTCAGAACCTTGGAGACGCTATCCAGCAACTTCGTCAATTCGTCCTTAGACTCCGAAATCTCGGATCTCAAAGCGTCCATAGCTTCGTTCTGTTCAGCAAGTCGTGATTCGTGCTTAGCTTGGACCGCGGCTGTAACGCGGCTCTCCAGCTCCGCCAGCTCACGGCTGTGAGATTCTTGTAAGGACTCCAGGTCCTTCTTCTGAGCGTCAATTATAGATTTGTGGGTGGAAATCTCTTGCTCCAACTCGGATATGCGGGTCTTGTAGCTTGTTATTTCGTCGTCGTCAGTTACCTCGCTTCGCTCGCGCTGGGCTAATTGCTCCTGAGCAGCAGCATGAGATTTCTCCAGTCCAGAGATGGTCTCGAGATGGACAGCGATCGTTGATTTGTGATCTTCAATCTCCTTCATCAAGCCGTCCACGACTTCCTGGTGTCTCTGTCTCTCCCGCTCCAGGTCCGCCTGCATCTCTTGCGCCGATGTGTCACTTGCAGAAGCCGCTTGAGAACGCATGGTCTCGATAGCTGCCAATGAGGCCTCCAGCTCCGCCAGTGTCTCTTTAAGGCGCGTCTCGGAAGATTGCAACGACTCGATCGCCGTCTGGTGCTTGCCTTTCCATTGGCAGAGTTCACTTTCCAACTCTGAGATCTTCTGTTCCTGCTTCTCAGCATGAACGTCACTGGCTTTGGCCGCTGCCTCCTGGGACTCTAGCAGCGCGTTCAGATTCTGGATTTGGGCGAGTAGGTCTTTTTCTCCCTTCTCATGCATCTGCTGGAGTTCCTTCATCTGGTTATCCTGCTGAACGAGTTGCTCACGCAGCTGGGATACAACAGTCATATCCGCCGTGCCACCTTGCAAACTGGATCGCTCCCTGGCCAAACCGGAAATGATAGTCGATTTGGTCTCCATCTCCTTCTTGACACTCATGTTTTCGGCCTCAAGGGACTGAATACGCTCCATTCGAGTATGCAACTCATGCATAGCCGCATTAAGATTGAGTTCGAAGTTCTGCATTGTGTCAGGTCGATCCTCAAATTCCTCAGCGGCGATGTTACGGAGAGCGGCAAGGGATCGATGAGCACGGTCGACAGTAGACATTAGATTTTGGCTCGTCATTCTCCGAATGACACCACCCTTGGGCCCGGGAGATGTAGGCGACGGGGTGGACTTCGCTTTTTGTACTTGTGCTTTTAGATGCTCTATAAGTCCCAGAGTCTCCTCATGCTCGGCCTGAAGTTGAGCATATTTCTGAGTTACTAGAGTCATACCCTCCTGGTGCTCCGAGAGCAACCTGCGCATACTCTCAACCTCCTGCTTGGAGAACTCGATGTTCTCGGTGGCAACAGGCACATCGCCGTTCTCCGTCTTCGAAGGAGCTGTGGAATCAGAAGCTTCCGGTGAACCAGCAGACTCCCCTGCCAAGGATAACTCCGAGGAGAGTGATTGCGAGGATGAGTGGTGTGCGCCAGTCTTCACCTGGTGCACCCTTGGATCGCCTAAAAAAGAGCTCGGGCGGGAAGTTGCTGTGGGAGAAACTAGACCAGCGGCCGGAACAGTAGGATGGCGCGACTCGTCAGCAGCATCTTGTTGCAGTTTCTCGAGTGCTCTGAGTGCTTCTTCGTACTTTGCAGAGAGGGCATCGTACTCAGTGATCGTGGCCTCGTGCTGCATACGAAGATCCAGAAGCTCCTGGGTTACAGTATCCAGCTTTTCGGCAACGAACTGGCTCTGAGCCGGGCTCTCAGCCGCGTATTCATGCCTCGCGGGAACATCGTTGGGGCCCAACTCCTTGGATGCTCTTTCCAGTAGTCCTAAACCGGAATCTTCGGTCACATCAGCTGGAAGCTCCTCCTCTTCTTCTTCGACATCAGGCATACGTTCTGCAAGGTCATCGTCAGATTCGGGGATCGCAGTTTCAGCAGCTTCAGCCAACACATCTAAAGACGGGGCCCTCTTTCGAGACCTGTATGAGCCTCTGCGTGAAACAACTTCAGACGCGTGTTCGCCCTGGACATCGTCGACTTTCTTGGTACCATTCTGCTGAATGTGATCGAGTTCGTAGAGCAGATTATCGAGCTTGCCTAGGCTTCTTTGTCGGTCAACCACGTGTTCCAAACGCTCAATCTCTCTTTGCATCAACTCCATATCCTGATCGGCTTCCGCAAGGCGCTCCTCCAGAGTAGAGATGTAATCCTCGCAGCTTGCTGCGGTTTCGCGGACACGAGCAAGCTCCCGACGTAACTCAGCCACAACCGCAGACTGCTGCTCCTCGCCAGAAGTGTGCCCATCCAATTTGGATTCGAGATCGTGCAGATAGGTCTCTGTGTTCGCTTCACGGTCCATCATCTTCTGGAGACGGGCCTGCAGCTGCGCATTCACGGTCTCGACGTAGGCAAGCTTAGTTTCCCGCTCCAGGAGATTGCTCTCAGTGCTAGACAGCGATGATCTCGTGTTCGAGAGAGATGATTCAAGACTCTGGATAGTCTTCTCGTATTCCAGAACGACCTGCTCAACTGATTCTGCAAAAGAATGAGAGCGTCGCAATCTCTCCACAGAATTGTTTCCGATCAGCGACGCAATTTCTTCGGGCTCCCCGCTAAACTCCGAGGCCTTTGTAAGCTCGGCCATCAGCTTTGCATGGCGTTGACTGAGAGCGTTGTAGCTTTCCTGTACATCCAGCAGGTGATTTTGGAGTTCAATCTCCCGTTCATTCTGGCGTTCAGACCGCTCTGCGGGAGCTACACTTCTCCTGTCACCCGCCTCCGAATTCCGAATCTGCTGTCGCAAAAATGCTATTTCAGCCTTGAGTCTGTCGATAATGGCCTGTTTATCGTTTTCATCCGTTACTTGCTGGATCCGAGGTTTGCTTTGAATCGCGCGGGCTCTTTGTGCGTACTGTACCGTGTTCAAAGTCTCACTCAGATGGAATTCGGCTGGAGTCACGCATGCAATCATGTAGGTGATTGCATTACCACCAAGCGAATCCTGAAGAAGTCTGGTAAGCTTAGAATCACGGTATGATACATGGGCACCGGACTGTCGAGACGACAGCTGCGAGATCACTTTGCCTAAACTGGCCAAACCTGCATTGATCGAAATTCCTTCCCTTGCTCTTTCGCCAGACGCGCCTGTGTTCTTCAGTCTTTCACTTCCTGCGAGATCAACAAAGTGGAGTTTGCTGTCGACTGTGACCGACGCATCCGAGCCGGACATTGCTTCGACTGGCATGGAGAGTCGCTTCTCCTTCGCAGACGTAGAATTTGGTGATTTGCGCTGGACGAGATTCAGACTGAAAACTGCGTGAGAACGCGATGACTTGGCGTTGACAGCGGTTGAGTCTGTCTGTCTGATTGAGGACCCGAAATTCAGAGCTCCGATGAGGTCTTCGAACGAATTGATAGTGACCTGGTGCAGACCGGTCAGGATAATGCGGCCTTTGGCATCTTCACGGATGGTCACGGCAGCTCGATCGGTCGCGTCGGGGACAAGTAGGTCTCTCAGTTGTTCGTTATAGATCTAGAATCTTGGTCAGGACGCAGCCCTCCTGCAGGATTCCGTGCATGCTTACCTCGACATAGGTGGCCTTCAATTGCCAATTTTTGTCGCTACCGTTCCTACCAAAGCTAGTCGTTGAGCTCATCGAGTATCGGGACGGAGTTCTGATCCCCGACGACGCAGATCTCGTGTGCGTGGGCGTCCCATCTAGTTTCTCGAAAAGCTGCTGAGCAGCTCTCGGGATGACACCTTTTTCCGCTGTTAGTCTCCTATAGGCAACGCGAGTAAACGGATTGAACCACAACGTACCCATGGCTTTAGAGTTATTTTGTTCACTGGGACCGGACGTTCCCATCGTGTAGGATTTGCCGGCACCTGACTGACCGTAGGCCAAAATAGAGACATTGTAGCCCTGGACAAACGAGCTCACACTGTCGCTCAGATACTCCCATATGCCCTCCTGATCAACGGTCTCCGGGAAGACCCTATCGAAAACGAATAGTTTGCGACCTTGAGGGACATCAACGGCTAAACTGGTCGGCGATGTGACATGGACCATTGAACGCTGGAATCGTTGCGGAATCAACTCGTAACCTGGGTCATTTGGCTTGAGGGGTGGGCGGACACGAACGGCTATGTTGCTATGTCAGTGACTGCGTCGTAGAAAGGAACTGCTGCGCATGATGTTTGCAGCGTTGCGGCCATCTGCGCCTGAGGTTACCGCAACCTGAAGAGAAAGGCTGTCCACATACCCACTTTGACCGCCGTCTTCGCATCATCGTCGGATGCGCGACTTCCTCCACCTTGTTTACTGCTCGTGCTCAAACGACTGTTGCTCCGGGGTGAGCGGAACATGGCGCTCATCGGTCGCGAGGGAACGCCTGTGGGCGATCCCGGGGGCGATATTGTCATGTCTCCCCGTTCTGTCTGTTTCGCGAATCGACGTGCGATCCCGAAGGAGTGGAATGGACGACACGGGTGGATATTCGTGCGTTAAAGGGAGATCGAGGTGGTAGGCATCAAGTCGTGACACTTTTGCGTATCGGGGAACGGTGCGACCTGGCGTCCTGCGGACACTTGCGACGTAAAGTTCCCCTATTCGCGGGACTAACTTTGCAGCCAGATAGGCCAGTCGGACGGTGATGGACTGGACTGGACTGGACCGGACTTGAACGTTGGATGAGATGGCGCAGTGAGAGATCCCTCGCGTCGTGAAGCCGGGGAGCGGTCAACCACGAGAACGCTGACGGCAAACGAGCGACCAGCAGTTGCAGGCGCGTTTCTCTGGAGAAATAATAATTTGAGCGAACGTTGACTCCTAAGAAGGATGTGAGGCGCGATAATTCTGGTGGATACCGTTTAGGGGGGGGATTTGGGGCAGAGAGCGATCGAGTAGCGTCGACAGAGCCACCCAGGGAGGTCGACGACCGGAAGAGATTGGACGACTCCTGGCAGCTAGACGGCTCAGGAGTCTAAGACTCAGGAGACCTCGGGAAACGACAGTTCGACGTCGTTAACTTGGGATGATCGGCTGGTTTGGCCGGTCTAAGAACGTAGCGGCTCAGGGGGCGTCTTCACCGTGATAGGTTGCTAACTTTGCGAAGCCGAACGACGCCCAGGCACTTCAGGAGAAAAAGACCCCAGTGGCCCAAGCTTGACGTTCGTCCACACTGGTGGTCTGTGTTGTCGAAAGCTCTGGAGTCGCGCGGACTAGCGTTGAGCAAGAGATAGTCGGAGAGGGCTCTGTGCGGTGGTTAGAACAATCAACAACAAAACAACAGAACAACAGAACAACACAGGGAGACATCAACACTCACTGTTATTGGCGCACGCAGAATGGTTCCTGGCACCAACTCTGGATAGCTTTGTGCCGGCTTCAACTAAATCCTCCTGGAACCACGGCTCATGGCGGATCGGCTTTCTGGCCACGAGGCAGTCTAGTTGGCAAACCGAGCTAATTGTGAAACGGTCCGCGGGGGATCAGGTTCGTGAGGCTATAAGCCTTGTATAACGGATTATTATTATTATTATTGTTATTATTATTACTATGGTGAGGCTAAGAAGGCATGCAGGTACGAGAATCGATGACAGTTTGACAGTAACGCAGAATGATCCATCCGTCGTACCATAGTCTACACACGCCAAGTATTACTGACTACAGATCGATGGGATTAAGTTATCATTATTATCGTTTGATGTCTCTCTACATATCCAATGGGCGTTATCGGACTCGAAAAAAGCGATCTCGATCTCCATACTGACATCCGTCTATCTACAGTGAAAGTGCTGCTTCCATCATCAATCATATATGCTATCTCCGCGAAGATTAATCCAGAGAGAAAGAAATCCGAGACGAGGGCGGCTCTGGCCGAAATGCGTTGATTATGTCGTCTTCTGACTTGCCAACCACGCCACAGATGACTAGACCAGCATACGAGACTGTCAGACAAAGAAGGATCGCCCGTGCTTATCGCCTTGCTGTCTGCGCTTTTTCCAGAATAATCTTCGCGGTTACACTGATAACTAATGCGCAATGGAAAAAATTCATCACAGACAAAGCAGAAGCAAGGGTAGGCCACCCAGAAACCCAGCCCATCTCTCACACGAACTATTATTACAGACTGATCGTCGTCAGGCATAATTTACCATGGATAGGCCCTGCTTGATACACGGTGACGTCGCGACAAAAGTACACATACCTTCTGATGCAGTCTAGCGACGGCACATCACGCTGCAGGCGTATGGAGTATTATAAATCTAGAATTGGCTCTATCACAACGGTAGTAACAACAACCTCCGGACAATCAGAGACGAAAAATCTCCGAACAGAGATCTATAATCTACATATTCAGCGCTTTTCAGCGGCAATGCCAATTCCGTTTGGCCCACGAGACACGTAAAATCCCGGTATTTGATGCGCGATATCCACTCTTAGAGCAAGCCCGTCTCTGACCAAACAAACATAAGACCTGAATGTCTGAAACGGACCGTTGGAAAAGTGAGTCGACTTTGAAGCTTGGTATTGATCTCGCGGGGATAGAGAAGCAATTGATGCACGGATTTGAGATCACACAAAGTTCAGTTACCCACACTCGAGATCTCCACGTTCACCCCTGTGATATTCCAGGCCTCGTTCCCACAAGGTTCAGCAGCTACCACGAGTTCCGCCCAGTAAAAGCAGCGGTGTACTAGTACGGATCGCAGGACGACCGTTGAAGGACGAGGACATGTTGCTCTCTCCCTCTCTCCGGTAAAAAAGAGTCCGATTCAACCAGCATAGACGAGATGGCTATTTCGATCTAGCCCCGACCCCGCTCAAAGAGTTCAGCAGGAGAGGAATCCATCCACGCCTAAAGAAATAGGCGGTCTAGCGTCAGATATCGCGAAACACTGTACCATAGGCAGTGGAAACGGTTTCTCATCGAACATTGGATCGTTCCATAAGCCATGCGAAGCGTGTTAGTGTTCTCTGCACCTTATGGACAGAGACAATTGTTTGCTTCTTCGCGAGCACGGCCACGGCTCCTTTACAACTACCTATGACTTTCAGCTCTCAACTATCATGACGAGGCAGACTGCTAAGAGAATATTACAGGATGCTAGAATAATATCTGCAGGGGCCTAATAATACAAGCTGCGAATCGATCAGTATCCAGGTCCACCATGCTCAGGGCAGAGCACGGCACAAGCTGCCGCACCCGCCACTAAGTAGCTGAATCGCGTGTTAGCTTGAGCCTTGAGGTTCCGAGTCGATAACCTCCGCGAGCTTGCACCCCTATAACTTCGGTTCACCGTTTCGCCCATCTGAGGGCCGGCTCGTTCGATCATGCAGGCTCAAGCTGAGCTTGTCAAAAAACCAGCAAATCGTTCGACTAGTGTGTTCGGCTTTGGGATCTCTACAGAGTAAGCGTTCAGCTACTCCCAAGTGGGACTGGCATAAATGCAGCAGATCCTCATCGAATGCCGTTAGATTTGATATTCTGACTTTGCCCGGTGGCCCGGAGGCTTCTTGTTTCCGAAGCACGGAAACGAAACAGGCCCGCTGCTAGAGCAAGTTAACGTAAACGGTTGTCCAGAAAGGGTTCCAGCCTCTCTGCCCCAGAGTCTTTTTCTGATCCGCACCTGCTTCAGACGCAGCCCATCTCGCCTACCTAGCTAGAGATCTTCTCACGCCTTACCTTGCAGGGTCCTATGTGAGGGTGATCACAGAAAGCAAGACGAACGGGAATGTCGAGAAGCCCGCAGACTATGGAATATTTGAAACACCTTCAACTACAATTCCTTGCTGCAGGATCAGTTTAATTGATTATAGCGATATCTGCGGACAGAGGAAATGGCTATCGATTTGGGTGGACTAATGATTATCCAGGCAGCGAGGCGTGTCAAGATCCCCAAAGCGGCAGATGATCGGCAGACACCAAGGATATTTTTGATCGATAACTCACCTCACTCGAAGCCGAAACCACCGCCTTTATTGACACAAGCAAAGTGAAGCTGCCTGTTATATTTCTTGCGAGGTACAACTCCAGGTAAGTGATGTACATACAACACAGATATCTCCAGCATAAACTAGCGGACAGGAAAACCGTGGACGATATTTTCACCACCCATGCACGGGCTATACCAAGGCCTATAACAAAACAGGGGTCCCGGGCAATTCCGTCGGAAGAAAAGATGCTTTCCCCGTACAGTGCATTAATGATCCTGGATCCCTCTCGCCTGGGGGATAGAGCAATCATGCGGATCATAGATATGACACATATCAAGTTTTGCCAAGTTTAAGGACAGACCCCTTCTCCTGGAGGCTGGAGCTATATCCCTATGGCGGCCATTGCTCTGTTGTCACGATCATTCTTGACAGTTAGAACACGGGTGATTTACATGACAGCAATATTATCCGTTCATGCTTATGGATCTAGATATGCATATGTCATGTCTTCCAAATTGTGATGTGTTGCTACTCCGCTATAATAGCCTGGCTTATGACTCTACAGCTCTTTTTTTTTTCTCCCTCTCCTGTCACGTATATTAAACGACCTATAGTCAACAGAACACACCATCGCTGCAAAGGTGGATTGCAAACCGACTTAATAGGCAGGTTCCAGTTAGCGTAGGGCCAATGATGAAGTTTGACTAAGCTACTGCATTTTTCTAAATAAGTTAGAACATGTCAGCATTGATGTGTCAACTCTTGAATCGTCGAGGTCCTTTTTTAAAAAATTTCCAAGTTTAATAGAACTAGTATTATCGACAAGGCTTAGCAAATAACAAGGTGTAGGATAGTAACTGCGTCAGTAAACATAACTCAGTAGAGTAACAGCACAACAGTCATTGTCTCTCTACCCTGCCTTCAATCGAAGGGATCCTAGACCTCTTCCACCTCCTTCCGCGACCACACACTCATCCATCCATCCATGGATCAAAACACAATCCAAAATCCATCTCGCGCAGAATACGTTTCACAACAGTCACATCTCACCGCAATAATTTGACACCTCAGACACCAAGCCCTACCCGTTCCAAAGGGTAAAAAAACCCAAACGAAAAAGCAACCGACTCGGACTGCCAAACCGGAATCGAGAACTCCTCGTCCGAGGAAGAGCTGTCGAATCTCATTTTTTTGGGACTTTATGATCCTTTCACCCGGGAGATGAGGAGGTGTAGATGTATGGTTGGCTTTTCTCGGTTCGTATGCAAGGGATGGAGGAGGGGATGTATATCCCACCTCCTCCCGCCTGCTACGTAGTAATTAATAACCAGTGATGGGAAGGCGAAATCGAATTCTTATTTTATACTTTCATGAGGTAGTAAAATTCGCGCATGTCGAATAGATGCTGGATGTGGTCCTATTGCTTGGTAACTGATACTTTGCCGGTGGCGAGGCATTAAAGAATATATATATATCATTCAACTCCTTGCTTCAGTCATCCAACAACTTAACTCATGAGTTCCCATGCAGGATCTGACCGATTCTTCACAGAAAGGACCCATTTATGAGCGATGAATACTTAATGTAACCTGTAGCATGGTGGGATGGAACGTGTAAGGTCTCGAAATGTCCAAGATCTTGCATACAGCATCGCAGATCCCGATCCTTCCTTAAACTGTCGGTGAAGAGTACAGGGATTCGATATGACAGGCTCGGATCTGGTTCCCTTTGCATGAAATAAGCTGTATATCGTAACTATGAGATCTGATCGTCCGTTTTAAAGGTGGATCGGATGTACGGGGTAGACTAGTTATCTGCCGTGCGGAAAGGGATAAGAGGCTGGCACGGTGATGATCACATATCTGCACGATGGTGGTCTAGATGTCTGCAGTGAGAAAATTGCCAAGGCGTGTTTGTTATGAGGAAGTTGGAGATAATAAGAAGGTGCATGAAGCGAGAGGATGAAGATGCGATGCTTCGAAACGAGAGGTGGATCAAGGTGTATTTGAGAAAGGGATATAGAGATGAGGAAATGACTGGGATTGCTCTGTTTCTTAGTTTTCTAGCCAATGTTCATTGTTTCGATGGTTTCTGTACGGAGCAGTGTAGTCTGGATAGATAATGATCAACGATACCCGATTTCAGCTGATTAGCCGTGATATACAACTCTCGGGATGATTTATCTATAAACGCAGAAACAAGTAGATATGTATAATCGCATAATCTAGCAACGTAGGTATCTACTCTTACTTGATGCTTAAATACAATGCAATCTTCTTCAGTTGTCTCCCAAGGACGATTTCATATGTTTGCATGAGTCTCATCCGGATAATTTCCCATTCGGCTTCGTATCTCGTTTGAAGTCGTTTCTATTCAGCATGCAACCTTCAGAACCCAGAGTTGTTTACAACTCCTCAGACTCAAATGCTTCGAGGGTTAGAGGCCCCTTCTTGACCATCATGGTGAGAACTTCATAAAGAACATCGGCAGCGGCCCTGTAACAGCAACAATCAGAGATCAGCAAGGATGTCTACTGTGATATGGTAGGCAAGATCAAAGCGAGTGGCCGAGAGGAACGTACATGGTGGTAAGCTCTGCGTTGGTATCATAAGCCGGAGCGACCTCGACAATATCAGCGCCGATGAAGTTGAGGCCATCGAGACCACGGATGATAGTCCGGATCTCACGGGTACTCCAGCCTCCAGTCTCCGGGGTACCGGTAGCGGGGGCGACTGCGAGAGGTCAATGTTAGATAGCTATTTACTTCAGAATATCCTTCTGTATTATACTCACAGGCAGGGTCAATGGTGTCGATATCAATGGAGAGATAGACAGGATTCTCAGTGCCAACTCTGTCACGGATCTTCTTGACAATGCCGTCGATACCTGTGGAATGATAAGTTAGAGTCTTTTCTCGTCACAAACAAGCTCGTTTGTATTAGAAGGCTATACCAATGGTGTCAATTTCACGGGCTTCAACAATCTGAAAGCCGACGTAACCGTCATTCTCGTAGTCAGAGGGACCAGAGAGAGTGGTACGAATACCGGCGTGGATGTTGGTGTCATTCCTCAGAAGACCTTCCATGGCGGCATGGTAGAAGTAGGTGCCGTGGTTGATAGAAGCGACCTTGCTAGGGGAACCGCCAAAGACCTTTGGCTTCCAAGTATCCCTGAAGCATTTCGTGTCAGCTCTGAGCGCGAGGCGACCAACAAAGGATTCACTCACAAATGGCTATCGAAGTGGATCACAGTAACAGGTCCGTACGCCTTGTTAATACTCCGCAGCAGAGGAAGGGTAATTGTGTGGTCACCACCCATGGTAATGACACGGGGGAGGGTCTTGCCAGCCTTCGAAAGACCCTTCTTGTTTGCGTCGGTGAAGGGCTTGCGCATGAGGACGCTGTTGTGGCCTTCTTCGATTTGCTGGATAGCCCAGGCATTGTCATATCTATCGCAGCTTGTTAGCAGAATCTATAGAATAATGGTTGACGCGCGCAAGTCGTTCAAGACAGGGGAAAGTTGAGAATAACATACGAGGTAACTGGGACATCACCACAGTCCAAAACCCTCAATTCATGATGGAAGGGATTCGCCTCTAATGGCACATTATAACCACCGCTGAACCCCAATTTTCGTGAGCCTTTTTGCCGTGACAGACAAGTAAGTAAGCTTGGGTCACCCCGGAAGAAAACGTACTAGAGGTTGAGACGGCGAGAACCTTGTCTGATACCGCTGGGGCCGAAGCGAGCACCAGGCCTGTAAGAAGTACCAGTGTCGAAAGGAGCTCCTGCAATATGAGATTGCTAAAGTCAGCTTGCTGTATGGGATAATTGTAGCTTATGTTGTGGTCCACTATGAAGCTGTGGAGCGGAAGTTGCTAGCCCGCGAGTAACTTGTGGACGACATCGCAACTTTCAAGAGGCACTTGTCTCCCACGAGAGAACGACTCAAAGAACTGGATCTCAGATATGGGAACTCAAGACAACTCACCCAGGAAAGCAATGTCATATGACTCCTCATCACTGGACAAGCATGGGAAGTAGGGAAGTCGCCCGAAGGTCGAGATTCCGGAGAAGACAGAGTCTGCCTGCAATCAAACGGTTAGCTGCAACGGACTTCAAACTGGATTGGTTCCCATTTGATCGTGATTACATGCCTGTTTTCCGCCATCACCAGGCAAGGTATTGTACCACAAACCCTGGTGAGGACCAGCCATGGTCTTCTGACGGTGATCGCCATGAGCAGCGGCAACAGCCACAAGGGCGACAAAGCTCAACGTGGGAACAATCATGATTGGATCTCCTTCTCTATCTCAAGGAACAATATGAATACGGGAAGAGAGATCAAGAAAAAGCTGTACGGAGACCAGAGGAACAGAACGCTGGCAGCGGCACCGAGCTTCAGAAATATAGCTGCTCGGGGGATGGTCTCAGCGCTCAAAGCTCGTCCTGAAAACATGGAAGCTGAAGAAACAGTCTACTACTACGACAAAAAAAGAGAATAAAATACTTTGGAGCTTGACCCTTTTCTCTACCGCGGGATAGTGGTTCGGAGATCCAACATCGCGATTTAGTCCTGTCTATTATTCACATCTGTTGCTGTTACCTAACGACAAGAGAGTCCCCCCCGCAGTGGAATTATAGAGAGAGATACAACCCTGGCCGTGATTGCCTTTACTTGGAGATAGGCCACAGGATACGGTATGTTAAACGATTACCTACACGTTATTCATATCGATGACCATTCGATAGTGATTTCACCCTCCAGTGGTTGATGGGTCTTACGGAATGGATACCTCCATGCATAGATCCATCATGGACTACGACGCCGGTTCCATGGCCTGATCATCCAAGTTCATGGGCCTAGAAGCACGCTATGTCTGGAGTGAGTCTATGAGTGAGGGCACGCTCAACGGACAGCAGAGTGAGCCGTCGACAGAGCAAGCTAGTTCACTGGCTATCTCCAATATCCTTCCTATTGGGGACAAGACGGACGGAACATCGGTCAGCATGAAAAAGTCAATTGGATAACAGGAGAATATCTTTTCTATTCCGCATAAGGTATCTGCATATGCCTGCATGTTCATCCCGGCCTTTCTTACCTCACTCGAGCTAACTCAACGGGAACAGAAGCAAATTCCTATATTCCGCACAGCCAGGTACCGCTGACCCAATAGGAGAATCTCCGGGTTTCGTCCATATCACAGCTTATCGCTGGGATCGTCGTCGATGGGGTAAGAGAAACGTGGAATCCATGACGTTGATGTCTATTCTCTATCGCCCGTTCCGGATCTTCCACGGGGATTCTACCTACCTTATCGGTCTTGATAACAACAAGTCAGAGAGAGGTCTCATAAAAATGAATAAAGAGAATTGATCATTGCTGTTGCGATCTCCCCTCTTTAACCATTTCTGTGTAGTCAACAACAAGATAGGATGTGACGTGCATCCATACCTAAAAGGGAAGGCCGCGGGAGAGGGGCAATTCTTGACCGAACCCCAGATTATTGAAATTAAAATAGTCTATCTAAGTAGCTATCTTATCGATTGCGGACGTTTGGACCGATATCGCGAGAATCACCTCTTTCTTATCGATGACGTGAGCCAATCATTACTGTTTTTAGCCGCAACATCAGCCGGTTCCTGCAACAAGGGGATCTCTCCTCAAGTAATTGCCGAGGCCTAGAAGGAGCAATTTTTTGATCTATAACTAGTTACTGTACTGATGAGGCTGAATAATTTGATTTCATGATTGTGTAGCACGCAGCAATCCTAAAGACTTTGTATATTTCAAAAATCAACATAAAATCCAATTCTGAGCTATGAAACGGTGCTCGTAAAACGAGATTCTTTTTGTTAGTCCCATACCATCCATCTATACATCTCATGCATACTCAGATCTAAACCCTCAATCCATATCCCCTGTAGACCCAATTCCCCCCTCAACACGCTCCGAAGTATCCATCCTAGCAAAGGCCTTCTGCACCTCCTTCTCCCAATTACTCAGAGCAACAATCGCCCACTCAAGCAATCCAACCAGATAGAGCGCAATGCACTGTCCGACCCAGAGACCCTTCAGACCCCAGCCATGAAACGCGAGCCACACGCCCAACGGCAACGCACCGCAATAGTAACTAACGATATTGACGGCCGCACCGACGTGCTGACGGCCCATGCCCCGTAGACTCCCTCCACAACTACCGTTCAATCCGTCCGCGATCTGGAAAAGTGCAACGTACGGTAATACTTCGGCTGTGAGACGGACGACGCGTTCGTCGTCATTGAAGATCTCAGCGAAGTGATGTCGCGATCCCATCAAGATGGAGAGTACTACGGTTCCTAGGAACATGCTGAGCCAGGCGGCCGTGTTGGCTGCGCGGGCCGCGCCTCGAGCATCGCGAGATCCCAGGAGGTTCCCAACTCGTGCGGAGGCCGCGACACCTACGCCGAAGGGGACAGTGTTCATGACTTGGTCGGCTGTCATGATCACGCTCTGAGCAGCGAGTGGGATCGTGCCCAGTCGACCGGCTGCGAGAGCGACGATTTCAAAAGCCCACCATTCTGTCCCGACGTGGATGACACCCATGATGGCGAGACGGGCAAATGTGCCCATGTTGCTGAAGGCTTTGCGTGTCCAGCCACCCCAGCATTCGGAGCCGTCGATGAAGCGGGCGTAAAGCACAAGAAGGGCGAAGGATAGCCAGTATGAAATGCTGGTTGCGAGAGGAGCGCCCAACAGGCCGATTTTGAAAGTGTATACGAGCAGGTAGTTGAGCCCGGCGTTAAGGGGGGAAGTAATCAGGAGAACGTAGGTGCCGGGGCGCATGATTTCTAGAAGCGATTATCAACTTTGGGCGAGGATGTGAAAGACGCAATGAACATACCTTGAGCTTGTAGATACTTCTTCATAGCCTCAAAGTAGATATATCCCAGTCCACCCGGTATCAGACAGGTGAGAAACCTGGCGCTGTCTCGCGATAGTGTCGCATCCTGGCCGAGAAACCTGAACACAGGCTCTGCGCAAGCCCACAAAATAGCCACTGGGATATAGAAGAGTCCGAGAATAATGAACCCTCTCTGCAGGAGGATGCCAAGATCATGTTTGTTCGAACTTCCCGTAAAGGTAGAGGATGCCAGGGTATCCAATGCTGTAGTTCCACCCAGTCCGATCAGCCATGCTGTGCACATGGCAAACATGTATGAGAAGGCTGCTGCTGCCAGGTGCTCTGGCGAAGATCGGCCCACGACCAGGACGGAGATTGTCTGCAAACTGTTTTGCAGCGTATAGGCAAGAATGACCGGTATAGATCCCTTGAAGAGTAACAGAAACTCTTTCGCGACGAGCTGTCTGGTTGACTGGCCGCGATCGCTGAGATCATAAAGGTCGCCATCATTCTGGCTATAGGCGCTTTCTTGATCTGTTGGCTTTGGGAGGAGGTTTGTATATTCGGTTGGGGTGACATCGCCCTGGGATCTACTGCCATTGCTGGCAGGAGGGATATCGCTACCCATTGTAGGACGGTATATAGGAACGAGACACTTCTCTAGGTAAATACAGTTGATGAAGGCAAGACTGTGAGAAATATTACGTCAAGTACATGAGTAGAAAATAGACCTCGATTCTACTTCTAGGTAGATCGTGATGTGTGGAGGTATGTTGATGCCCAGACACTCACACTGCCAATAAGCACACAGAAACCTGCTCAGTAACCGATTGAGTGACTAAATGGTACTGTATTCTGTATGTGGTCCCTGGTGGTCTAGTCTTAGGACCGTAGAGACCGGCCGTAAGCCGTAGTAGGAGTGGACGATAGAGTACCTAATACTCAAGACCGCTTGGTGACCGATCACCGGAGCAAACGCGTGGATCTTTTCAAAAGACCAAAAAGGAAGTTGCATTAGCAGAGTGACGCAGGCATATAGACCACAATTACTGGTGCACTCGGTGCCAATTGCATCTTTCTGGCAGCGAATGCGGGCCAAACAGTATCAACGGTTCTCTCACGGGGGCCACTATCTGCAGCAGGGATACAGTTGCGTTATCTTCGAAGAATCTCTCTAGATGCACACGTCTGGCTTGTCTGCCATGATTTTGTTCTTTTTTTTTTTTTAGTCAAGTATATGACAATATGGTTGTGCTAGCACGTCGAGCCACAATGGCGGGATGGATGGGGTCCGAGGAAGACTACTACGGACCCATTGTAGAGATAAAAATATACCTGAAGCTTGGACCATTGCCTCTTCCATTTTATTGATTGTCTCAATCGGATACCCTATTTGGGCAGACTGTTTGAGTTGGCTATCTATGGGACCATACTGCCTGTCGTGTTGGTGATAGCATAGATCAGTGCTGGATTTAGGTTAAGGGGAATAAATTGGCATTCTCGAGTTATTAACTTGGTGCAGAAATGTATAACTAGTATAAACTATGATTTTAGTAGCTTCAGATAGAAAACAGTGTTTCTGCAGAATTAATTGCAATTATTCGATTATTCAACCGGACGACAGTTGGTGATAAACAGATAGCGCTTATCTAGCCCGGCTTGGCGGTGATTGGCTGGCAGTGGCAGAGTCACTGGGATGATCGCAGATAAGTCGTTTTGATCAGTAATAATAATGAATATGCTGGATAGTTGGTTATGTGATTGACTTACTTATCTCATTCAGAAGTTCTGCCGTGTGCAGGGAAGATGATTGTCCACAAGAGGCAACTGGTAGTTGAACGGCGCCAAACTACACGACAGCCACGAAGAACTCTGCCATGATGATTGGAGTGATGAGGTTCTTAGAATAGTTTGCCAGGGGTCGATAATGATAGGGACCGTGGACTGTAAAAGGTTCGACAATACATTGACTGGACTGTATCACGATCGCGTGGTTGATGAGCAGCAAGCTGGATCGCCCTGAGACGGCCAGGGGCTACACTGAGATATACTCCCCTAGATAGCCATCATAATAATGATATAAGCCCCTGCTAGTTAACTACTATAACACGGACGACCCCAGCGTTGATCGCCGTGAACCAGCCCGGGGCGTCAGGATATCGTGGCGTAACAAACATCCTGGCCAATTCTTCTTATCCAGAATTGGGACGTGTCATTGGATTGCCCTGATAACTATTATATTACTTCGATATCTGCATAGTACCTGAAAACTGTTCTAGTACAAGTGGTGTTTGCCTGGTATCCATATGCGCGGTGTCTGAATAGTGCAATTCCGACCATGGACGAAAAGCAGGAGCCAATATCGGGGACGAAAGAACCCATCATGACGGATGCTTCGAACAGTGTGAAAGAGGGAAACGTCTCTATCCCTACTAACACGACCCTTGTGGGAAACAGCCATGTCAACAAACCCCAGGTGACCAAGGATGGCGTCAAGCTGCACCCACAACCAACGGCTGACCCCCTGGATCCTCTGAATTGGTCCAGTATGCGGAAGCACACCATCCTAGGTATCGTTATGTTCAAGTATGTCTTCGCATTATTCTGAGGATATCATGCCAGCATATCAAAAGTACTGACAGGATCCCCCCAAGATACTTCTTGTTCACATATATTACGACGACAACGGTGCCATCTTTCCCTGCGATCCAGACGCAGTTCAGCATCAGCTACTCTCAGGTCAATTGGACGGTCGCCATCCCAGCTCTGGGTCTTGCCGTCGGTCCCTTGTTCTGGTCCTCATTTAGTGACATCTATGGACGTCGCATCATCTTCATCTTGGGAACTATCATCGCACTGGTTGCAACTTGCGGTGCTGGTGCTGCGAACACATATGGCGGGTACATGGCCGCTCGCTTTTTTCAAGGCTTTGGTGTGAGTCCTGCATCGACTGTAGGAATGGCTGTAGGCAAGTGTTCCTAGTAATAAGTACGCTTCAGACGAGAATCACTATCTAACAAACGACCAGTGGGCGATCTTTTCTTCGAGCATGAGCGTGGCCAGAAGCTAGGCCTCTGGGTGCTAGCTATCGACTCTGGTTTGCTTCTGGGACCAACATGTAAGTCTAGTTGCACAAAACATGCCAGATGTGGGTTGCTGATAGCTCTCTAGTTGGCGGTTTCTTGAACGTTGTCAGCGCCGCCTGGATCAATTGGTTCAACGCAATCCTTTTCGCGGCCCTTCTTGTCCTCGAGCTGTTCTTCATGCCGGAAACGCTATACCCACGAAACCTGATGCTTCAGCAAATGCCTTTGGCAAACGATATACCAGGAACAACCGACATTGAAAAGGCCGCTCATAAGCAGGGCACCGTAGAGAATGTCGACTTGCCCCGGACCACCAAGCTCTTCTTTCTGAACATCAAGCCCGTCCCCGGCGTACGCCACCCAAAGCCATGGGACTCGATCGTACGTTTCCTGCTCACGTTCCGCTTCCCTGTCGTCGTCATCGGCGTTTTAGGCTACTGCTTCCTGTGGTACTGGTGGGTGCTATCAGTAATCACGATGCTTCCAGCCGCATATGTCAACTACTCCCCACTAATCCAAGGACTGCTATTCCTTGGACTACTTCTGGGGACCTTATTCTCGGAGATTTTCTTCTCTGGCACACTCAGCGATTATATCGTAGCCAAGATGGCGAAGAAAAACAACAATGTTCGCGTTGCTGAGATGCGGCTGTGGTTGGCATATCCTGCTATTCTGATCACTGCTAGTGAGTATCGACATTATTTATCGTCACATTCTACTCTATCTGCATCAAAGCTAACATGCACACACACATAGTCGGACTCATCGTCTGGGGTATCAGTATCGATAAAGGCTACCACTGGATAGTTGGCCAGATTGCCTTCTTCTTATGTAAGTTCCAAAAAGGAACCCTCCCAATTCCCAGGCAATACATACATAGCATTAGCACCAAGTAGTTACTTTACTTACTTATCTAACACAATCCTCAGTCGCCGCCGGCATCCAGATCGGCAATACCGTAATCAGCAGCTACATCGTCGACAGCTACCCGCTACAATCAATGAGCGTCATCACATTCTACGCTGTATTTCTCAATCTCAGCGCTTTCATCAATCCCGTAAGTCACCACTGATTATCAACTCAAACATGCCCAGACTACACAAATACAACACTATCCATCAACCTACTAACAACGTCTCCCTCCCCCGGGTGATTACAGTTCTTCATCGCCCCCTGGCAAGCATCCTCAGGCTGGACCTGGACATTCGCCGCACAGGGCATTATTGTTTTCTTCGCTGGGATCCCACTCTTCGCTGTGCTGCAGCGATATGGGGCGGCTTTGCGGGCAAAGTCGCCGCAGGCGTCGTGGGTTAATCCGGAATTCGATACGAGTGTTTGATGCATTTTTTTTTATGTTGTTTGTTAGGCAGGCAGAGAGGTATGGGATTTTTACCAAGAAAGATATGTAGGTTTATATATGCCTAGATGAACTACTGTGTTTATTAGATGATGCAAATACTGTCAATCAATATACAATATGCAATCAAGTATGGTCTAGTATCTTACGATTCTCTTCTAGCTTATATATATATAGCTCCAGCACCACAAAAAGCATAAGGATTGAAGAATCAAAAATGGTGTTATCATATTCATCATCTTGTCTATAAAATTCCGAAAACCGAACTATCTCTTTCCGCAGTTTCCAGTCAAAAGATCGCAGAGCCAGATCACAACTATGAAGCGCGAAAAGGTATAGGAGCTCGAATGGAAGTGCACCGCGAGAGGGTTCATGATTAAAAAAAAAAAGCAAGAGGAAAATTGAATTGAGACCACACCCAAAGAGTAACTAGCCCGCACCAAATGGATGAAACCCGGAACAATGTAGGTATATCGCCACGCCTCCCCGGAAATGCATCTGAATAAGTGGAAAAGCAGATGGAACAAAGCAGGATGCGCTCCCAAAGCACTAGAAGTCTTCATAAAAATAGCCCAGAGAATAGCAACTGGTGGGAATCAAAAGCTATGATACAAGAAAGGAAGAATCTCATGTCTCCTGAGGGCAGATCCAGCAGCCAAAAGATCGGCGACCGATCAAGACGTTGGAGTGCAGCCGTCGAAGACGTGAAGGAAACAGGGCAGGCTAACCAACGGAGCTGCAGCAAATCATCAGATGAAAAAAACAATTCAAGTAAGAATATCCCGTTTAACCGTCATAAGCCGCCAGCGAAGAGGCGAAACCAGTAAGTATATGAGGATGTTCACAGATGTCCATATAGTCGTAGCCGGTATATGCAGGTATCATGCGCCCCCCAGTTAGAATTCACCCTGAAGACAAGTTTATCCACACGGAGACCTGGCAAGTCAATGATGGCGTCAAGGCTAAAATGCTGTATATGATCCTCGCTATTGATATTGTACTGCCACTTGCCGACACGGTAAAATGACGGCCCCAGCAAAGCATCATCCCAGTAAGCTGTTTCTGCATCGCGAGGATAAGTCTGACGCAGGGTTTCCAAGACTAGGTCGTGAAGAGATGAGACCGATGAACTCGATGGTGGCAAGTGGGTCGACAGTTTCAGCGCGGGAGAGGGATCTTGGGCGGCGGAGGGACCAGAGGAGAACCACTTCTCCATGAAAGACCCCAATAAAGAAGATGGCGACGTATTGGGGACGGAAGGGTCCGTTAAGATGACCGTGCTCTGGTTGAATACATACCGCACCCAGAGTTCCATCTCTCGCGGGGCAACTCCCGGCTCCAGGGACGCATCCTTGGGAATATGCTCTACCACAACTTCTTCCGGCACTATCTGGCGACCGAGTATAACGGTAAGCTGGGAAAGCCCATCGCGAGGAGCACTGCACCAGCAGTCACCAAGCCCATCCCAAGGCGTCAGGGCAGTAACTGGAGCTCGCACCCCTTGAGGACTGTCTTTCGAAGCTCCGAAAAACATACGTCCAAGGAACGATCTCGCACGGCCACTTGTGGGACTAGTCATGTATGGATCGATAACAGCCCCAGTCCCTGGTGACAAGAAGTTGACCCTGGGAGGCTCAGCGGGAACTAGAGCAACTGGTTGAGTGATTGTTGGATGGGTGGGGTCTTTGTTCCATTCCATTCTCATCGAGCTCATTTCCCTAGATATCGATGACACTTGTGTACCCAGTCTTTCAACCTGCCCCGAGATGCGGCTGAGGAACTCCGATTCTGACGCGTTCAGAGAATAAGGGACGCGGTTTCCGAAGGGGACAGCGGAGCCCATGGAACCAGAAGCTAAAAGCACAGCGAATGCATAACTGGCCACTATAGCAACCAGCACTGATATCACGACAAAGACCATTTTAAAATTGATGTTTATCCGCGGAAAAAGAATCTGGGGGGTCCTGATATTAGCAAGAGGTACTGTACGGGCCGCAAAAGGCTGTTCAGATGTTGTGCTCGCATCGTCGGTAGAGGGCTCTCTAAAGGTAGTATGAGGGATAATAGTTCGTGCGGGCGCTGTTGAGAAACCGTCTTCACGCTTTGGCTCCGGCGTAGGCTCTCTCGCTGGCTTTGAGCTAGGCTGGACTTCAGGCTCTGGCTCTGGCTCTGGTTCCGGCTCTGGTTCCGGCTCTGGTTCCGGCTCAGGCTCCGGTTCAGGCTCGGTCTGGGGCTGGGGCTGCGGCTCAGGGCTTGACTGAGCGCTTGAGCTTGGTGTGAGGTCAGGACTAGGCTCAGATTCTTCAGTCTCCTCCTCAATGATATCCCGTGAGAACGAAAGTCCGGAAGGACGTTTTGGTGGGGCTGTAATATTTGTGCCATGCGGTCCTTGCCGTCTGTACGTAGAATTCTCTGTCGTGCGTTGCAATTCAGCGTCATGAATCTCACGCTCCAGGTTCCAGGAAACTGTCGACATGTTATCGACTGAAGAAGTTTCAAACCGGGACGAGTCCAGCGCAGAGGCATCTTGCCCTGGGGATGATCGGAACCTCCCAGGCGTAGGATCCAAACGCGGATATGTCCCAGGTCGCAGACTCTGGTGTGTAGTAGGGAAACTCGAACGAACAGGAGTGGTATCTGTGGAGAGGGTGTGTGGCACAGGAGGCGTGGGAGGCGCCGTAGAATCGGGGTTACTGTCAGAACCCAGAATGGTAGATAGCTTTGGAGGGGAAGGGGATGGGCTTTGAGTCTCTTCGCGCAGTGCATCCAGCAGTTGTTGGTCAGGAGTTGGCTCCCGACGAGGACGCCCTCGACGGCCGGGAGACCTACTGGCAGCGGGACGACGAGTCGGACGCGCAACGGGGGACGGGCTTCGCGAGACAGAACGTGTTTGTGAGCGTGTTGCCATCCGCTGATTCCTATTTCGTGGATTTTCGTCGATAGTGGTGTCGCGTTCATGAGCTTGTCGTAGGCCTACGTCGATAGTCTCAGCCATCTCTGAGATTCCCATTGAGACATTTGTGCCTAGCTCGCGAGGCAAGGCTGGGGTCTTCGACGAGCCATAAGCAAAGGACTGCTTGCTTCGGATACTTGGTAGGCCGGGGTTGAAAACGTCAGGGCTTGACAGGCCGGCAGCGAGTTGGGAATGATTGGATATGACGGAGCCAGCCCGGCGGCCAGAACTCCGTTTCGGTGGCATATTATAAGTTGATATTAACTCCTCAAAGCGCACACCTCAAGAGTAGCATCAGCTAGACGAGTTCTGCACATAATAATCAGTATATGGTAGTTTCACAAACCGAAAGAAGAAGAAATGATGTCCCCAAATCAGCAGATCATTCGAGGGATAACATGCAGGTAGGCAAGAGAAATACAGAAAGAAATGTCAAGACAAAATGAACCAGCAGATCAAATTAGAAAGAAACGCAGAGTAGAGTCATGAGACAAATATAAGATGACAGGACCGTGACTGGAGAAGTGAAGCAGTATGTTGCCGTGCAGGTGGCAGAATCTGTCAACGTTGTTTCTGAGCCGCATGGTGCAGTACAAAAGGGATAATAACAAACAGAGCCGGAGAGTAAGGCTGCACAAACGAGATGCCACAAACAAATGTTCTGCTCACAGAAAGAGCATGATGACATTCAACAACAGCCATCAAGCCATGAGGACATGCAACTTACCTATCTCTTAGGTCCAGTAGGTTCTGGTAATCTCAGAATCAGGTCTCTCTGACACAGCCAGTGACAACCCAGATATGTCAACTCCAGATTGACCCAAGCAAGTGACACCTGATATTAACAAGCAGCAATGCAAGTAAAGTGCCACAGCTGCCTTGCAGATCCAGTATCATAAGACAAGCGCGAGGTTTATGGCTCCCCGTTTGCGTTGAAGATGTAGCCAATAAGACTATCAACTAGCTGATCTTATGTTAAGATCTGCAGCGTAATGCAGCCGGATCAATGCACCTATGACTGGACGATACGAATGCCTGTTTCCGTGGCAGATACCGCAGTACATAGGGATATGGATATTGCAGATTCTCGGTTCGTGGAGAGCGGCTAGGTAAACTGCTGGCCTATCGTAGCATACTCTTCTCCCCCAAGACCACCAGACACGTGTTTTTAAGATCAATGCTTAGTACCACGCATGGAAATAAGATACTAAGAAAAGGGTTAATCGGACGAGAAAATAGCTCAAAACAGCTTTGATTCTTAATGATTTAAATTGAGGATTTGCTGTACAGACCCAAACAAAGATGCCTTTCCGCTTTGTTTTGCCGCGCGCGCTTCGGCACGTGGTCCGAGCTTGATCACGTGGATAGGAGGTCACGTCGAGACGCGTCGAGAGATGTTGCCAGATCTGGTTCATTTATGAGAAACCCCAGTAAGAGTTGATCCTTCTCGGCAGCTCTGATCAGAACCACCACACTCTGAATAAAAGGAGATCTATGTTGGTACTATGTAACATTCGCTAAATCACAGCAAGGCAACATCGAGACATAAGACAGCATCATCGCTGGTTTGGCAGGAATCCAGCGCGAGAAAGCCCATGGCACACGTTATTCTACAGATCATCCCCCATACTAAGACTGTCGCCAGCCCTACAGTCTATAACCATGAAAATAGTATACAGGAGGTGTCTCCTTCGTAGAGGGTGAAAATGCAGTGCTCACCGCGACGTAGTGGAGTTGGGTTATGGAATCGTCAAATCGAGGTCACTTCAGCATGTCCACGCGCCGATCACGCCGTCTCTACGGCCTTCGATGAGATAGCCGTCCTTCAGGCGGACGCGCTCCACCGTGGAAGGAGCAGCACTATCATCCTCATCGATGCCCACCCCGGGACCGCAGTCCCAATGGTGGCCGTCTCCCTTGTCGTAGACCTTGACGACGTTTTCTCCAGCTGCAGCCACAATCCGACGGTTATCGAACATCATACTAGTGATGGGCTTGTCGTAAGCAAAGGCATCGTAAATGGATCCAGTTCGAAGATCCCAGATCTGAAAAAGAAGAAATTACGTTAGCAAAGGTACAGCAGCTTAGAACTATATCATGAATGACACTTACCCGAATACTGCGGTCGAGACTACCTGTCACAATATGTACATCGTCAAACTGCAAGCAGGTCACAGGTCCTGTATGTCCCACCAGGCTACGGTGGACTTGTCCACTTCGCAGATCCCAAAGGCGAACCATACCATCAGCAGTGCCGCATGCCAGGGCTGCGTCGAAGCACTGGAGGGCACCGACAAAGTCGGCAGAGGCGTCAGGAAGTCGCCCCGAAGGTCGCCAGCCGGAGGTGTTGGCCGAAGACATTAACGATTCGGCTTGGGCAGCTGCCCAGAGAACATCCAGAGTCTGCACACAACGTCCCTTCTCCAGATCCCACTGTCGCAAGGTTTTGTCTGCAGAGCCAGACACCAGCGTGTCCCCTCGGAAGTGAATGGCCGTCACCTCGGCCACATGAGCCTCAAGGGAGAAAATAGGGCAATCTTCCATGCTGGACGGGGCCGGTGGAGGGTGCGCGTCCTCGCCATAGTTGAGTCCATCGTCCTCATCTTCGGAACTGCTCCTGTTGATGCGGTTATCTTTGGGAGCGAATTTGGCTCGACTCAGATCCCAGAGACGGATAGACGCGTCCATGGAACCCGTAGCAACAATGTTCTCCTCGACCTGGAGACACCTCACGGAGGCATGGTGACCCTCCAAAAATCCCTGGCAACGCCCCGAGTTGAGATCCCAGACCCGAACAGTATCATCCAATGCAGCGCTGACCATGGTGCCGAATGGGAAATCGAAGTCTAGAGCCGTGATAATATCGTTATGCGCTTGTATCTCCTTGATGAGGGAGCCGGGCTCGAAATGTTCATGCAGAATAGGCATTGAACGTTTTCCTGGCGAGAGCCGGTCAGTTTGACACACTCATCGAACATTATTCGAGTTAGCATACTTATAGAGCGGTATTTCTTAGTCTTGGGCGACGGCAACTTCTGGTAGATCGACTCGGACATAAAAGATGCATCCATGGCCTGGTCTTCGGATGATAAGGAACCGTTAGGATCGGAAGACTTCGGAGTCGTCGCAGTAACTGGAGTTTCCTCAGCTTCCTCCTCTTCTCCTACTTCCTCCAATTTATTATCGATCTCAATCACTATTTTTGCGATCATTAGCAAGCTGCCGTCGCTATAGAGAGCGTCGAACCGTCACTCACATTCGCGCTCGATCTCTGCCTCATCAACTTCCAGACCGGCCAGCCGGTCCAGGACAATCTTGCGCATATTATGCAGGTTCGCGATTTTAGTATCAATCTCATGTATCTCTGCGCTGCACATGTTCTTGCGAATGCCCATCATCTCCAGCCTGTGGTTCAGAACTTCCCGCTCCTTCTTCAGACCGCCCGCCGAGGAAGGCAGCGCGCCTCCTCTTTCCACATCATTGAGCTGTTTCTGGCCTTTTGAAGATCGTCTTCGGTGAGATCTTCTGTGGTCAAGGTCGTCTTCGGGCAGAGAGGCTTGGAAGCCTTGGAATAAAGAGTATGTGCTCGAATCTTCGGGGATATTGTTGAGCAGCTCGTCCGGAACGGATGCTATTGCGCGCGACTGGATCTCAGCGGTCGACAGTTTGGAGCGGACGAGATCTGTCGGGGTTGTATGGGCCAGGGAGAATATCCTGCGCTGCACGGTAGGACGCCGCAACTCGCGGTGTATATCGGTCATGGCATGTTGATAGTGGTGACTGGCCGTCGGGTCGGATGCAGGGCCTATTAAATGATTTGCTGTCGAGGTCACCTTTCGGCCAAATGCCTCCAGATGGCGCGTCTAAGTCTGGACGTCAGCGTGTCCTTGCGATGAGAATCGACTTCTTCATTACCGTTAAGCCGGTCCCCAGAAGGGAGTCCCCTTCTGCCGCCGATCGACCGTCATCGAGGCCGTATTCCTCCATGGGACACAGTGGACGGAGCGGAGAGAATCAGAGACCCAACTAGTCGTCGGGGCCAGAGCGGAGAGTTCAGCCAGAGAGAGGACTGTTTGCTGCCGGAATTCTTTGGTTGCGAAAGAGTGTTTTGCCGACTTTGGGAGATGCAGCACGAGATGCCGAATTTCTGCGCGGAGGGTAATTTTACCCGTATGCACTGTTTACCATACGGCCCTGTCCGGTTGCGCCGCTCTTCAGCAGAGTTGCGGTAACCAACTTATGATTTAGTTAACGCCCACCAGCTCCAGCAGATAATTAATCCTAGTTTAACTTAGAGAGGAGGGGCTCGATTGCCCGAGTCAGTCCCTAAATCTCTCGACCTCCCCGCGAATTGGGTGTGTAACCAACCCATAATGGCGATGTCCTCCGACCGCCGTATCATCCCGTATGGTCCGTGACGGCAACAGTCTCACAGCGGTTGTTTCGATTTCAGCCACTGCTCCTGGAAATCGTATCGCTCTGTTCTACGGAGTACATTTTTATACTGTACAGATTTGTTTCAAATCAATCTCAGATTCTTCCAGACACACTGCACAGGCGAAGCGTTGATTCCCGGTCGTTATTAAGTATGGCTTCGGCCCATACCAACCAATTCCGATAATGTGCAGCGTTTCACCGTTGATTGCCGTTGGTATGATCGCGATTGCTATACATTTACAAGCACAATATGCAACCAAGTGAAGAATGCACGCAGAATGCTAGGCTATGCCATTGTTCTAACTACATAGTTAACAGTCCCTCATGCTGTGTAACGCTTAGATCGCTATGGCTAACCAACCAGCTAATGATGCACTGCCGCTTACCAAAATCCGGGGCAGCTTATTTAGGTCGCCCGTCATCGGCGGGAGAAAAGAAGAGCTCCAGTGCGGCCCTTCGCTCATTCTTTCTAGACAACCTCGAAACAGCCCGTGTTGAAGACGCTACCGACGGAAGCAAAAGCATTATGGACTTGGCAATTGATCTGTCTGATGCCTCCAAGGCCTTGGATCTGGCCAACATTCGCTATCAACTGATGTAAGTCGCGGGGAAATTCCTTTGCTGCCCCTCCTACCGCGGGTGTCGGCATTGCCCAGGACGAAAGGACACACCCTATGTGATATCGGCCCAGACAGCTCACCCGGGCACTTATAGCCGTCTTGAGGATACGATTACATTTCACCTGATCGAGCGCGTTCAGTTTCCTCTGAATCGAACCATCTATGTCCCTGGTGGGGTGAAAATCCCCGGCAGCGACCTCAGCTTGATGGACTATATGCTTCGTGAACAAGAGCGTCTCCAGTCACGAGTCCGTCGTTACCAGTCCCCTGACGAGTATCCTTTCTTCCCCGACGCCCTCGAAGAGCCTATCCTGCAGCCGCTCGAATACCCCAAGATCCTGCACGATAACGATGTCAACGTCAACAACATCATCAAGAAGCGCTATGTAGAAGAGATCCTGCCTGCGGCTTGTCGAAAATTTGGCCGTGAAGATCGTGGCGAGGCAAAGGAGAACTACGGCTCTTCGGCCACGTGCGACGTCAGCTGCCTGCAGGCCCTTTCCCGCCGGATTCACTTTGGCAAGTTCGTTGCGGAATCCAAGTTCCAAAAGGACCCCGAGAGGTTCGTGAAGCTGATCAAGGCTGGGGATATTGACGGGATTGACGCCGCCATAACCGATGCCAAAGTCGAACAGAAAGTGCTGGAGAGGTTACGACTGAAGGCTAAAACGTACGGCACCGACCCCGCGGCGCCTGATGAGGCCAACCAGAAGATCAATGTGGATGCGGTCGTGTCGATGTACAAGGTTTGTGCATTCTATACATGGTGCCCGCCGGAGCTCCTGCTGACAGAAAGTTTTTAGGAATGTGTTATTCCTCTAACCAAGATTGTAGAAGTGGAATATCTCATGCAGCGTCTAAAAGGAACAAAGTGGGAATAGAGCATCGTGGGAATAAAATAGACGAAATTATGTTTCTCTTGTTCTTCAGATATCCTGCAACCGTTTGGAAGGAAAAGAATCGATGATCGCGCGCTTTATATAACTCGTTCAATGAACCAGATTAACCAAAACAAAAGACTTTTTCCCCATCATAATCAATTTATTCTGGAGGCTTCAGATAATTGGACACATCCTTGACCGCAGCTTCGAACTTGGAAGCTTCGATGAGAATCAGACTTCCGGCCGGTTTGATTCCCAGCTCTTGGAAAGCTCTCTTCGAATCGGAGGCACCTTCATCCGGCGGATGCGTATATTCAAACCCGCCATGGCATAGCGCGTGTCGCTGGAAAACCTCGTCCTCAGGGTGGAAGAGGAAGACTTCAGGTTCTTGATCCCCAGCTCTCTTCTTTTTCTTTGGTCGCGAGTCTTCCATGTCCAGTTTCGAGGCCACTTCTTGGTATGTCTTGGAGATGATAAGGTAGTGCGAGAAGTTGTATGGTTCCTTGTCTTCAATCGCCCAGGCGATCTCTTCCAGGAGCATAGTGTACATCGGAGGGACAATCTCTGAAGGAATATTGATGAGGCGCTCCGTGACTATAAGACCAATCGGCGCGATGGGATCTTGTGAGAGGAGAGAGGAGAGAGCGGAGAAGGCGGGTTTCGAAGAGGCTTTGCGCTGCAGATAGGTAATGAGATCTTTGATGACGGGTTTGTCCTAGATCGGCGGTTAGTGACAGCTCTCTCTCCTAGCGACGTGGTATGCGGCCCAATACGCAATAGAGAGTACCTACCTTATGTTCTTGCAGATTCAGTACGGACAAGAAGGCATATGGATCCGAGTCCTTGCCGTCGACCTTGACTGTCGAACCTAGGAGCGGTTGCGATAGGATCAGGTCTGCTAGAGCGGACAGGTCGAATATCTGGGCGTCGGTGTCGAACAACTGTCGCAGAAGGACTTTGAGACCGTGGAAATCTATCTCAGACGGGTCGAACCATTCGAAGTCGACATTGACCATGTCAACGTCCTAAAGTCAGGATCAGTAACTTGCGCACTTCACATGAACGGAGTTCCGCAGGGCGCACATCTTCGCTTCCACTGTCATCGTCGTGAGGCCGGTTTGTGCCGCCCATCTCGACATCGCCATCTTTTAGTTCCTTGCGCTTCCCCATTTTGTTGATTGTACTTAGGACTGTAAATTGGCTGGGAAAGTTTCTCAACGATCGAGATCTTCCGAAAAGAAAAGCCGGGGTAGAAAAGTTGCGGCGCGCGATTCGATCGGGCGCGGCCCCTCGCTAAACTCCGATTGGAACTTTTCTTTATCGCCGGACCAAACTTTTATATCTGCCATAGATGATGAGGATATCCCATGCGTGTCTGCAAGTGTTCGCAATATGGTTGTTGGTTGTCTGAAATTACGTCTTTCTGTACATACTTCGATTTACACGATTCATACCATCTTGTTACTTACATTCTTCTCGCAAGATCCCACATCCAGCCAAGGCTGTTAACCAAAATATCCCTGGAGCTCTAGCATGAGCTACCCTAAGTACATGGTTAGGTAACTATGACCTGAACCGAACTGTCTAGATGGGTTTTCCTTGTGTCTTAAGATGGATGCACTTCTCGATTACTTTCATAGGATACCGCTCATTCTAAACCCGTTCTGTTGTTGAAGATCTGGCCTCTAAGAAATTCAGAAATATAACACTGAAGGTCTTCGGGATTTATCAAAAGGAACCATCGCGGCGAATACACATTCTGGTCAAATACAACTACAAGGTATAAGTTGTTCTCTTAAAGTCCGGATCGCGATGCCTGATAGTTCGCGGAAAGATGCAGCATGCTCCTCCTGAGACCTGTTGCTATATAAAACTTCTGGTCCCACGATAGACTTCTGAGGTAGCACAAGGCCCCTCAGCGTTAACTTGTCGCATGCGGTATCTTCTTATCACCTTGAATTGTTGGTAGGGCGAAGGATAGGTGTCGCGTGCTTTATGTAGAGTATGAGCACGCAAACGCATATTCCCTCCGGATGCGAAGATTTACGCTTATGGTAAATTGACCAACAGCTTATTGCTCTGAGATATGTTGTAAGTCCGAATGCTGAACATCTCCAATTGATTTTCCACTTAATACAATTTGGTCTTCTATCTTCTGTTCTGGAGATTGCGGGCAAACCAGTCGGGATGACGAGTATAACTAACGCATGTACTCAAGACCGAACATGCAACCAACTTACCAAACCAGCTGCCAGCCTCCTCCTTCTCCTCCCAAGAACCTGCTACGTCGCTCTTCCCCACTCTGTATTGTTGCAATTGATTTATTTTCTCACATCATGATTGTGTTCCTGGAAGATCTGTCTGACGCCAACCAGCTGTCCGCTCCCGGGCAGCCCCACGAGTGACCTCATTGGTAAGTAGTAGCAAGTGACATCACCACCAGCAGTCTTGTCGAGAGCTCCCCCCAACCATATATATCTCTATGGTAAGAGGCAACTTCTATCTGATCCTTCAGATCAATTGATCATTCAAGAACCAGAATCTCACTTGCAATTTTTTACGCCAAACAGTGATCCCTTCGCGAAAGCATCGAGACTTAGATTCTCCTTTTCAAGAGTCCGCATATTATATCGCTCTTAATTCGCAACCATGAGTGCTGCAGGTCTCTCCAACGTCGGACAGCCCTCTATCTATGAGGATGGTGACCAGCGGAATGCCCCTCAGTCGGAGGTCAACCAGAGACAGCGATACAAGGAGGGCCAGCCTCACAGCCACCGGCCCAACGACACCAGTAAGTACCATCTTCGTGAGTGTTGATGCTTTTAGCACGATGATACAACTATCAATCATTCAATGAGCACACCCACTAGGAATTCAGTTACTAACTACGCATCGCAGAGGACGAGCGCTCGATCGCCAACCGTCTCGCGAGAGAGGAGCAGCGTGAGAGACGACACGAGGAACCCGTCAACCCTGAGGCGGAACTGAGCAAGCAGGACCCTACAAAGCCGGTATGTAATCGAGCTTCTACTCATTACCATTATCATCACATGAATAGTATATATATACTAACATAACGGCATCAGGCCGTCGTACACGGCAACAACCCCTCTCGAGGCGCCGAGATTGACAAGGAACTTCAGAACGATGACGAGCAGAGACTGAGGGAGAAGGGCATCAAGAAATAAAATATCGCAATTCATAATCCCAATACGTGATGAACCAAAATACTGACATCTCCCTGGCATGGGGTCAGCTACTACATTCATACTGCTTGAATTTTCTGGGTGCAGCGAAATATTATATTAATTACATGGATTATATGTTCAATGAGAAAAAGAAATGAAATCAAATAAACAAATATATCATGATTACTATCACTTTGACCACTTCATGATGAATAAAAGGAATAAGTAGTGCAAAAACATCGATTATTTTTGATTTCTTGATTGCGGCTTGACGCCATCTAGTAGTACTAGATAATAATGGATGCTGACCATTCTTGATTATTGCTGGCGCACAAAGCATAAGTACGTCCAGGTGATCCGTCATATCATCCATTTGGTGCAGGTTCTTTGATATATGAGCCAAATGATTCAAATCAGACCACGCGTCCATGCCATTTCCAGAATCGACAATGGATTCATTCCAGCATACGAATTACTTGAATTGCATATATTTCCCGTAGTCCATGAGGACATATAAGAAAATAATATCACCAGAAAGAAACTCCTGAAAAGGGGGAGGTGTTTAGGAAATCTACGCTGCTCATGGCGACGAACTATAGAGATTGACAACAATTGCCAAAAGACCATCATCATCACAATCTTTGATAAGACCCGACGTCTCGGATCCTTGACGTCGCATTGCAGCCAAAGACTTCTAATAGAACAGGGGCGTGGGATCGACGGTTTTAACCCTAGCGTAAGTAAAGCGCGACCGATAAAGAATATCTAAAAAGAGATACGACTGGGAATTATTCAGGAGAAAAAACACGACCTGCTTACTAGTTGGTCAATTGAAGCCTAGACCTAAGAGAATTGGCAGCATTGTGTAGATTGCGACACATAATCATCCATGTCAGTGTAATCATTCTACCATCATTCGTATATTTGTCCCGTTGCGTTGGTTTCGGCGGGGAAAGGGGAAGTTGATAAGCTTCTGAAGATCTCGGTCCGACATATCCGATCCCAGTCTGAATCTACACGACTCTCTACTGTCTAGATACCGCGACTTAAAACACGACACCTGTCAATGCATACACAGAGCTAATGCTGATGGATTATAAGGCAAAATGGTCGCTCATCGATCCCTGGCTACGCTAGAAAACAAATAAATCGAAGAAATCTTTGTGACATATGCAGGTCCTTTCAGTGGCTGCAATTATTGACTCGTAAACTGGCCGTTCTTCCCTCTAGAAACTTACTGTATACAGAAAATGATCAGCGGACGGAGCGGTCGATAGATCTCACTCAACCCCACTTAAGCTGAAAAGCTTGGATACATGAGCATTGGGAGGGCCAATTGGAAAGGATACATGATAAATAGGGCGTCTTGCGGTGCTTTCCCGTTCAGCTGGGCGCTGCTGTTTCTTGTGTCTTCGTGTTCGGAATCCTAATCTACCCCAGATTTCTTCAACCATGGCGCAATCACGCAACGGCCATCACCAGTCATGGTGGCGATTCCTCGCCCTGGGACTCGCAGCCATTGACTGTATTTCTGCTGCAAGTACCAGCGGTTCCAAGAAGTGGCCATACCAGACATTCCGCAGTGTTGACTACCACCCGCCGCAGCTGAAAGTCACCAAGAATGCCAACGTCACTGGCCTCGATGCCAATTCCACAGGATATCTCTTTATCACTCCTACCGGCGCAGATGCAGCCGATCAGGGTCCGATTATCATCTCTGACCACAATAGCGAGTTGATCTGGCAGGGACCGACTGGAACAGCCTTTGGGTTCCAGGCACATACGTTCGAAGGACGCCCAGTTATCAGCTACTGGACTGGCACTGCCTTCCCGGACCCGAGAGGATTCGGGTACGGCGTGATAAAAGTCCTAGATCAGTCATATCAGCAGATCCACCAAGTGTCTCTTCCACAGGTCACGGAAGATGGCGTGTTTTACAGCGGCGATAACATGACCTACCCGTCGTATGTAGATATCCACGAAAACTTCGTCACGGACCGCGGCACTATCCTCGTCACCGCGACCAATGTTACGAAAGCCGATTTGACAAGTGTTGGGGGACCCAAAGATGGTTGGCTCAGAGACTCGTTATTCTATGAGATCGACATCAAGACGAACAAAGTGGTGTATCGGTGGAGTTCATTTGAGCATAGAGATGACATCCCGATAAACCAGACCGTGGAAACATTACACGGTGAAGGAAGTCAGCCGTCGGATGCGTTCAACTACTTCCACATGAACGCCGTCTCCTTGGTTGGAAACAACACATATCTGGTGTCGTCCCGATATTACTGTACTATCTTCCTGATCAATGGGAAGGACGGCTCAGTGATCTGGAGATTGCAGGTTAGTTCCGATAGTGTACATCCCATATCATAGGACAGGGGCTCATCCGTATTTCTTTTTCACAGGGCAAAGACGGCGGCGACTTCAAGCTCGGTCCGGACGCTGGTTTCTGCTATCAACACAATGCACGCTTGGTCAATGCACGTTTTGTTGGGCAAGGGTCAGATCGAGTCCGCCTCCACCTGCACGATAACGCAAATAGTTACTACCAAAATGGAACAAGGCCAACATCAGGCCTTCTGCTCGAACTAGACCTCAAGTCAAAGGAGGCCAGGACCATCAAGCGATTCAGAAATCCCAACGACCCTATATACGCCATCTCCCAAGGGAGCTACCAGCCGCTTCGCAACGGACATGTTGTTCTGGATCATGGCGAGGTCCCTAAAATCGAAGAATACGACTTCAGCGGCCGTTGGATCAAGACAGTACAATTTGCGGCAGACTCCTCCTCGTATCGTGGATTCCGTCAGGAGTGGGTTGGAAAACCAGACACCACCCCAAGCCTTGCTGCCTGCTCAACGGGAAACTCGACAAATCTGTATATGAGCTGGAATGGAGCAACCGAGGTTACGTCGTGGGCTATTTATAGTGGAGAAAGCCAGAAGGAGCTGCAATACGTCAAGTCGGTTCCGAAGAAGGGATTCGAAACGTCGACCACCGTCACGGCTCCATCTTCTGGATACGTGCAGGTCGAGGCGAGACAAAGACATGTTCAACAGGGGAAGAAGTCCCTTGCGCTTTCAGTTTTGGGGCTACCGTCATGTTGAACAAGATTTTGATCCGTGTATGCATAAATCTGAGCGTCGACTCATAATGACTGGATATTAATCTCTGGGAAGAGTCCATAATATAGACTTGATACGTATAATACTGAAGAGAAAATCCTGTCCCGAAAACTGTCTTAGCGCGAAGTACCATTTGCTGGAAAGAGCAAGCATATGAGGGCGTTTGCCACCCCTCAGCTTGAAACTGACGTTGGTGCAATTCCTAGCATAGATTCCAGGAATGTCTCGGTGATATTCAGCATGGATATCCTGGTTCGGCTGTCCGGTGTCTAGTAATGTAAGGATAGGTCTGTAGGCTGTCAGGGATGACTGCCCAACCTGTCCAGGCGAATATCTTGAGCCACATGTGATATCTTCTCCTGATGTACAGTACATACATATACTGCTGTTATCACTCAGATGGATGAGCTGATATGCCCTGGGGCCTGACAACTCGACATAATGTATATTGGGATGTAATCGTGGTTTCCGAATCGCATGCAGCTGCCAAGGAAATATGAGACAGAACACTTATCTCAAGTATATCCTTGTCCAGCACTGAAGGCTAGGATGTCGGTTTTTCAATGCAGAGGGCGATATAGATCAACCGTAGATGGGCTCTGATACGGCCGTATGGGCCGCTGATAGACAGCCCCAGATGAAGCAAACATCTTGAGTCTGCGCATTGTTATGAAGAACAGACAGCACTGCGATCTCATCATGATTATATTATCTCTTGAAGATTTGCAAGTTCCCTGCATATTGTGAGACATAGATCTTCGTGACCCACTTGACTAGTGATCGGTTGACTGCATTTTCACCTCACTCTCAGCACTTGGATAAACATGTGGATTCGGCGCAAGATGACCGTGTCAAACTGTACACCATTCTTAGTTCTTCCACATTACTCTGGGATTAAATGAGGCCAAGCCAAGATCAGCAATCATAGAGTTCATACGACAGCAGTCTTCGCTGTATCTCAGCTGTATCTATCTGCACGCTTAATCGGCATCTTCCGCGTGGAGATTGCCGACCTTAATCCTAGGGATAGTTAAGATCATCATTATCCTCGTGGCAGATGAGATGCCGCGGCTTCAACCGTTCTCTGGGGCCGGTTCTAGCGTCCGGGAACATCCACTATGACTGCCACAGTGCTATGGGATTCGCTCTCTCGTGGTGAAGGTTTCGACGGATTGAATCTTTTATTATCGGGATCATGCCGCCGTAATGTAATTGACCGAAGAACAGAGTCAGGCTGTAGGCTAGAGCGATAGAGAACTGGGGAGATTGATGCCCGTGCACCAAGCAGCGCCCAGAGCGATATCGACCACGGCTAACGTTAAGGCAAATAGGTAGTTAGTTAACTATGGGCAGAAGATGGTGATGATTCGACTCGATGACACCATCAATGTAGAGTATGCGCTCTTCATCGTAGCGTGGGATGAAGAGAGTGCGCCAGCAACAGGGCAGAGAGCGCCGTAGGTATCCGTCACGTAAGAGAATTATCGTCACGACTAAGTTGCGAACAAGAGCGATCAAAGATATGATAGATAGTTAAGTAGATAGAGCAGAACGAACTGGCTCTGGGCCGGTTCTCTCGCTTCGTGGGGATTTGGAGAGATCCACGGGGCTTCGCACAGCCCGTTCCAGTGATCTGATCGGTCCAAAGCGCTTCTCCGCTTATCAGCACCAAAAGCGACCACCTGCCCGTGCCCATCTTCCTCTTTCGCCTCCGTTGAGGACCGCAAGCTCGTGGGATAATGATCTCTCGCCATTTATCTATATTGGAAATTGTTCATTCTGGTGGTCCTGACGCGTCTGCCATCAGACGCTTGAATTAATTGATCTGTACAGCGTTCTTTGCCTTGGTTGACTTCGATGGACCACTGCGATAAGCGCTTCTCGACTCCGCATTCCAACGCTCGAGCCGACTGACCGCGGCCACCAGTGCAACGACAATGGCCGCCAGCGATCCCAAGAAAGATGGAGCGCCAAAAGCGAAGGCAGACTCTGCATCCGCGACAGCTCCCCGTAAACGCCGCAAGAGAACAGTGGGAGGCGGCGCAGCAGATGATTGTTTCACGTGTGCGAGCAGAGGCGCGAAATGCGATAGGCGGCGGCCATATTGCTCTCAGTGTCTAGACTTGGGCCGGGATTGCTCGGGATATAAAACAACCTTGACTTGGGGTGTAGGAGTGGCGAGCAGAGGAAAGCTTCGGGGATTGTCTCTTCCAGTATCGGGAGGGCAGCCAGTTGCTCCTCAGAAACGGCGCAGTTCGGCTGCTCAGGACGATGAGAACAAGGTCAGAAAACGACAGAGCGCGCAGCCGTCTCCGATTTCCTCTACGTTCCAAGCTGGCACTCTTACAGCGAATACATCGGCCTACCAATGGCCCCGGTCTGCGGGGAATACTGGTGCATATGCAAATATCTCCGATCCAGCAGGCTGGAACCGAGAAGTCTCGAGTGCACCATCCACCTCGAATACACCGTCATACCAGGTTAATACAGGATTCAACGGAGGATCCCTTGCAATTTATAATAATCCAACATCAGTTCCATCCGATCCAGGCTGGGGAATCAATGATCTCAGTCAGTCACCGTTGCCTACTGCAGGAGTCAAAGTAGGAGGGTATGCTGGTGGCCCTCCTCTGACATCCAATGACTCAATCCGCCATCAATGGATACGTGGAGCCCCTCCTATACTTCGCGTTAGTGGCAATAATACACAGGCCCTTCCAGGGAGCGGTGCGAGTTCTTCCTTGTCTCCGCAATGGTCTCCATCTGGTCTGTCCAGTGAGACAGGCAGCATGGACGAGGTTGATGCGGAGAGCGCTTACAGAAGATATAGTCTCTATCCCGACCAGGCGGTCAGTTTCCATATGTCCCTGGATGCATCACTTCCCAGCTCTCTACCACAGCTATTGCTTGATCAGTCGGTTGGCAGTACGCCTAGAATCAGGTACTTAATGAGCTACTACTTGGAAGTTATTGCCCCCGTCATAGTGGCATTTGATAGCCCCACAAACCCATACCGCGTGCATATCCTACGACTGGCTCAAGACAGCATGGCATTGCAACATGCAGTTGCTGCGTTATCAGCCAGTAACATGAGACAGAGACGGGATCGAAAAATATCCTCTACGGAGCGTACACTGCCGGCTCGGAGATCGTCCTTGGCGCATCGGGCTTTGACAGACGGGATGTTCTCACAACAATATGGCGTCGCCGACCCCGATGAGCTGACAAAGGAAGAGCTGTATCACAAAGGAATGGCAATCAAATCTTTGAATGCGCAACTATCTGACCCCGTCTTAAGGCTCAGTGATTCGGTACTCGCTACTCTCCTGATTCTGTGTCTGTTCCATATATGCGAAACCGGAGTGGCAAAGTTCCAGACGCAATTTGCAGGAGTGAAGAAATTGTTGGCTTTGAGGAGCCGCAGCCTCACTGGAGAATCGGAAGAGGGTAAATGGTATACTAGGATGTTTACGTGGTTCGATGCTATGACTGCAACGATCAATAACCGCGAAGGACAGCTGCAGGGCGACTACCTGGATACAGCTGCCTCTTCGAACGAAGAATGGGCACTCGAGAATCTAGCGGGCTGCGATGGCCGTTTGTTCAAAATAATCGGCAGTCTTGGTCGTCTGAATCTCCTAAGTCAGAACAAGCCTGTGGAGTTTCGTTCTTCAGTGGAGAGTGCGCCTGTTACTGTCACTCTCCCACCGTCTATGATCCATTACACCCCACCACCGGCCATCTCCAATGACATTCTCACATCTCTCTTTTCTCCCATCGAACAAGCACCGTTGCAAATGACTTCGAATCCAGAAGACGTCGACGCGACAGGAATGCATACTAGATTCTGGACCGAGTGGCATGCTGTAAGGCAGGCCCTGGAATCATGGCGACTTGATATACAGAGTACACAGAGGATGCCCTCCGTCTCTCATGTGCAGGTGCCAATCCTCCCAGCACATAGCTACATCTCACCACCATCGTCGCCACTGTCCCAGTGCCTTGTGGCTCCTGACAATCTTACGGATCTGTCCAACATCTCCGAGTCCTTCCGCTATTCTGCTCTCCTATACACGGAGAGACTTGCATTCCCAGATCTGCCATCTGATCATCCGCGTATTCAGAGTCTCGTCCTTTCGGCTTTACACTATATTTCTGCCGTTCGCTCAGATGTCTATCTGCTCTGGCCGCTTTTTATCACCGGCTCTGAATGCATCTTTGAGACGCATCGCACACTCATCAGACAACGCTGCAAGGATATACAGAAGGACTCTGGATTCTTCAACAATATCTCGTGTCTGGAGCTTTTGGAGAAAATATGGGCGCGAAGCCCTAATGGCAATGGCGAAGTCACGAGACGCAAAAACGCTGACACCACCACCGCTGCCGAGAAGAGTTTTTCCGGAGACTACATATCTGATTCGATCATCACGTCTGAAGATGGAATGTCTTCAGCTACGACACACAATGTATACGCGCCCGGCAGTGGCGCTGGTTTTCGATGGCGCAAGGTAATCGAGAGTGAAGGTTTGGATGGAGAGTATATTGTCGTATAGGTACATACATTTGCGTCTTTGGTGGCTATATTATACGGCTTGACATGAGAGTTTTATTAAACAGACCTACGATCTGTCTTATGGGGTCAACGTGGTTATCACACGGATCGAGGTGTTAGGTTTTTTGGGTTTAATGTAATACCTAACAATGGACGAGGGATCATACATATTCCACTCTACAAGAGGATCTAGGAATTAATGACTTGGGTTTACAGACTCTGTCCACGTGCATACATAAACCTGCAAAAGTATCTGTTTAAGACAAAACCAAATAAACTATCAACGCTCACCCAAGAGAGACACAACCGGCGCCCGATATTACTTTACCTATATTTCCTTAGTTTCAGACTACTTTCTAGGAGTACTGATGTAATAATAGACCACCTCGAGGCAATTTATCCCGCTCTAAGCAAGACGCATATCTCGCCATGGCGAATGATCTATCCATTCACAAAAAGAGATTTCTTATCTTCAACAATGAACACAACTTACATACCAACAGCACTACCAACATCCCAACTATCCCATCTCAACAAGCCACGGTATACATCAACATCACATACATACACACATACATAAATGCAGTACAACACATCCACATACTTCCATATCGCCATGCATACCCTCCATCCATCCAGGGTTGGATAACAAATCGATAAGCTCTACCCCTCCCTCACGCCTTACTTTCTCTCTAGATGGTGGTTGGAGGGAGCGATAGTAAAACAAACTAAGCAGGGCCAAGACTGCAGATTTCACGTCTGCAGGAAGGATTGAAATTGGGATTGGGCCTTGCCTTCGGCCCGATCTGGTTGTGTTGTAAATTGATTTTGCGTTTCGTTTGGGGAGGATGAAAGATGGAGATAAGATTTTTCTTTTTCGGTTTGTTGAATGGGAAGTGCACTTTCCAGGTTGGAGGTTCTATTTCATGTGGATGTGTATAGTACTTACTTAATTAGTTAGGGGCATGGTGTGCGTCTTCTTGTCCGATGTGAGTTTATCCTGATGTATGTATGTACTGTACGTGCATATATTATTATCCAAGCCAAGAAAGATCCAATCCAATAGATCACTACGGCACAGATACAGCGTAGGGATATTTTGTCTCCATGAAGGAGGTGATGAATAGGTGATTTTGTAATATATTGCATGATTGTCCTCTCGAGACCTGTAGTAGTAACTTAATGATTTGGAGACAAGGAAGGAAAACTGCAAGAGCTTTCGAAGATGACTAGATCGGGCGTTTGGTAGTAGCAGAAGAAGGAATTATGAGCCATATCTACACCACTAGTTATAACGTAACTATATAATTGATTAATCAATTTGCTTCTTGAAATTATGCGCGGAGAGAATGACAATAGTCACAATCAAGAGTCGATCGATAACGATCGATCAGGATAGATAGTTTATAGTAATAATCTCTATTGCGGATAATAAAAAAGTCTAGACCTTATTTTTGCATTCTTCAAGTCATGCAAAGAAAAGGATAAGACAGCCTGATAGATAGATACCCAATCCAATGCGCAACATCGATCATGCACCATTATCATCTGCCTTCTAGAATCACCATATCCATACAGAGAGACTAAGTATGCGAAACGAACCAGACTCTTACTACTGGTAGTATTACTACTATCGTCAGATAGCGCTGCCTTGTTAATCACCATTTCTTGCAGGAATTACCATAGCGACCGACCGACTCCAGCCCACTCAGGCGCGTAAAAACCTCTCCACAACGCTTCAACATCGCCATAAAGAAAAGAAAAGAAAAAAGGAGGGGAATCTGCAACCCATTAGAGTAGTCTCAGCATGACAACCTGACGGAAACGCAGCCTAACGCCTTGTTCAAGTTCTCGAGACTCCCGAAACCAAGAAAGCGGATCGACCTAGTTACTTAGCGTGGCTGGCGCTCATTCGGCGGTTACACTCTCTCCCTTCAAACTCCACACGCTCACTACACTCACTCACTTGCTACTACCACCAGACGCCATCTACTAGTTATGATGACCATGCAGGCACGTTTTGGAGTGTGTCGTATGAGAAGAAAGGGGATGGAAAAAGATGAAGCAGCATGATGGACATAGATATAGGTCGTGATTGGTCGCTGTCATGTTTCTAGAAGAGGCTATTTATTGTTAGCAGTTAAAGTGAGTAGAAAACGCGCTCGAGACTTGGGTGACGAGAGTCTCTATTGGGCAACAATAATAACTATCTATCTCTTGTTGCTGGACTGATCCTATTACATAGTAGTAAATTCCATACTAAGTTAATAATAATCATTACCATCCGGGGAAGGCGAGCGAGAGGGGTCGAGATGGATTGATAGACCAAAAGGGTAAAAGTAAAAGAGGGGTTCACGTTCGTTTTCTCGTTTTCTTCTTTTTGACTGGAGTATGCAGCGTGAACGCCCAGCAGCGGGGAAGAAGAAGAAGGCAGTCTGCTAGATTGACGACTCAACGTCCATCCCGTTGCGGCCCGCGAAGACTCTAGACTAAGCCTTTAAGCTGTCTTCAACCTGTTATGTATTATTATTATTATTATCTTCCTGGTAAGCGTTTGGGATGGATCTTTATTATGGTTGGACTTCTGGGCCCTAGAGCTAAGGCAACTAAGGCAGCTAGACAGCCAGCCCACGGCTGTGCATTCTAACAAAAGTATCACCATGCAGGAAGCCTTGGAAGTTTAGAACATAGCCCAGCCATGAATCATGATGATAATAATGGCCATCCCACGAAAGGCTCCGTCAACGAAAGGCCATGTTCTAAAATAGCCTTACTAAACTCAAATCAAAATAAAAAATAGACAGACAGACTAGGTTAGTCGAGCATTCTAGATAGATAAGCCTTGTTTCAGGGCACAGGGTATTTAGATAAGGGCTAAGGGTAAGGGCTGAGCAGACCGTCGCACACAGACATTGTTGGCCCCAGCGTTGGAATCGTCAAAAATATAATATGATATGCAGTAAGCAGAAGAATGATGGTAAACCAAGGAGGGTAGCATACGCATGGCCATATTTTCCTTTGAACATGGTATAACCCTGCTATGTGATCGTGGCTGAGGTTCGATTCTTCCCTGCATGTGGAATGGAAGCGTGGAAAAAAAGGGGCTAGATAAAGCAAGTATAGGGGAGATTACGGTGGGCCATCGGACAAGAAAATGGAGAGAATAATAATTCGATCCAGGATATAATTGTGATTATGATTATGATCATTAGTATTGGCATTTGACGGGAATTTGGAACCAGCGCAAAACACAGAGAGAACTAGTCGCGTATTGGATTCTCCTTTCTTCCTACTGTAGACAGCATGCAGACGGGAAACTGCATCTTCGATTTCCTCTATCTAGATATGCACGAACAGCGCAAACGCTGCTGTCTGCTGAGGCAGCACAGCAAGGGGGGTGGCATCAAGACACCGCTCATACTTGGCTGGTAGGACAGACTAGTTAACTAGGGGCCGCCCGCAACAACGGTTCCGTTCGATATGCTTGTTGTTGGTGGATAATAAAACTGGATAGGATATGTCAGATGTCTTTTTTCTCCACCGCATCGCGCGGAATGCAGCGTCCTTACCCGCGCGAAACTAAAAGACCAAATAACCATGGATGGGACAAAGCTCACCCGTTATCCATTGGCATTGATCCATATCCATGGTTGGCCAAGATGAGATCGAAAATGTATCGGCCAATCGAGTGTCCTACCGGAGCAAAAGTAAATCAATAACGAACTACCAATGCTAGAAGTTGACTTGTCGACGAGGCGCCCGGGAGCCGTTCCTGAGCACTACGGGCGCAAGGCAAATCGCTGACGGGGATCAGGCATCATGGATGACAAGGAGAATGGCTTTTGTGAGGGGCCGAAAGATGTTGGGATACTACCATGCAGGGCGTATCTTCTGACAAGAACAACGCCAGAAGCTCAACTACGTATAGTGATTCTTCCATCCACTGCGCTGCCTCCAGATGTGCATTTGGGGCCGGATGAGCAGACCACCCCGGGCTTCGCACAGCGCCAGGCGAGTAGTTAAGTTATAACTAACTAGTTATTACTGATTACAGATTAGGTAATTACTTTGCAGGAAATTTGACGTCAAACTCAATATCAGATGATAGACATTATTATCAGGTGTAGTAGTTAATGGCAAGGTCATCTCACATAAGGCAGGGCACGGCCAGAGCGCTCCTGTTTGTAAGGCGAAGAGAGACTCCATACTCAGTGCGGCAGTTTGTTTTGCTACCTATTAAGTGGAGATCCCCGGGGCTGTCGCAGCAGGCAATGTCTCGTAGATACGGATATACAGTTCTCTCCGGTGCAAACGACCAAAGGAGTCCCCGCTGGTCCAGGCTATGCACGAAGAGCGTCATGATCCAGATAGTCTCGGGTCTAGCCAACTGTACGATCTGTTCGTCGCGCTGGCTAGAGCATGTCTGCAGTATATCCCCCGAGCCATACGAGCTCCTACCTCTTTGACTGGTTTGACTCCAAGTTGCGGTCTGCTGGCCGCCCTGGCGACAGATTATTAGTTTCGACAATACTCAGCATCGCACGGCCAGCGGTCAAGGCACAACAGCCGATATCGCATCAATCATGTCTCATGTGGGAAATGGATGAGACACAGGCAAACCGACATTGCCTTGCCAGAGCGGATCAAATATGTAGATATGCGGAGACGAGTCTCGCGTAGGAAATGCGTTTTGTGTGTCAAATATCAGAATCCGCAATCAAACGTTCAGTGGAGGCTGGAGATAGGCGAGTAGACTAAACGCACTGGATACCCGTGGGCCCCGGCTTAGGGCACTGGCCCAGTAGGCGAAGGTTATCCATACATAACGAATTGCTACTGTCTTAGATACTACGTACTAACTATGTAGCACGTCTCGTGGCATGCTGAATCTCTCGGGCTCTGCCGGTGATTCTCTCTGGACGATTCCCCACGTTGAGAACCGATATTTTGGCACAAAAGAACCGAGAACCTGAGAGGTCAGCGGTTGCAAAGCCACAGGGTGGCGATTATTAATCGATAGGCGCAGGTAGTTATTAGTTAGTTATCTAACTAGGAGTTCTTCCCATATTCAGCTGCTTTCTACAATATGCCAAACCAACAGGCGCGTCGACATTGCTTGCTTACCCTGAGCGTGGGCTGTTGCTTGTTGAAAGAAAATATCATCCGTACAAGCTCCCTTGATTGTCGAAATAGCACCCAGCATCTAGATTCGTGTCTCAAACGAGATATGTCTTTTGAGCATCACCTTGGCTGTTTGCCCGTTGAGGCAGCGCATTAATGGAGACGCTGCGATGACGCGGCTGAACGGGAGAATTTCTCCTGATGGAAGCCTGGACCTGAACAGAGCTGCCGATCGGTGTATTGTTGGGGGAAACTGTTGATTCGATAATATCTTTTGATATACTCAACTATGCAGATCGATAGGGGCCAGTGGGTAGTTAGGGCAGGGTGCGGGTTGCCTCTTCACCAGTGATACTCACAATGTCTCTGACGCAGATGCTTCGAGAAAAAAACCTCTTCAGTTCCTGCAGCCTTATATCCATCTGGGATGTCTGTCGATGTCACCGTCAGCCGTAGACTCGAACCTATGAGGGCTGATTCCGCTTCCAGTCGGTGGGTGTAGGGCTGTGTGGTTTGTATGAAATGTACGCAAGAACCGCTGAAGCCTTCGACCGGGGGAATGCTTGTGCTGAGATCGAAGACCTCTAGAATGTAAAGCCTGTGTCGCACAAGTCTAGGCAGCTGACTACCGATGTGAGGAATCATACTGATTCGCGGATGGTCTTTGTACTACCGCTACACCAGGTCTATATTCCGTGAACCCATCGGCGTCAACGACGGAGATAGGGGCGCTTCTACACCACCATTCCTCCGAGAAACATAGCAGCTGGAGTCGATGGATTACTTACAGCAGTATAGGCAGAGAGGGGGCTTTTCTTCCTCAAACTACCGGGTGAAACGGTGGGTGAGTCACCGCATCGAACAATGTGATCCGGGGATAATTAGCAATGTAGAGTAACTACTAACTAGACCTCGTCCACACCGATCCCGGGCGCTGGAGATGCGACATGGTTCGATCGCAGATGCCTAGTTCTGGACAGCCATCGGCCTTCTGACGCTGTTTATTGCCAATCTAACTGATCATTACGCCCAATGTGCGGTTTGATAAGCCGCCTTCCATCAATTCGCCGCCATACGGGCGCAGCACGACTGTTTCCTGCTGTCCATCCAAAGCAGAATATGGCATCCCCATAGGGCAAACGCATTTTCTCCGTTCGAGTCCCAAGCAAAGCAAAAAGGCAGTACCGTTAGACATTATTATTCAACACGATGAAGATCATTCTATTATGACTCTGTGTCGTGTGCCGCAGACCCTTGTTGGCAAGCGGGCGGGTAGCCATGATGCCCGACCAGAAAGGCCAACCGATCAGGCCAGAGGATACGATACGTTCGAACAGGACCTGACCAGCCTTGCGATGACTCCTCTCTGCTGCTTCAGTTATCATGATGAGTAGTATTCCTCCGTTTGAGTACTCATTGCCCTGCTGCCTTCACACATTCCACACAAACGGGTGGGAAAAATAAAAAAGGGTGGCAGGACAGAATAAATAATCCCTGAAGGACTACCATAACTATCCCCAGTAGCCTCTCTCCACCCCGGGCCCGAGACCGGGATTGCGCAGCGGAAGAAGAAAAAAACGTGTTCAGCGAGAGTGACAGGGGAATAATCAGCGTCGTCCTCCCCTGTGGCGGTTCGCTAAGAGCCTGTTGGAGCCCGACTGGACTGGATTGTCGAGCCCAAGCTAGGGGGAACGCCTGGAGGGTCCAAGAAGGAAAAGAAAAGGGAAAAAAAAAGAGACTTCTTGGACGCCACAACCAGCGCGGGCCAACCGAGCCAAAAAGCGCCCCCCTCGCACTCCTACAAAACTTGGTAGACTCCCGCTCGCCGCCCACGGTTGAACTTCTGCTCTTTTCCCCGTCACACTCTAGCCCCAAACCCCAACCTCTGGGTTTCGCTCTCTACAAACAACCATCAGATATATTAATATAAATACATATCAACCAACCAACTGATCCCTCTGGCTTGGTTTCTGGCGTCGCGTCCGGGAACCTGCTCAATAATAATTCCTCAGGATTCCTCTGAAGGAAAGCATATTCTCGCCACTCGCGCGGTTTGGGGTTCGAATTCCGTCACTGGGATCATCCCAATCCTCACCTTCGTCGCGTCTCGTCGACAGAAGCTCAAATGCACGCTCACCTCACCGACGCCCAACCCTTTCTCTTTATTCGATTGAAGGCTGTGCCACGGTGACGGCTCGCCTTTGCCTTTCTTCGATTTGATTCCGTCTTTCGCGCTATTCTTTCTGCGATCTGAGCGATATCCTGTACACTATATACATACATCTGGGGTGTTTGTTTGATTTTTTTTTCCTTTTCTTCCTCTTTTCTCGTTGCTCTCTGGGTTTTCATCCTCTTTCCCAGCGGTCGCGCCAAAAAAGAGTCTCTCATCCACAGAGTCGGAGAAGAAGAATTCACTGCTCGGATCTCATGCCATTCCGTCGATAATGTATCACTATTCCAGTCCACCTCCCGGGTGGTCTGCTTACGAATACACGACCTCGCCGCCAACCTCTCCTCACTACGTCTACTACTCGTCCCAGTACGCCAGCCCGCACGCCTCCCCGCGCGGACCGTCGAAACGACACAACCGCAAGGCTAGTTACGCCGGGCCCAGGGAGTCGGCAGGATGGTTCTCGGGGTATCAGTCGCAAAGTCACTATGAGGCGATGCCAGAATATGCGACGCCGCCGCGCAAGCACGAACATGTAAGTGCTAGTTTCGGTGGCAAGAGGACGAAGTGTGCACCGCGTCGGTTCTCGACGTCGGGCACCCGGCCATTCTATGGCTGTGACTACTACGATGAGGTCCGTCCGTCGCGTTCGCAGAAGCGGTCCATCTTTGTGGATGTGACCGACGATGCGCGGGAATACGTCTATGTCGAGCCCTCCGGGGCCCGTCCGTCTCGGGGTTACTATGACCCTGAGACGGACGACGACGACGATGACTACTACCAGTCTTATCGATACTCTTCGTCTACAGGCAAGCCAAGACCAGCCACTGATCATTATTACACTTATCAGGTTCCCGTTTTCGACGAGACGGACACGCCGAGACGGTCACGGGCCCGCCGCGCATCCACGTCGACACGCACTCCACAGAAGCCTAAACCATCTGCTAGCTCCAAATCGCCACCCAAGGCAACAGAGGAAGACGCGCGCAGGAAAGGGATCCCGCCAGGCTATTCCACTAAGAACTGGGATCCGACGGAAGAGCCAATCATCCTGCTTGGTAGTGTCTTTGACGCCAACTCGCTAGGCAAATGGATTTACGACTGGACGGTGTTTCATCTCGGAGCTGCAACGCCCATGGCAGAAGTGGCAGGTGATCTATGGCTGTTGTTGATCAAGTTGGCGGGCAAGATGAAGAGAGCTGAGGAATGCGTCGACCGGATCTATCGCCCAGACGCCCGTGAGATGGTGGAGGACTTCATCAAGAGTGGTGCGCGACTCTGGGCTCGGTTCGAACGGTTGCTGAAGTCCTGTGAACATTTTATGTGGAAGGCTGCCAAGCGCGAAGGTGGCAAGGGACCCATGTCGATGGGTCGGAATGCTGGCTGCGAGTTTGTCGATACGATCTTTGGTCGCGATCGCGAGCTGGAAAACACGGAGAAATTGATGAACAGTGTTCGTTTATGGAACATGCGGTTTGATGCCAACTGTGATGGTATCCTCCGCAGACCGTCGACTGCTTAGATGATTTGAATTATGACCTTCTCACGGAGGGCGCACAGCAGTGCGCCAAAAAAGTTTTTGATACATTGCTTATCAGGGGAGGACGAGGGGAAGTTGACAACACTTTTCTGCGATTCGATTTCACTTCGACATTGCATTGATACACCAGATACCTGCCGCAAGGCAGGCGCTTTTTGTTCTTTTCTTTCGGCAACATTGCATCTTCTGAATCTCTTTGGATTTGGCTGCGTGATTTTTTCGTTTCTGGCGAACTCATTTCGTCTAATATACCACTGGTTTTTAGTTCTTTTCTCATCGCTCGTCGGCGTGTCTCTATCGCACTCCCGGGGTTCTGTTGGCGCCCATGCTGCGTTCTCTCACATTCCTTTCTGGGTCGGGTCTGCGCTCTCGTGTCTTATCTGCTCTTACCGGAGTCAACATGTTCCGTGGGGAAACCTATCTCGAGTTATTTCTGGGATCCGTCGAGTCTACAGTTTGTTTCCTTTCTCGATGATACCACTTTGTTATTTTCTTCGATCCTGTCTCTTTCCTTACTACTTGCCCGATTGGCCATCTCTCCTTTGTTCTGTCTCTTTCCACGCGTACGTCGCGTTTACCTCTCCTCTAGGCCAGGGTCTCTCTCTGCGTGGAAACGGATGTACATACATAGCGGACCAACTTACCAACCTATCAACTTACAATTAGACCTTTTTACCTTTTTTTATTTTCCAAAACAAGTTCCTCTGAAAAGAAAAAAAAGCAATTCCATACCCCTCCATCGTCGTCAAGTAGGATAAACCCCGCAGTCGTAACCACCCATCCAAGCGCCCACCTACCCATTCTAGCAACAACCCCAGCGTCCCGGTCAGAGTTAACTCCATTAGACAATTACTATACTAGAGTACTAGTCAAAAACTGGTGTCACTCATCCCATCCCATCCCATCCCCCCTCCTGCTCGTCACGATATCTCCCACCATCCTATTCCGAACGCACAGCGTAAGATATCCGACCTATCCCGTCCCTTAGCGCTGGGCCTAAGACCCCTCCTAAATACCTAAAGTAGGTTTAGTTATATTACTTGCTAAATACAATAGCACATGCATTAGTTAAACCGCTTCGTTGTTCCTGGACTGGACCAATTAGGCTTTTAGGATAGGATAGGGATATGGGACCCTGCATGCACGGTTATCTCAGCACGTGTATGTGTTTCTGGCTGGCGCGACGTAATGAAGAAGAGTCTGAGATGAGATGAGAAGGGAGAGGGGGGGGGAGGCGGGATTACGAGAGATTTAGTTAGGGATGAGGTGTTATTATTAATTTAGTACTGGGTCTAGGTAGGGAGGGAGGATATGGATGGGATGGGATGGGATATGCTTGCTGTTGGTGTTGGAGGAGTCTATGGTATGTTAAAGGTTATGTAGATTTGGATGAGTGTGGGATGGGCCCATGGAGGATGTTGTACATACATGTATGTACATATGTAGTACATCAATCACAACTATGATACTTCGTGCGAAGTGGGATAGATAGATAGGTCGTTTTCTCGTGGCGGGGTATATAGGGTGGTTTGGAAATTACACTATATTCGTTTTATTTATTTATTTATTTTTTTTTTGGCCGGGGGGGTAGGGGTCCTCTATGATGTTGTGTGATACAGATATTCACTGCGATGTTATTATTAGTGGTGGTCAGTAAGTAGGTACTTACAGTACTTAGTAGTCAGTTAGAAGGGTTGTATGGCTAAGGGAGGGGGTAGACAAATCGGGAACGGGAACAGATGGAGGGACTTGTAAGACGGAGAGATTATCATTATCATCATTATTCCCCCCTCCTTTTATCGGATGATTATTTTTATTTAATTGGCATATTAATCACATCGGTAAGAAAGTAGTATCCTCGATGAAGCTTGCTTCCAGGAAAAGGTAGCATCGTACCTAGCTGGCCACATTATTCTAGTGTACCTGGAAGTAATTTTTTTTATTATAATCCATGGACTTAAGATTGTATATACAGTATTTTTTACTTATTTTCTATTCTGGATCATTATTAAACGCGGTTATACCATATAAGAAAATGGGGAGGTCATGGAAGATTCGGGAATCGTGGCCTTTTCGTGTAGTGTATACTTACAACAGTAGAAGAGAGTACTGTAGTACTAGACTTTTCGGTAAGTATTGCTTAACTACCTGTGCTTGAGTGGTAGGTGCAGGGCAGGGGTTACAAGATTCCATAAGAGGTAATTATGTACTTCTCTCCGATTTGTATGTACTACTTCCATGTTATATATGCATTATGCTGGGATGGATCATGTACGTGATGTTGTACTGTACATATGTACAGTACATTACGTGGATGTTGTACAGTATATGGTACTACGGGTTTGTGGTCCACGTATCATTTAGGTGCGATTTTCCATGACTGACTTGTTTAAGAGAAGACTAGGATGCTGGATGAATATATCAAACTGAGTTGGCAATGAACTGATCGCGGCTTTATACCTTCATTAACTATTTAACTACTTGCAATTCCTAGACAGATGATAAGACAAACTATACTCGGTACAGAAACGAGTAATCTACGCATCCGGTCCCACAGGCGGCGTGCTCGCAGCCAGGTTGCACTGGCGGAAGATCCGAACCTCATTCTCGGCAAAGGCTCCAACAACCGAGTGCAGTACGCCCTGGTTGTTGAAGAGGACGAGATCGCCTTCCACCCAGTCGTGCGGATAGACATATTCCGGACTGATAGCCGGACGCTGCAGTCTATGCACGATCTCTCGCACCTTGGCCAGATCGTCGATCACACTGCCATCCTTCAGATGGATGCGACGGACAGCAGACGGGTGAATCTGCAGTGCCAGCTCCCCAGTGACTGGGTTCTTCCACGTCATGGGGAAGATCTTGATCTTCTCGGGCTCAATTGGCGGCAGTTCTGACTCTGCCAGCTCCAGACCTTCCGACAACATGCCAAGTCCGTCGGGACGCGACTTGGCTGGGCTCATCCAGATGTACGGATGAGGTGCGTACTCGATCTTGCTGGTGCGCACGAATTCCTTGTCTTCCTCAGACAGAATATTGTACATGTTGTAGCCGCTGACAAACGCAGTCGTTCCCAGCGGCACATCCAGCTCATCTCCGGTGCCATCATCATATCGCACCGTCTGTCTGCGACCCTTGGGCACAGAAACGGCAAGGAGCGAAGTGACACGAGGTGGGTTCAAGTCATAAAGAGCAGCGTCGATATGCCATCGGTAGAACCGCGTATATGCCAGGTCATCTTCATCCGGGATGCGGGTCTTGTGGAACGTCTTATGATGCGGATGACGGAGAGTGATGTTCTCGAGACCCTCATAGCTAGGGACGAAGCCATTTCCAATGACTTGCACCTGCGGCTGGTGAGGGACAGTCTTCAGATCCGGGTGCAGGATGCTGCGTTTGGCATCGAGCGTCTTGCCATGACCGTAGCTCTCGCAAGCGGGGTCGAATCGGCGAGTGAGCTCATACTGGGCCTTGGCGGAGATATCCGGTTTGCTCTTGATCACTACGACGCTCTTCTTGTAAAGGGTATCGCGGAGAAGCTCGAAATCCTCGTCTGCAGAGAACGATCAGCGCCTGCTTGTCTCTTGCGAGCCGCATATCACTTGTTCTTACCTTGAGGAGGTTACCGTTCCCCGGAGTGCTCCCATGACTTTGTAATCTTTATCCCTTGTAGCCTATACCATGGTGCATCACTTACCACTGAGGTTTTCCACGTCGAGGCCGGTGATAATGGCTCCGAAGTCAACCTTTGACTTTTCGGGCACCTGGATGGACTGAACGCCAACCATCGTCGCGATTTTCCGGTATCTGCTGTTTGTTCTCGTTGTGAAGATAGCTGCGATATTGCGGTTCTGGTGTATGAAGTGTGAACGAAGGACAAGTCCTGGATGGAGGTGCGATTAAATAACTGATGGCATCGGAGACCTCCGCTGGGGGGAGTTAGATAATCCGAGCGATAAGCTGTCACCGCCGAAGTCGCTCGTCGGGGATTCCCGCGGTGTCGAAGATAATTGAAGAAAAAGAAAAGAAATAGAAAAATAGAAAGAGGAAAAAAGAGTGCAGGATACGATAATCGACTTATCTATGATTCTATGATACTGTAATAATATCTTCTGCCTGTAAATGCTACTGCCATGAAAATCAGATCATGCTGATGCCAAGAGACTACCTCAGCCCTGCGACCCTGCAGACGTCGCTCTAGTGTTTTGTCTATACCAACCCCCTACACGCTTTTCTTATCATCATTATATAGAACGGACCAGATCACTTCTTCTCTACGATCGGCTTCCAGAATAACCAAGCAATCGCAATGCAAAACTTCAATCCTCCCGCGATCCACAGCGCGCTCTGCATGCCGCCGCTACTCCGGCTGAGCCAGCCCGCCGCAATAGCTCCTACCAGAATGCCCGTCACAGATCCAATACGTCGGTTGCGCTTGACGTTCTGCGTCGGCGGCGCAGTTAGAGCTGGATCGGTCGCAATATCAAAGTAGACGCTCGTCAGAACGACCGTAGGTATTTCGTTGAATCCCATTCCTCGACTCGCAGCCAACTGGCCACCAAACTGGAATGCGAGAAGGAACAAGGGGATTAGCTCGAGGAAGAGACGGCCGCTCGTCAGGGACAAGTCGTTGATTGTGTGAGGGATAAGGTCGCCTTCAATGAGACCGGCTGCGATCATGATGAAGATACACTGAACCAGGAACGAGGCGAACAGTGTTCCACGCAAACGGGGTCCCGCGCGACGTGTCGCATGGCTGAAGGTGAATGCGCCGCAGAAGAAAGAACTGATCGAGACGAGAGATTTCAACCATCCGTATGGTTTGGTGAACGGCTGTCCGGAAGCGCCCAGACCGAGGAAGACGGTGTTTCCTTCGCTGCTGTCAGCGATGCCTTGAGGCGGGGCAAGAGGACCTATATACCTGTCTGCATGGAAATAAAACAGGACCACGCATTGTAGGCGCTTCCATCCGAAAGGCCAGTAATCAGAGAGCAGATGATAAACACCAGGTCAGCATGGTTGGTGTCCAGGGTCTCCTTGAACCATTGCGCAATTGCAGATGGCTGGCGCTTCTCCAATTGTTCTTCATTCGCTTCGATATCTTGCGGCGCCGCGATTTGCGTCTGCGGTGCGTAAGCCGCCATCTTGTCGCAGAAAGCTTTGCGTGGAATTGGACCGAAAGCCCTCTGTAGAGAAGACTCTACGAAAGCAAAAAAAAATATCTACGAGGACGCGTAGTTGAAATGGCGCAATTCAGCCGTGAGTCAACCAGCTTTTCCGACTCGCGGCTAACTGCCCGATCCGGTACGACTACCAAGTATTATCGCCGAGTTTTCGATTAGCCTTCAAGTTGAAGCGCTACTCCGCGACGATCTAGAGCCGGAGGACTCGTAGTCTGGTTTGGCTTAACTTTCGTGTCAGTCCGGTTGGGTCATCTCCTCGGAGTCTGGACATGGAGTATCTTGATGCCAAGCACCTCTAGGTACCTACGCCAAGCGGTCTTAGATCCTACGTATCTTCGCCGAGCTGATAATAATCAGTCATCTACTTTATCCTATTACTGCCCGTTTTAATTGCGTGAAAGACTCTCTCTTACGGACCTAGCACTGCTACTGCCGCGGATGTCGTCAGTTTCGGCGTTCAAGACGCAAGTGGATGTCCATTCCTGCTCGATTGGATCGAAATAATACTCAATAGATCTTGTGTCTTTGTCACTCCTCTTAGGACAACACACTCCTAGCATGTGTAGAACCATATTTCTATTTTCCAATTAAAGGCATTGGACGACTTGCGTCAGTCTTCTATTCCTGTCCATTTGCCAAAAGAATTCTTCCACCATCAACACACAGAGAAACTCCGTTTACATACGCCTATGTCGAAATTAGCATCACACCCATTGTGTCAAAAATATATCAAAAGAGAACTCCAATACACTCACTCCAGCCAAACCACATAGATACAACACGGTCCCTGCAATCTCCTCTGTCCTCCCAGCCCTCTTGGCTGGGACTTTATCAAACAGCGCGCTGAACATATTCCCTTCTTCTCCCACAGGATTCATATTACTGGGAACAAACCCAGGATTGATCCCACACACTCTAACATACCATCTCTGGAACTTGCTCGCAAGTAACCTCACCAGATGGTCCGTACCAGCCTTGCTTGTTGCGTAACTGGTCAAATCCACATTTGTGCAATTATGTAGACTCGCGCAGCTGCTAGTCACGACTATCACGCCGCGGCCTTCATCTCTCCCTTTCGAACCGTCAGGAAGAATCCGTTCTGCAGCTGCTGCGAGGAGGGGGAATAATGCGACGGATAGAAAGTAATGTGCGGTCGTGTTGATTCGGAACGTATCTTCCCAGTCTGAGTAGTTCGATGACCACATTGACGCTTGGAGGTCTTGAAGGGAAGCTGTTAGGACGTTGCATGGCTGTGGAGGATCACGGCGGATGCCGGCGTTGGAAATAAGGATATCAATGTATTTTTCCCGTTGGGAGATCTCAGATGCTAGGGTGGATATTGATTCTTTGGACATTAAATTGCAGGGAATTCTTTGCATCCATTAGCCATCCTGACGCGAAGGGGACGCAACACGATGGACCATACCCTTCAGCACTCCCTCCTGCATCCTTTCCCAGTGAATTGAGCTCTGCAACCTTCTCTGCAATTGGATCCGTAGGCAGAGCACAGATATAGACCTTTGCGCCATTCGTCACGAACCCCTGTGATCTCCACGAGATAGGAATCAATATAACACGCTTTGAGCATGAAAGTACCGAGGGCGAAAACGAACAATCCATGAAATAGAAAAAGGATATACCTTTGCAATCATGAACCCAATCCCACTACTCCCACCGGTAATGACGGCCACGCGGCCTTTGACTCCAAACAACGTCGAAACTTCGACTGCTGACATGGTTTATATTTACCTGGGAGACACCCTTCTTACGAATATATGAGGGAAGACTTCACTATCATGTCTTTTTAAGAGACATTATCGTTGTCTACCGAGATTATAAAACTGGCTTACTATTCATTTTACTTGGTCGTTTAATCTAATCGTGTCTATGATTGTATTTCCCCGCAGTCCGCGAGCGGCAATTGTCAATCCGTCCATCGGATAGACCGACAGGACGATAAGTGCGGGAACCCCGCTTGTGAGTAGTTGAATCCGGATAAGCATAGAAGCAAGGTATGTAGTGGAGGCTTGCATGATATGGAATTGAAGATATAGATTATCTTGTTATTAAACGGATGTAAGTTCAATTCAGATTAAGACTAGAATATGAGTCTCTGGGGATTTGCTTTGGATGCTCTAGCTCTCTGGACTTCAGGTAGAAACATAAGCAAGAAGGTTAAATTCGAATGGGGGATAATGTTTGATATTTAAGTCTGGGAAAAAAAGGATTGTTCGTTTATCGACCACTGCACTACTCCTTATAATGATCCGCTGTTCTCAACTTCGCCTCTCTCAAACATTCCTCCGTGACCGCAGTGTCTCTTGGAATCAACTTAACCTTAAAATCCTTCGGGATGGCCACCAGCGCTGTTTTGAATTGGTTATACTCGACATAATCCGTATTCGGTGGCTCCGTCTCACTGGCCACGATCTTGTAGGAGGAGAGAATACGTATGAGCGCGGTGTAGAGGAGGCGTTGGGCGATGAGCTGTCCGGAGCAGGCGCGTGAACCAGCGCCAAAACTGAGATGGTTAAGGCCTACGGAAGGTTTCTCAGTGGGCGGATCGATGGATGAGAGCCATCTCTCAGGATCAAATTTGGCAGCGTCGGGACCGAAGTGATCTACGTCTTTGAGGTTGTTAGAAGGAACTCGGTTCAAGAAGAGATAGCATAAGTGGGTAGAAGATACGAGATGATGAACGTACCGTGATTACCAGCCTGCGCGTTGATTAAGATCATGGTCTTGGGTGGAATGATAGCGCCGTTCCAGTTTACCTCCGTGACTGTTTTCCTGGGAAGACTCATAGCGCTGACGGTATAAAATCTTCCAGCTTCCTTGATGATGGCGTTGATATAGGGAATCTTCTCTTCCTGGTAGCTACTTGTCCAAGCCTGCTTGATGTCTGGGTAGAATCGTTTGATGTCTTCGTATGCACGGTCCTGCCAGACCTGGCCCTCCGGAGTGGAAAGGGAGCCAAGGCAAGATGTAAGAGTACCCGGGATAGTTTCAAACCCGCCAGAGACCAGTGACAAACAAATCGAACTGACCTCGACTCCGGTTAGTTTCGTCTCTTCGTCTTTTAGGATCGCTCCTGAAATGCAGGGCTTATCTGTTCCCTGACGGATCATGGCGCGGACCTTGTCGAGAAGAAGATTGAGATAATTATCTCTCCGGGATCTCAACTCCTTCGAACGTGAATTCTTCTTGTTGTTGGGCACATATCGCAGAATAGGGATGTAGTCTTGGTAGTTTTCAGACGCGGACCGGAGAAGTGAAATTGCTGATCCAACATACAAGATCTCGCGGAGCAGTTCGTCATAGACTTCATCCATACGAATGCCATAACAAAGAGTCAAGGTTGTGTTGAGAGCATAGCGCTGAATAAATGGCCTGATATTCAGCTCAAGTGCTCCATTCTTACTATCCCGATGCAGGTCTCGGACGATGCAGTAACTCTCCAGGTCGAACATGGGATGATAGCGTCCTAAGGCCGGTCGTCCCAGTGCGGCTCCAGCAGCCTTTCTCTTGTTCTTGCAGCTGTCATCCCAAGGAGAAGAACCGATGGTGAAGCCTTGAGTAGAGCTGATAACGCCGTGGAACGTGTATAGCGTTGGCCGATCGATTAAGGCTGATTGGTGACCGATCAGCATCTTGCGGCAGTCGTCGAACGAATTTACGACCACTGCACGGGTGTTTCCTAAGCGGATCTGGAAGACAGACCAGCCGTACCTGTCGACAGTGACAGGCATGAGCAACATCCTTCGACCCGGAAAAGGAGGATAGAACCTAGGTACTTACTCTCTCCATTTTTTCTCGCACCAAGTTGCATGGTCGTCACCAAGGGTTAAAAGGTGGCCAAAGATGGGCAATGCTCCTGGGACTTCCGGTATTCCTTTTATATACGGAATATCCGTAGATATCGACCACTACATAAAGTACATACATCAGTACATAATATCACAGTCACAGCAGGCCCTACCAAGCCACATACCCTGTATAGTAGATAGAGGAATGCAACTCCTAGGATATACGTGACATATCCCCTTGGAATATTCCTTAAGTACTGCTCATGATCAAGATCCGTAAAGGTTTCCATATTGCTGGCGAGACGAAGCCGTGATTGCGACCCTTCTGTCAGTCAACCCCGCAAGAACAAAGGAAGAAGGAAATGCAATGCACTCGGGTCTTATATCATACTCACAGAAGTGTCAAATTCAAAAACCTCGGAAATCCAATCTCCCATCACTTCGATGACCGAACTGTGTGCGCTTGGTTGGTGATCCATTGTCGGGGTTTCGGGCGCTCCGATAAAAGCATCGTTGATAAAGAGTCTCCGCAATTGGCTATAAACATCTATAGGACTATACGTACTGTACATGGCGCGGGGCCATAAGACTACCGAAAGAAAAAAACAAAAATCTTGATAAGCGGTTCTAGCGAGCTTAAGCGGATATACTTCATGTTTCGTGTAGATCTTTCGTCCGGCCCGACTTTGACCGTTTACTGCGATACCTTAGTGATAGAAAGCCTGAACATGAATTTTCTGACAGCTTACTCGAATTGCCAACATTATTCTTATCCCTATCGTCCTATATGCCGTGAAGAACGAATAAGCAACTGGCAGGTTGTTATATGTAGAAGTCATTGCTTTAGAATTGTGAAGCATAAATCCCATATAGAAAGACCATATTTTTTGAACACGGGCCTCTGTTAACATTATTTGTGTACATAGACAGAGGCCATTCATCGTCTCTTGGACTAATACCATTCTACCATTATTTCGTCAATTTCTTAAATACGTAGAATTTGCATTCATATCCTTTTGTGTCATGACTTTACCCAATAGTACTGTACTTCAGCCGCAGTTCATAAATCAGTCTCGTGGAACAAGGTGGTCCTTCAAGCGAGAGACAACTTCGCGTATCATACTCTGGCACTTCAAGGCGCTGGGGAACTTCTTTCCAAAAGTACCCAGTAATTCTACAGCCAGCTCCAAATCACCTATTGCCCCTGTTTGTTCTAGCGCAGATGATAGACTGTCTGGTTGCGCCGTAACCGAGTACATCAATGCAAGCGACGAGGTAAACACTCCAAACAGATTTAGCCAGTTGTAAGAAAGTCTCTGTTGGAGATGCATATTCGTTGCCTGCCTAATAGACATTGCAGACGATTCGGCGAGGATTTTGACCTTGGGAACATCCAAAATAGGGCACAATGGCGACGGCCGGTAGAGCATTGTAACATGAGTATAGTAATTTAGATCGAACCATGAGGAACTCAGGTGAGGAACGCGCGATCCCTGTAGCTCTGGTAAAGGAAACGGCATACTTCGTCGCCACTCCACCAGCTGTTTATGTATTTGACGGATAACTTCGTCGCGCTGCCCTTGGTCCATCCCGCGTGCCTTTGTCTGAGAATAGACCTTTTCCCCAATAACGCTCGCGATCTTTCGCAGTGCAAGTATATGTCGGGGGACTTGCATGCTCGATGGTTGAAGTGGGTCTTGGGGGACTATCCTGTCTGTCCGTATATTCTCATCATCAACGTCTGCGAAAATCTGCGGGTCTGTTAGTTTCGTCCTTGGTTCTTGGACATGAAGAAAAGCTCACTTCAACGTCAATATCTTCGTCACGCATGGCAAAAGGTCTTCCCAATGCCATGGATACCACACGATCCATCATATATAATGACCAGAAAATGCGTTTCCTGTATTCGCTCACATCTACGGGAATGTTCTCATAAGTTGATGACGTGTGAAGCCCCATCCCTATCGCCATTCGAGTTGCGACGCCAACAAGGAACCATGTGTCTATCATATCAGCATTAGCGCCTGAATGGAAGAGGACTCTGAGAAACATACTTGGGCCTAGCTGGTTGAAGAAGGAGTACGATACTTGGAGCATCAAAACTTCCAAAGCCGCCTATTCATCGGTTAATAGCCTCGACCTTATGATTGAGATATCATTAAGGTCGCACTTACCATATCTCCGCAAGAGAAGGCATCCTCGAAATAAGTCATAGCTTTATTGAAGAACATAACTGATTCAGACTCATCCACCAAGCTAACAGAGCAGTAGGCCGTCGATCCGATGGCAAGAACCATCCAAACCCGGAAGAGCCAGAGAGGTGACTGCATCAGAGGGTCTTCCGGCTCGGTATAAATCTTCCACAGTGCGCCCATGAATTCATTCTTGCGAATTATCGGATATAGCGTATGAGAATGAGACCAGTAGAAATCCGTTAGGTGTGCTGCGTGCCATTGTGGAGGGAGTTCCAGTTCCACGACGTCCAACTGCTCCTGCTGGTTCAGCTCCGGAAATGTCCTGAATGCAGAAGACGATGATATCAAAGAGGAGGGCCCGTATTTTCGAAAAGACAAGGGATCGATGAATTGATCTAGAATTTGGTTCTCATTTGGGGACCCCTTCTGTTCAATATCGTCTTCAAAGACAAATGAAGACTTATCGGGGCTCAGTCTTCGTAACACAGCTTGGGTAAGTTTCGCAAACGAAACTCCAGAAGAAGACCCAAGATAGCGTTCTGCTGTTGCCGATAGCGATAGCAGCTCCAGCTCCGACGCGAGTGAGTGTGCCCTTCCCCGCGTACCTACAGTAGGAGACAAATTGTTCGTTGCTGAAGCAGGAATGAAAGGCACCGCGATTTCTTCGGTCGTTGGACGATCCGGAGTGAACGTCTCCAAAGGAGGCGAGCTTCCATTGTTGGGATCTAAGTAGATAGAGTCCTCAGAGTTCCTCGACGTGGACAAAGCTAGAGAGAGTTGCCTTTCCAGATCCTTGACACGTCTCTGTAGACTCTGGACGTACCTATTTACTCCGCTTAGTGAGTTTACTGATGGACACAGGCCACAAAGAGATATGCGTGATCTTAAGCATCTACGTACGAGAGAGGAAAAGAGCCTATTTGGTTGCGTTCATCCAAGAAGCTGCATTTGGAGCCTGCTCGTTCGCACGCTTCACATTGCGGTAAAGATCTATCGCATTTCTTCTTTCGGCGGTGACAGCGACGACAAGAATTCTCTGCACGAGGTGTATTTGACGATGCCATTGAGATACTTTGCGGGGTTCATGAACATGAAGGAGGGGTTGGAGGACAATACCATAAGTTTGGGCGGCTTTGGCCGTCCCTTATCAAGGTGACTACATCAACACTTAAAGCTCGTTGGTTATCTACATGTAACATCAGCAACTAAGTATTATTGATAAGACCCCCTGGGCCACCTCATTTTTTTCCCCAGATTAGTTCGATTTTCTCCCCTTTCACCCTTGAATTGAACCATTCATAAATCTCGATTTTATCCTGGACCGCCTTGGCTCCCCGCAGAGCGTCTGTTTCGGCGATTTTCTGCGTCGCCAGCATCAGCTCTGTCAATGCTAGATTCTGCGCTATGCATGTTCGGTTTCCCTTCCCAAAGGCGAAGAAGTTCCGTAACATCTTGTCACTGGGATTAAGCCATCGCTCTGGTCTGAATTCGCGAGGTTCCGGGAAGATGTCTTCTTCCTGGTGGACTTGCCAAGCACTTACCCCGACGTTTGTGCCACAAGGGAAATGGAATTCTTTGTATGTCCACCCCCCTTCTGGCACCAGACGCGGTAGTCTGGTTGGGTTTGCCCACGACAGACGCAAGGCTTCCCTGACGACGCCTCTGAGATATGGACCAGCAGTGGGATCTTCATCGTTGTGCCTTTTCTGTAGGACTTCCTGCTTGAGACGATCATATCTCCGGATTTCGAGATAGATACCATAATATAGTTGCCATATTCATGCCTGTGCTATCAGAGCCCGCAAATATCAAGTCTTTGCATTCAACTCTCGTCTGCTGTACGCCAATGGATCTCTCTAGAAGACGACTTGGGTAACTGCCACTTCCCGGAGTCGTGGAGGCTACTAGCTTGTGAACAAAGTTATCGACGACTTGAAACGATTTGGCAGTATGTTCGTTGGATGTTAGCATATCGAATATCCTCATTGCCAGACCCGCGATCGGCTCTGGGAAATAGAAGAAAGCGCCAACGCCCACGTAGGCATCCACAAACTGAGAGGCAGACATCTCACTGGCTCCTTCTGCGATGCCGCCATAATTCTGTTGGAACAGATAAGATGAAACTGCATCAACTGCCATAGATCGCGTGAGGTTCAACACATTGACTGGCTGGCCAGTTGCCGCTTCTTTCTGAAGTCGAGAAACGAATTCGTCGATGACCCCACAGAGGACTTGGTTCGAATTCCTGATAGACGTTGTAGAGAACAACGGCACCACTGCCTTGGCCCGATTTGCTCTCTCATCCATCGTCAAAGTCGAAAAGATCGTCGGGTGGCCATCTATATCGAATTTCGTATATGGACGAGACTTCTGGAATCCACCCCGGTCGAGATAGACGGTCTCAATAGCATCCCCTTCTGCGATGTCGATATCTTCTGGGCCTATCCTCAGCACAGGTCCATACTTCTTGTGGAGCTCATAGATGACCGTAGCTTCATCACCGATGTACGCATGGTAAGCCAGCCAGAGCGATGTGCATGCGGCGACTCGAGGTCCAGGGACTTTTGAAAGAGGGTGGAAGAGTATGCGATAAGTACATACACAGGATATATATCCTGCTAGAAAGCCGACAATGGAGCTAATAGGATTGCTGGTCGCAGTCTCTATTAACGTCGACAGTGCCATTTGAGATAGCTTGATTGGGCGCCACTGCAGAGGAACCGCTTGACATTCTCAGGTTAAAGTGTACCGGTCAGACACTCCTCTCCGACAAGTTGTTCGGATCTGTGTATTGTCTACTTCAAATCATATATAGCCATATGATTATATCTATGGAAGAAGATGACATCGGTGCTACCTAGACCCCGCCCAAGTCGTTATCGCACCCGAAATCGCCACTCGGGCGGCTGGCCCGATAGATAAATTATGTGAATCTACTGGCATACTGACTACGAAACAAGCATCAAAGGTGACTGTCTCTCATATATTCCACTTGCAGAGACAATAATTGTATATTAGCTAAGCTGATCTATGAACGCAGTCTGTTTGAAAGAATCGCGTGAAGAATGTCCTGAGCGAATCCGGTGTCGCGTGGCATTTCCTCACGCAAAACAATTGCGCGGTGCTAGCATGCACTGATAAGAATCAAGATTCTGCAGTTTATCTACTTAACTATGCCGTTACGCAAATGCATGACAGTGTGAACAAATAAGTATGATACTATCGGCTCTGCCCCAGACATTTCAACCTGGTTGGCTTGCCAAGTTATTCTTCAAGCTTCTTCAAGCCATGACCACGCTACCTATGGAGCAGGAAGGATTGAATAATGGTGCTTATCTTTCCCCTATTGAATCGGCTGCTGTGGCGCCGGAACGAATAAGCCACCATCTTACCGCTATTTGTCCAATAATCTAACACTGCTATAGTTTATGCCTCCTGGAATGTGTGCTTCCTTCGGCCAAAACAGGAAGCTCCCTAGGCTTTTCATCTCGCGGCTGGTCTGGGCTAAAACAGAGCGCGCGATGGGTCCCCAGGTTTTCCGTCGGTCTTCCTACACGATCCACGTCTCCGGTTGCTGCAAGTCCAACGTGCTTGCACGTATCCGGTAAAGATAGGCCCATCCGGGTGGGATCCCATATCTTCCGGCCAGGAACAACGCCGAAGGATGTACCGGTACGTCACATCAGTGGAAATAATGAGAAAAAAATACTCCGTAAAGCCCATGGGTCTGTGCAACTACTTAAGTTGAGCAAACCTAGTGCACGGGGGAGAGATATAAGGCCGGATCGCCGATCTTCCTGTGTAGATATCGGTCAACTGCCAGAACACGTCGGCAGCGAGACGCCAGTCACGGTCAAGATGAAGTTAGCCGGCCTCTTTCTGGCAGCCCTGGGAGCCATTGGACCCGTAGCTGCTCATCGGAGTCCGCAACATGTCGGCAAGAAGCTTCCCCGGCTTGCGGAGCAGCATGTTGCGCGATCTGTACCGTCTCCCCCTATCGCCGCCCGCGCGGAACAGGATTCGCCATATCTGAACGAGAAATCATACAGTAAGAATAGCTGCTATGAGACGGAAACTCATATGATATCTAACTCGGAATAGAATTCGCGGTCAACGGCGCGAATATTCCCGACGTGGATTGGGATATTGGTGAATCCTACGCAGGCCTTCTGCCCATTTCCGACGACCCCAAGGAGGAAAGGCAGCTGTATTTCTGGTTCTTCCCATCCGACAATCCTTTGGCGGGGGACGAAATCACTATCTGGCTTAACGGTGGCCCGGGATGCAGTTCGCTCGAGGGATTGCTCCAAGAAAACGGGCCCTTCCTGTGGCAGTATGGAACCTTCAAGCCTGTTAAGAACCCGTATACCTGGGTTAATTTGACGAACATGGTTTGGGTCGAACAGTGAGCACAAAATGTACCTTGACTAAAAACAACGATAAACTGACGCTTCTCATCAGGCCCGTTGGAACCGGCTTTTCTCAAGGAACGCCGAATGCAACATCTGAGGAAGACGTCGCAGAGCAATTCCTGGGATTCTTCAAGAATTTTGTCGACACCTTCAACCTCCATGGTCGAAAGGTCTACATCGCGGGAGAGAGCTACGCTGGGTACTATGTCCCGTACATCGCCAATGCGATGTTTGACAAAGAGAACACCGAATACTACAATATCCAGAGTATCATGATCTTTGACCCTTCGTTGAGCTCGGATGCGATCCAGGAACAGAGTGGGTTTCTTTCTCCTCGTCATTCCGATTTAGACTTGTGCTAATGACATAGTCCCTACTACCCCATTCGTCGACTACTGGGGCCATCTCCTGAGTCTGAACGAGAGCTTCGTCGAGAATCTGCACTCTCTGCATAAGTCCTGTGGTTACGAGGACTATATCAAAGAAAACCTCGTTTACCCACCGAAGGGGAAGTTCCCAGAGCCTCCTTCCACGGACGGAGAATGCGACTTGTGGGATTCTGTGTTCGTGGCTGCTAGTGACATTAATCCATGCTTCGATGTCTATCAGGTGGCCACTACTTGCCCAACCCTCTGGGACGTGCTCGGTTTCCCCGGAAGCTTTGACTACCTTCCTGCTGGAGCCAAGATATACTTCGATAGACCAGAGGTGCAGAAAGCGATCAACGCACCTAAGACGAACTGGGCCGAGTGTACCGACACTGAAGTCTTCGTGGGTGGCACAGACAACTCCGAACCATCGTCCTATTCGGTTCTCCCGTCCGTGATTGAGAAAGCCAACAGGACGATCATCGGCCACGGCTTGCTGGATTTCATTCTCCTCGCCCAGGGAACCCGCCTAGTAATCCAGAATATGACCTGGAACGGAGCCCAGGGCTTCAGCGCTGAGCCTTCAGATGACTTCTACGTTCCCTACCACCCCCAAGCCTCGCTCTCTACTCTGGCTGGAGCAGGTACTGCGGGCACATTCAGGACCGAAAGAGGCCTTACTTATGCCGAAGTCAAACTGAGTGGACACATGATCCCGCAGTATTTCCCCACGGCTGCTTACCGTCTGGCTGAATACCTTTTGGGACGCATTGACACGCTGTCGGAAAATGCCACCCAGCCTCTGTAAGGAGCTATTTCTTTAGTTTCACAGCAATCTTATGGTATGTCGTTCCTTCATAATTACGGATTTCTCCGCTATCAGATAGAACACAACGGAATATTTGTAACTGCCAGCAATACGAAGTAAAATGTACATATCATACGTTCTTTAGGTCTTGGGAGCGTCATCCACTATGGTTCAACTGTGACCTTCGAGCTCAACTTAGCTATAGAGCCTATGGAATCTAGTACAGTATGCGATGGAGGGATGAGATGGTGAGGTGTTCATAACAAATCGTTCATAAGAGTAAGAGCATATAATACTCGAGTCATTGAGAACAACCCTCATGATACCTGAAAGTCAACGAATACCAGTTATAAGACCCCAGTGGTTTAAAAACCAGATATCTATTTTTGGCAACATCACGCGGCTCTACTACACGATGTAACGTAGAAAAGTCGACTCCAGGGTTCAAATGCGTTATTATCCTACGGCTCGAACTACACACTGCGCATTGAAGAAAAAAAAAAGGCTGCTCAATGTTGGAAAGGCAGTAGGAAAGCTGGCTTTCAAAGCACTATATATGTCTAGGTTACCGTATCCCTTAGAACTGATGTGTGTTTTCTCTGACAACACTCACTGCAATCCAGATCCTCACACCATAGTCACTTTAGCAATTGTGGACCATGGCTTGCAATAGACTCTAGGTTAAAAACCAAGGTTGAAGCGAGCAGTCCTTTCGTGCAGGTTCGACTAAAAGTAGACCTTGTGTGATGTTACCAAAAATTGGATACTGTGAGTTTTCACTGTAGTTTTAAGACTTTTTAAGAACCATTAAGAATTATTCCTGCCATTGCCACCCCTCCACCGGGTGATCGACAAGAGACAAAGAAAACCGCATCCATGAACACAAGGATTCAGATACTGACCAGATGTCCGACTAGCAGCATAATAATTCTTACACTGCTGCCTAGGAGTTCCCCTGAGAGAAATCCCTCATCTTCTCACTTCCAGTTCACCCTCTCCCCGCGACTTAAGACCCCATTTGGGGTTCTACCAGGTTGGCACTTCTCTTTCATCTTCATTCAACTTTGTCCTTACCATATTATTGCAACCGAACCAACCCATCAATCGAAATCATTGACCCGTCATAATGCATAATCTCCGTGATTCACTGCTCAGCCCTTCGCCTCGAGGCACCCCTCACCTCACCACATCAGAAGCTTTTCAGAGATACCAGGAGGACACGCGTCAGTGTATCGCTCGGGGAGAATTCAAGGAGATTCGGGACGCGGCCTTCAGTAACCGAACCTGGATCATCACCTCCCGATACTGCGAGGTTGGAGATGGCGTGGATTCCCTCGAAGAGTACATTCATTCTATGTGGTATATGTACTACCAGCTCGGTCGCAATATCTCACACGAAACACCCGACCACGAGGGTCTTGTCCTCGACATCGTCCGTATCCAAGGAATGGGGCCGCTGACTCGTCCTGTGCGAGGAATTTATGGTGTTGATATTGCACGAACCGTCGAAGGCACACTGTGGAACGATCTGCCCTTCTTGGCCACCGACATGACCGACTTCTGGAACAGCGACTTCCCGACCATGTCAGGTACACACCGACTCAACTTTGCAACTTTCCTGGCCAAACTGGCATCGACTCGCGTCTGCAAGGATAAGCTGTGCCAGATTGCCCTCATTCTATTCCGCAATCTGTTTGAGGAGAGACAGGGACTTCGCAGTGGGGAGGAGTTGGATGATGAAGATCCAAAGCGAAGCATGCATCAGCTTGAAATTTGTCACTTGTTGCCAGCTGCCGTGGCTTGGCTCTACCATACAGGCCCCAATCTTGTTCTACTCTCAGAGGTCTATTGGAACGATTGTCCCAGTATCGTCAGCAAGGGTGGCACGATGTTCATCGAGTCGGAGCTTGGGCAGCGATCACCCACTGGATTCTCACCATGGAGATACATGTACTGGCTTAAGCGACTCCATGAGATCCAGGAGGAAGCCAAGGAGGCCAAAGAGGATCTCTTAGTAGAGTACGCCACCGATGCCATTGGCTACATGCTCAACCAACTCGAGCAACGAAACTCTGAAATTCTAAGAGCATACCAGAACGGCGGAGATGCCTTGCATCAGGAAAAACACCTCCTTTGCCTGAAGAGTCTTTTGAAGAGTGAAGCTACAGAGAATGAAGACGAAGACTCCATGGATGACTCGAAGGATAGCGCAAAATAAGTAAGAAACGAAGGGAGGCCCCAAAGGAGATGCCAAGGAAGATGTCAGTCAGATCTCTCTCCTCTCCTATCTTAGCTTCTCTCCCACTTTAGTTTCCGAGTCGAATATTATTACTCTTCTTTCTCAATGCAGCCCTTTACATGTCTGCTCTATCCTCTAAGGTGTACAAATAAGATACGATTACACCACTTACATGATTCAGATGAAATTAACATGTTCTGGAGTTCTGGTAATTGTCGAACTCCGAATTGTTAAAACTGTCAGAGAGATTCAATCCCTCGGGTCCAATTCGAGAAGGACATGGTAGCTACCAGAGCGTCACGCTACTAGCGTAACTCAGCAATAGAAACATGGCTAGGGTATACTCTGATTGACAGAAGATACTCAAAAAATACCAGGTATTCAATGAGCGATTTTTTGATAAGCACAAATATCCAGCTAGATACTAAACGAGTGTGGTCATAGCAAGAATCACAGAAAAGCGAGATGCTGGGAATGCAGATCACACATGTATCAACCCAGCATACGCTCAATATTGCTTTTTCCCTAGCCCCTCTTGACGCGAATTGTAGGCATTGAGAATCGCACGGCATCTCACACTTTCTCGTAAGAAGAATGCCCAGGAACAACCATTTGAAATAGTCTTATCGCTATTAGGCGTTACAGTTGACCACTCTACTGTAGGAGTCGAATGTGCACTTATGCTTGTCCATCTGGCACTGAAAAGATAAAAAGGTTAGCCGAGGTCAATATACCTAAGAATAAAAGAGAAAATAATACCCTTTTGTTGGCGAATTTAGAGGGGCACTTGACATAGTGTGTCTTCCCATTAGCCACGTATCTACATTCATTATTCTTTCTGAAACATTGCTAGAGAGTTGTTGTTAGTACTTGGTTTCATTTTCATGTGGGCACGAATTGTATGAATCTCACTCCTGTGTACGTGATGTCGGCAGCATCCACGTCTCTTTCAACGATGCCGTCGGACTCGGCATCAATGGGATTGGCAACCGCAGCTATGGCAGCGAACAGGAAAAGGGAAATCTTGGTGATCTGCATGGTGAAAGGCTTAGAGCGGTGATCGAGACGATTGGAAAGATGGATCAAATAATCACAGGCGGAACTGGTCTTGATGAGCTTGATATCTTGTAAATTGCGACATCAAGGAGCTGTCTTATATAGGAATCATTCTGATCCCCGCAGAAGAGGTGACAAAACATGATCACCAATTTCAATGCAGTCATCATGGAGCTCCAGCCAAGGGATTGTCAAGCTACCCAATGTTGTTTGTTCCATTTCAAGTCCGTTTCGATCTTGACGGCCGTGTCAGACTGATTAGTTAACCTACCTAGATCAACATGCTGTACCATAATTGTTGTATCACAACTCGATATTGGTCGTGATTCCACACTACATCCGTGCTTATTCACTGAAGTCCTGCGCATAAGAATGTAACCATATAGAAAAACGCCCCGGAGAAACCTATAGAAACCCTATCTCATACAAGGTCTAGAGGGCCTAGAGGAGGTAGATGAATAAGAACTGTGCTCCCCTATGTCTTAGACACACAGTACATGGCTTGGCCTTCCACCAAATGTGGTCGTCGACTCCAGGTTTCGAACAAGCTACCCAATAAGAGTACTAATTTACGCAGTAGAAGATATTCAGCTTATTGGTTGGTTTAACTGTATAGGCGAAGGATTTTGTACCACGTCCAGGAGTAATAACACGTGCAGAACGGTCGGAGTCTAGAGCCGATCAATACCACTTTGGCCACTACCACTGTACACCTCTAATAATCATTGCCTTCCCTTTTAGGTAGATAAATTGAATCTACAGAGTATAATAGTAGTTAGAAAAATAAAATAAGCAGAATCTTAGTCAGACGGGAAAAGATTTGCTCTACTAAACTAAAGCGTACTACTGTAACAATCATTAGAGAGGTTTCACGAACTGGGCTGGGCATTGATGTGAGGAACCCTGTAATGCATCAAGGCATAGATGCGCGGTGATATGTACGTAAAACTTGAATATACGTAACTTAATCCACAGCTAAGCTGACCACATGGCCAAGCTGACTATTTTCGCATCAACATTCAACAATCATTCTTCGACGCGTTATATTTTCACCACCATAGTATTAGTTATCCTACGGCGGCCTGGCCAAAGCAGTAAGAAATGCGCTGAGCGGTTATGACTAAGTAAGCTAGAATAGTTATAACTAAGTTATGTGATTTTGTATATAATTGGACCTTATATAGTAGTAAATCCTAATTACCATAAAAAAGAATGTATTAGTTATATCTTATATCCCCTAATCCTCAACCCCCTCTAGCAGATCTAGAGGATTTAGCAGACCTGGCAGACCTAGTAGAGCTAGTAAAATAGACTTGGGAAAGAAAGTATAATCGATCGAGTAGAGCGAATAGAGTTGATCGAGATATAATGGATAGATCTAGCAAATTCAAAAAGTTATCAAATCTGGTACAATAGATAAAAGCTAAAGGGGTATGTAAATTAGTAAATTCAAGAATGTTACTAAAGCTAGCAAACTGTCAGAGTAAATATAATAAATAAAGCTAGCAGATCAGTTGAAGTAATGACATTTGCATTGGAGGGATGGATCTTGACTCGGAAAGCGGTGCACACATCGGGCGAGGAAGAAGGAATAGAAAGAGGCGAAGACCAGCGGTCACCTGCGCCAGATCGACAACCCATTACCAGCCAAGTGCACGCGATGGCTCTATGGATTCCCTACCTAGATGTCACATCAAGCTTGCCTACCAACGCACGGTGGAAGCTGTCGCACGATCCAAAGGAACGGAGGATAGGGCAAGAGGAGGATTCGATCCAGTCGCCATCCTAGATCCATCGAAAGGCATCATGGGAAGTAATGTTCGCTTTGCTCCCCCATGCAAGAGGCGGTCACCAATGATATTCCTAACGTGACGCGGACAGGTAAACTCGGTACCGTGTTGGGAATCAGCATCAACAAACTTCGCCGTCATCGTCATCTTCGTATCATCATTGCCACAAGCCACGAATATATGAGAGGGCTAAATCCAGCCTTGTCTCTGTTGTTCTGTGTTGAGTTTTGAAGATTATCATACCCCGATACAAGGTCGTTCTTCAGTGAGTGTGGTAAGTTTTCTTTCCTTATATACTTGAGTTTGTCTCGAAATATATACTTCACAATACAACAAAGCTAAAAAGGCAGCGAATAATTAACATAGCTGCATAGGAACATCTTATCAAGAGCCTCTTATCATCATCAAACTAAATCCTCCCCGAATACTTTAATATACTTAGAAACACAAATATCCAAAATGCCAGCTTCCAAGACCGAAACGGCGATTCGATTCCCCGAAGCCCAGGATCAGAAGCGCCGGATCCGTAACACCACTCAGGACCGCAAGGCCGTCGACAGGAAGAAGGCAGAAGCCAGCTCAGGCCGAAATCGCTCTCAAGACGTTACGGCATGGCCGGTCGAAGAACTCCTCGAGACCGGAATGGATGAAAATGGAAACCCGGTCCCGGATCCTGCCTCGTATCGTGATGGGAACCGCGCGAGGAAGAGTAAGGGAGAGGAGGATGTGGATGTTTATGATGCTATGAATGCAGATTAAGGGGATGTAAGGTATGGCATGATGAAAGGAATGTATATTAGCAGGGGGATGGTAGTGAACGACATGAAATTGCATAGCTAAATCGTCTTGTCGATAGGCAATGAAAATATACTACTTAAGTCTACTGATACTTAGCATGATCGTAGCAGAGAAGTAATAGTCTCCTGACCGGACGTCTTAGTCTGGTGATCTGTCATATCTTCTGACTCGCGTATCTGAAGTTGTGGCGCGAAATCACATGCATTGATCTAGTAGTTGGATGCATTTACTGTATTTAAGATAGTCCTTGCGAATTTTGATTTGCACAATGAAGAACAACGCATTCCGGAATAGGAAATACGCGCAATAACTCATACCATTTCTTTTGAAGTACCACCAGACTTCCAGGAATTATCTCGAAACGAGGAATCTTGGAAACCCCATACATACGTAATGTCCCCCGAGAAGCTCTTCCGTAGAAGATAACTGCTACAGATTGGGGACCCAGAAAACAACGCCAGTCGACACATCTCAACATGCCGACATCCATGCATGCATAGCCAGGATTGGCTCGCTGAAGAACCACATAATAGGCGTATATCATCCACGCAATCAGGTCACGGACACGAGGTCTTCTTGACCTGCTAGTGTCGGTGAAGAAAGAAAGACAAGAGAGGAACATAGCAACTAAGGCCCGCTTCAGCCGTCACCTTCCTGTACCACAGGCTGACTGACAGTCTCGACCGGCCCATCTGGTACGACACCAGCACCGTGAAGCTTGGCAAGCCGTTCTTCTTCCTTCTGTGCACGCAACCGCTCGGTCTCCTTCCGCAGTGCTTCCAGGTTCCAGGTTTCATTTTCGTTGTCTTCATCTTCGGATTCCTCCTCGCTGCTGTCCTCTGCTTTCCATTTTCCACTTTCGAACATCATACGTCCAGTAGCTTCCTTGGCCTTCCGGGCTTCTTCCTCGGCGGCCTTCTTATCTAGACGCTCCTTCTTCCACTTGGCGAAGGTCTCCGGCGTAACGGGGGTGAGCTTTCCGGTGAGCTTGTGTCTCTCGGATTCTAGCCAATCCTCCAGCGTAAGCGTTTTGAGAGGCGACTTATCCAGCAGAGCCTTCTCTGCGGCCCTCTGTTCCTTTGTCTTCAGAACGAAGCTAAATATAGCATTAGCACGCAGTCAAGCAGACAATAAAATAGCCGAACATACCCAGGTGGCAGACTATGCCGGTACATGCACTTATCTCCTCCATTCGGACAGGTCCAGAACCAGCCATACTTCTGGTTCTCAACCGCTTCGATAAAGTACTTGCAGACCTTCTCAGTCGTGGTTCTCGGGTTGCCGTGCTTGCTCAGCACAACGTTCCGTAGCTTCTCCTCGTCCCACTTGTCCATGGTATCGGCCTCCTTCTCCGCCTTCGCATCTCGGTCATCGGAGTAGAGATCCTTCTTCGCAGCCTTGCGCTCCACGCTGAGGTCATGGCTGAACTTGCACTTCTTGCCCTTTTCGCAGTTCCCTTGCTTGAAGAAGACACACAACACTGTCTTCGGGTCAACACCAAAGGGAACCTTCTGAACTTGCACAGGCTTGAAGAGTTCCGCCGCCTCCTTCTTGGCCTGCTCCGCCGCAGCCTTTTCCGCTTCACGGCGCGCCTTCTCTGCCTCTTTCCGCTTAGCGTCGATGGACTTGTTGGACTGTGCTTGAGCTTGTAGTTGCGCTATCTGTTTCCGTGCACTTCCACCTTTTTTCTGTACGATTGGTATGTTAGTTAACGTCCTCCGGGGATGTGCGCCACGAGATGCGGAGTCCACAACGTACATTTTTCATACCAAAGGTCTATTGCGAAATCAACTGTCAGCCACATTATCCGGATCTAAGATTTCTCCATGATATGGATAGGAACTCACCTTATCCTCGACCGTCTTCTTCGCCTTCTTCGGCTGATCTTGCTTCTTGGGAGGCATGGTGACGGCGTGTACTGTCTTTCGTTAAAACGGAACTGCGTCGTAAAAGGCGGCGATCGGTGCGCCCCGTGTGGTTCAACCCTAACCTCCAGGTGCGGATGAATCTCAGGGCGCGAGAGAATAAATCGCAACAAGAGCTCAGGGCTGGAGAGGGAGCGAGCGTGGTCGTGTGCTATACAAGAGAAATCGGTATGAAATGAGCGTGGGATGTGGATTTGAACTTGGCAGAATGTCGGTCTCTCCACTGTCCTTGGCGGGGTGTGGCTGCTGCCCGCCGGCTGTGCGCATAAGGTGGCGGCCTTGTTTCGCGGGCGATCCATCGGTTTCCATCGGTCGGGAACACAGCGAGAAATGCGGGCATCATTGCTCCCAGGTGCGTCGCTATACAATTCGCCTTACACTAAAAATCTTAATCCGACGGCCGTTCTCAATGGCTGCAATTACTTACTTCGAACTTCGAAGTTGTCTGTTGCCACCACAGGAACATTGTCTGGATAACTTAGCGCAGTCCGGGGTACTGAAACCAATGTAATTTGATAATCTGCCACTAGCTTCGCGTCGAGTAGGACAAAGAGAATTGGGGGTTTCTGTGCATAGCTCCTCCAGTCAATTATATCATTTGTAGTGCACACACAACGCTTGCCATCTACTAACTAGCAATCAAAAAGACGAATGCTATAGCGATGCCCTTGCATGCAATAGCCTGTTCTCCAGCATTAACAGCGTAACATCTTCAGCAACACCCCACGAGAGCTCGAATCCACGTCCACCTGCTCCGTATGCATGGACAATGGTCTTATTGCTGTCTTTTCCTACTTTCTCGACTTCGATTCTCATTCCTCCTTCTCGGGCTGGTCGGCGGCCCACGATGTCGCGGATGACATCGAACTTCCCTCCACTTTCTGGGGTAAATAGGAACCACTTCGATGCATTTTCCAGCAGCTGAGCTCTCGTCTCCGGCGACGGAATCGGATCCCAGTTATGCGGCTGCTTAGTACCACCGATGACCGTGCCCCCGTCTAGTGGTCGAGGAATGCAAAAGGACCAGGAGCCGTCCGCTAGCTGTCTGGTCAAGGTCACAGAGCAAGGGTTACGGACGAGACACGTTTGTCCTAAGATACTGTCAGAATGAACAACAACCTGAGATCGTACCGAGGAGCTCGACGCACCTCGAATTATAAAGGACTTCGGATCGTTGAATCCCGTGCCAGAGCAATTGACCACGGTCTTCACATTGCTTGCCAGTTCAAACGCTTCCAGGAGATTCGTGACTGTATATTCTTTCGTCTGGCCACCCTTCAAAATAAATTTTCGGAGCAGATGCGCGCAATAAACCGGTGAATTGAGAGTCCAACTCCAATAACGCGTTCCCCATTTGACTCCTTCAGGCAACTCATCTCTCGACAGCTCACGGTATCTCTCCAGATGTCCATAAGCAACTTTTCTTGAGGTAGCATCCAGATACTCAGGAGGGGGAGCCTCCAGGTGTTCAATACCCTCGAGAAATTTAATACTCGAAGCAGGCTCCTCTGCAGCTATGCGCTTGAATCTATCATACGTGCGCCGGCATTGGTCTGCCTCACGGATGGCTTGTGCGGAAGTACCAGGGGATGGACGATAATGAGCACCAGCCCAAGGAGAGGTGTAGTTGATAGAAGTGGTATTGGGGAATTCCCGTGCCACTATCAAGATGGATTGAGATGCAGTCAGATGTTGTTGAATTTGAAGAGCTGTGGATAGACCGACGACCCCCGCACTATTCGCCAGTTAGCGTTTCGAGGTGATCTAGGATGAACTGGACAGTACGTAGTTTACCCAATCACGACAATTGTCTCTTTGTCGCCCATTTTATCAATGTCTTCCGTGTAATGGTAGTCTGAGAAGGATTTAGTTCGGAATGCCAAAGATGTAGATGATCAGCTGTGAGCAATATGCTAAGAGAGGTGGATGCGGGGGTTCCGACTCAGCCTTTCTAGTAAGTACTTAAGTAGTCGCGGGGCTTTCCGCTGTCCGCAGAAACTGACAACAAACAGACGAGACACGGTAATATGATTATCGTTTATACAACGCAGTACTTCTCCAATCGTACATGAAAACGTTCTTGCATTTTGCTCACTTTGGTATTTCACGAAACGGAAGATGGCGAGCTCTAATGGCAACGAAGCATTTCGTCGTACTCTTCGGCTCTTGGACGATCGTATTTCAAGTGCTGAATATCTTCAGTTCGGCGCCGATGATCTTCAAGAGATGAATGTCATTGTGCGCCCTGCCTCCTTTGCTCGAACTAGCGAAGATATAGAGCTTAAGTTGTGTTTCTTCATACCAACTACTTCTAACGTTTTATCTGCGCCTGATGAACAAGACCTTGCGGAGGAGTTCCTGGAGTTCCCTGAATACGATGCAACAAGAGAGGAGAGGTATGGGGAGAAATCATGGGAAAGGGCACGCTCACTTGAACGTTATCTATCCTGCTGTGTGATCGACTGTGGACTCGACGAGCTGGGATGGAATAGTCTAGAGTACGTGGTCTCTTGTTTACGAATGTTTATTCTCCCTGTTAATGTCACCAGTGTCTCCAAATATAAAGTACTTTGGGAGTATAAAGTGTCGCAGTGGTATGTCGAATCAGTTTACTGCCACAATTCGAAATACCCCCACGTCAAAGCAACTATGATTTCCGATCATGAGGGTAATGATGGAACATTATTTCGTGGGGAACTTCTAGCTCTGATTAGATTAATCAGAGGACGATTAGCAACTAAATCTGTTGCCCATTACTCAAACTATCCAGTGAGTTATTATTATGACAGGGACTTTATCCAATGCTGATCCTCAAACCTTTATAGGTATTGCTGTTTTCGATGATGGGCGTACAGCACGTGCGAATACTCCAGGCTTATATGGATAGCTCCACGTTGGTCATACAGAAGAGCAAGCTCTATGACTGTCGACATAAGAATTCCGGGCTTCTGGATTTCCTTATTGCGTGGTTCCTCAGCAGTCCTACGGGCGAGCTTACATCGAGTAATTGAGGGATGCGATATGGTTGTAGCGGCGAATCTGCGGTAACAATCAACTCTCGTTTTTAGAAGGATTGGAAAATGCCCTCGTTACTAGGATTAGGGCGTATAGAGACTATCTTATTAAATCGACGTTCATGCGATTTCAAATATAGGACTAACTGTTGACAATTATTTCCTCTGTCTCGTCTTACTAGCTCCTTCACTGTCCGATCAAAGTCTGCTTTGAGATATCATGACATCTCTACTCTACCAGTGTAACTCAGAAGATGATATAGGGGTCCCCCTTGCGAACAACGAGGAAACGTCTCTAGGTCAAGTTCATCTAGTAGCCTGATATTCTGACATCCAAAGACATCTGATAATTGAACCGTGGTTTGTCCGAGTTCATCGATAAGGATTGTGAACAATTTGGCGTTAATTAGAACAAGCCTTGTTGGGCTATAGCGACTCTCTCGACATAGCCATGCTACCCCGGGATGCAACCAAAATGCAGAAGCAGAAGACATCTGGCTATATCATACAGCCTTGCTTTCAGATCGAAGCAGTGTTCTTCGGATACAGAGTTGGAAGCATAGGCAAGTGACCTTTGAAACTCCTCAGATGAGGACTTGAAGTAATATGTGTTTTATGCAGGGCAAGTGTTAGATACACTTCTTTTTTCTTGTTTTAGAAATTTTGCGCGTGGTCAAGTACAGGGACGGGCCATGAATTGGTCCCCTCAGTCGCTACTGCCTATCGAATAGTAGATAACAGGCGTGGTTAACTAGCGCCCAAGGAATGCTTTTAAAGTAACACCGCATCTGCCCGACCTTTTTCCAGTGAAATTTATACTGTGTCGCATTTCAGTTCACCCTTGGCCCTCCATTCCCAAAAATGGCCCCCGGTATCCTCAAGCCTTTGGCTGTCTTCTGCAGTCAATCTCAATCTCAGAAATACATCAAGAAGATTAGGAACCTGGGTGATGCATGGCGCACACTTTCCGAGGAGGCTGCGGCGGAGTCGGATCGGAACTCTGCTGTGATCGAAACGCAATTTGACTTCACCATGAAAATCGCCAATGCAGTGGCGGAATCAGAATCAATATTAGTTGAGATGACCACATCTGAGGCACCGTCATCCCTTGAATCGCCCGCACAGATAAAATCTGTCCGACATTACCGTATCTTTGCAGACTATGGTACGGACTTTATATGGCGGAGTCTGGATGACATTACACATGACGAAGACTCTCACGTAGAGTCGGAAGAAGTTCTCTCCTCATTTCCCTCCTCGGTCCTTGACCTCTACGACGCATGGGTGCAACAGTATACGGACAACTTCAAGAAAAGATGCGAGGACACTCAAGATTATTCAGCCAATGTCTTCTCCACTGTTTCGGAGGAAGTGGCGTGGAATGTCGCTGGGTATCTCTTAGCTTGGCGCATTGCAATTGCGCCTCAAATTGGGTGCGTGGAGTTCTCCGCGGGCCATTCAAAATACTTGTTGGAGCGAGGGAAAGAGACGAGTGTAACTCTAGAATTTCTGAAGGACCAAGTCAGACTTTTGGCTGATCGCGAACCTTCAGAATAACCGGACATCCTCCACTTTGTCTTTCTTTTGAGACTTATGATTTCCAATGACCATACCGCACGCGAGCACTGTAGATTCAAGCTTGATGATTGTGATATCCGATGCAGGAATTGAAACTTACCGGACCATCCTGCAAGTTGTTCGATCGTTTCGTGCAAAGATGGAGGCAACGAAAGCGACGAGTACCATACGCATTGTTCGGCTAGAACAATGCCTTCCTTGAAATCTCGATTTGAAGCGCTGTCGCAAGAAAAACCTGCGATATTATCCTTGCGTAATTCTGTGGCATATATTAGAGCAGTCCTATCATTCGGCAATATCAGGAAGACAGACATGGGAAAGCATGCCTGCAGTATCTACTTAAAAGAACCGCAAAATTACCCATGTAAGTTTAGCGGTACCAAACCAAACCAATCCAATCCAATCCACTATTTAGTGGGCCCCATTCGCTGTTCTCGACCGAATATCTCTCTCTCCTGCTTGGTCCATAGCCTATTGCAGGGCTTAGTGCTACCGATCTTTAACTTATCTGATCAAGATGGATAGATTATAAGACAACCAAAGACATCCTTTGAAAATGCATATATTGTCTTCCGATCTTCGCATACTCGATGCCAAGAGGAATTACGTATGTTTTCTCGGCCGAACTGATTTCGGGCTCAATAGGTACTTTTTCGGACGAGAAAGGTATTCGGACGATAGGATCGTATGATCTGTATACAGGACAGGAATGGATCTTACAAGGGGATAAGGGACGTGAAACTGGAGGGAGCGGGATGTAGATACTTGGACGAGAGTGTATATCTACGTGTGGTTTGTTTGCTAAGAGTGTAATGACATTTAAACCTACTAGTTACTTATGGGTTGAATTAAGTGCCGGGAGATTCAGAGACGTTGGACTAGACCTGTTTGGCCTAGTTGAGTTGCGTGCTTGTTGCAGTGGGTGGTTTGCATGCGTTTTCTGATGTACTGTACTCCCAGAAAAGTGGATCTTTCTCCATCAATTCAGGCTTCTGTCGTTTTTGGAAGGCCATCGTCTATTGTATTGATGGTATTCAATACTAGCTACTGATCGAGTTAGTTGTTGTCGTCGTTGTTGTCTTTCTGAGCCCTTATGATTCTATTATTTTATTGCCTCTAAAATACAAGCGGTTGAAATTTTGTTTTAGTTGAGCCAGCCCTTGGGACCACCCCAGGTACCCTTAACCATAGCCTGATAGTACACCCACGGGAAGAAGTCCTTCTTCAGATGGTAGAAGGCGCGACGAGGAACGGCCTGGTCAATTCCGAACATCTTGCCAAAGGTCTCCTTGGGCTCTCCGCCGTACTTGAACTCAGCAAGGAGGACCTTGCCGTACTCGGTAAGAAGCGGGCATGAGGTGTAACCATCGTACGCTGCGTCAAGCTCCTTGCCCTCCATGGTTTGCAGCAGATTGCGAACGAGAACCGGCGCCTCAGAAGTGATGGCGGCTGCCGTCTTGGAAGTAGGAAGGCTGGAGGCATCGCCAGCAGACCAGACGTTCGAGTACTTCGTGTGGCGAGTGGTGGCCTGGTCCACTGCAACGAAACCAGCAGCATCCGCCAGGGGACTGTTCTTGACAAACGCATGGGGTCCCATCTTGGGCGTGACATGCAGGAAGTCAAAGTGCTTCTTGACCTGCTCCTGTCCGTCCGGGCGAGCAAAAACGGCGGTGTTGCCCTCAATGGCAACGAGATCGTGCTGGAACAGACCTTCAACACCCCTCTCCTTTCGTAGCTCCTCGAGTGTCTTGCTGTACTTGGGCACACCAAACATGCCAGGTAGACCCGTGGCAAAGCTGATCTGAATCGATCCACTGGAAGGGTTGCTAGGATTGTAAAGGCCTGCTCGCTTCCAGTGGTCCAGCGCGAGCCACATGATCTTCTGAGGAGCACCAGCACACTTGATCACACCAGTAGGTTGGGTGAACAGGGCGTCACCCTTTTGGAATTTCTTAACATTTTCGAAGACCCTGTCGCAGGTGTCATAGCTATAGATGGAAGCAACAAGGGCGTCCGGGTTAGCAAGAGCCTCAGGGAGTCCCTTGATGCTATCAATGTTGAGGGTGATTCCGGGGGCCACGACAAGCTGCTCGTAGCTGACCTGCTCGCCGTTGCCTAGCTTGACAATGTTTTCTTCGGGCGTAAACTGGCTCACGCTATCGTTATAGAACTTAAGCTTGGGGTCAACCAGGCTGTCAAGGGGTCTTCGCAGCTCCTCCTTGGTCTTGAGGCCACCTCCGACCAGCGTCCAGCCGGGCTGGTAGTTATGCCATTTGGAGGGGTCGACGATAGCAATGTCATCTTTGGCAAACTTGCCAGAGCGAAGGAGCTGGTGACTGATAGTCAGGCCAGCAGAGCCGCCACCCACAACGACAACCTTGTGGCTGCGAGTGGTAGAGCCCACAGGCGAAGCAGTTGCAAAGCTGCGGGCTTTTAGAGCCGTTCGGGCAGTAGCACCAGCCGCTGATGTTGCACGGTTGGCGAACATCTTGAACATATGATAGTGCGGTTTACAATAATGAGATCAAAGTAACAAGGGCAAAAATGACAAGAGACCCGCTAAATAAAGGGAAGGATAAATAAATGTATCAGAAAAAAAAAAAGGAGCCGACACCTTAATGAATGGACAGGCTAAGACTGGTGCAATCTTAAATGTCTGGGGGAGTTTCACGATGTGTGAAATTTGCTCTCATTTTGTTCATCTGAAATCTAAAAAAGCACGGACCATAAGCTTACTGTAAGATTAGTGATTACCAGAGGGGTTCGGGTAAAACTGGGGTTATCTGTGGCGAAATTTTCATGGATAGCTTCCTAGTTGAGTTTTTAACCGCCGACTCCGGTGTAATCTTCTTGTGTTTTTGCAATTGGATCTATTCTACTTGAATTTCGCCTTACTGTTCAAGGAAAGATTCGCTGATCGTCCATCTATTATTCAAGACTTTCCCCGACATTCGTACGGTTCAAAATATTCAGTTCTCGGGGAATGGTCAACTGTTGAACGCCGTCAAGTTGACATAACGACACTCTCCCCTAGCCGGCCAATCAGCTCCTGGCGTATATCATAAACCATGGAGAAACGTCAAACGGCGAGCGCAGTTTGGTCGGCGAGCTAGCTGCCCGGGTCGCCGAACTATGTATGAGTCGACCCGAGATAGTTCGGCGACCCGACTGGGGTTTAAGATCGATTTCAACAAGTATAAAACGACTCTCTTCATTCTTTGTTAACCTTCAAGAATCGCTGCATGCAAGTCTAGTGAATTGGTAAAATCATGAAATCATGAAATCTCTTCGACCTCATCTTATCAATAACTGGCAACCGCTTAGTCTCCTTGGGGGACGGACCTCCGCCACCCTTCCTTTCCATCAACGCATTGCGCATAATGCGACATACACTGCCCAAACCCTTCCAAGGAGCTGTTCTTCTAGCAGCGGAGGGGTTTATCAAGAATCTTGCAAGCGTCTATTAGTCTCTGGGCGGCGTACCTTCTCACAGCCCTGCATGCAGACAGTCAGGTCCAAATTGCCACAACATACACCTCGAGTTCGAGCTGCATATAGTACGCAACGCACCGCCACCAACGAGCCAATTATCCACGACGTCTTCGAAAGCAAAACAGGTACATGGCAATACGTGGTGGCTGACCCGTCCACTTTGACCGCCGTCATTATCGACCCTGTTCTGGACTACGATCCCGCCACGCAAGTCATAACAACCAGCTCAGCTGATCAATTGCTCTCGTTAGTCAAAGAGAAGAGCTACAAGGTTGACAGAATCCTCGAAACGCACGTCCATGCGGATCATATCACCGCAGCAACGTATCTCCAGAAACGACTAGCTGCGGAACAAGGTCATCGGCCACCTATCAGTATTGGAAAGCGGATTGGTCAAGTGCAGAAGCTGTTCAGTCAGAGATATAGCGTTCCGAGAGAGGAATATGAGAATGTTTTCTCGAAGCTTTTCGATGATGATGAGACGTTTAGTATTGGTGAGATACAGGCTACGGCTATGCACCTTCCTGGTCATACTCCTGATCATCTTGGGTATAAAATTGGAGGTAAGGACCTTGATTAAATAACTATTCTGTCACACGACTCAGCTGACATGTTTTAGATAATGTATTTTGCGGCGACTCTCTCTTCCATGTAGATATTGGCACTGCACGTTGCGACTTCCCCGGTGGAAGCGCCAACGATCTCTATGACTCAGGTCGCAAGCTGCTCAGCTTGCCGGACCATGTCAAAATCTGGCCGGGTCATGACTACCCACCGGAAGGCCGTGGTCCTGTTCCCTGGATAAGCGTCAAGGCGCATAGGGAGAAGAACACGCATCTGAATGACAAAGTGACGGAGGATGAATTCGTAACTTTCCGTAAGGAACGTGATGCGAAGCTGGCAGAGCCGAGACTATTGCATCAATCACTACAGATGAATATACGAGCAGGAAGACTTCCCAAACCGACGGAATCAGGACATCGGATGCTTCATCTTCCGTTGAAGTTGAGGGGATTGGAATGGTAAGTAATAGCTTGGATGCTGTGAGCGGATATATATGTATGTATAGCACGCACAAATATACACCAGTCTTTCCCTTTATATTGTATGTATATGCAATTAGAACTAGTCTGATAATAAATCCATATCCAAAAAATATACATGGTTCCAACTCTATCCCAAACAACTACCCCTTCCATTTCACCATCTCCCCCCTTTCTTCATCCCATCTATACACCTCCCCATCCCCCACATTATACCGATAATAATTCTCCGTCCCACCCGGCACGACCGCCTTTCTAAACGTAATGTTGATCCTCCCTCGGTCCGCCTCCCCTCCCGCTTTCCGCTTCGGTATAGAATGTAGCCAATTCGCCTGCGTCTCACCTCTCATAACCACCATATCTCCCGACCCGAGCGGAAGCTTCAACGTACCCCTCTCACCACCAGACTGAAAAGGCTTATGCCTCATGAGAAAATCCCTCCTCGCACCCAACGACAACGATGCAATAGTGGGCTCTGGTCCCAAGAACCGCTCATCATCCGAATGATACGAAATACTATCCTCGCCCGAAGCGTAATAATTAATCAGACAGAAATTAAACGTTGCGCCGCAGACGGATTCGATTTGTTTGCGCACCGTTTCGAGACACGAGGGTATTGGTCGCGGTGTACATTTATATTTGTTCCTGGAGATGGGCGTTTTTGTTTTTCTATCTATTAGAATTCGCTCGGTGGTGTTTGTATTTGTATTTGATACATCCGCTGGCAAAGCGAAGTAAGACGTCTCATCAACGCCGAATACAGTTGTGAAGCGAGGCGTGTTGATGATTGTTTCAGTGGATCCGCGACGAATAGTATATTTCACACGGTAGAAGGGTAGATTTCGTCTTAAGAAGAGGAAAAGCTGTTGCGCAGTCCTGTGCGGAATGTAGGGTTGGAAGTAGAGCAGGTCGAGATGGGGCTGGTTGTTGATGTGTTTCGGTGGGTTTGATGGGGTGTCGAGTGATAATGAGGTGGATAGAGAGCTGTCGAGAGCTGCGATGGGGAATGGATATGTGGGATGGATGCTGCTGGGTGGAACAGCTGGGTCGTCTTCTTGCTTTTGGGATGTTGGTGTTCTTTCTTCTGTAGTCGGTGTAGACGTTGTGTCTGTGCGTGATTTCTTTGCTTGTGGTGATGATGATGGTTTGAAAAAGGCGTGGAGGGTTCGTTTCGACATGGTAGGTGCTGATATGATATGTTTTATTAAGTGATATATATTTGAGCATTGGAGTCTCTATATGGCGATATATAAATCCAATTTAGCATTTTGGCGATTTTTGATGCATCGTGCGGGTGATGTCATTGGGTGCTTTCCCGATGCGGAATCGGCATGCTGATGTTGACGGTGAGCGGAACTTGAAGCTAACATAGTCATCTCCAGGGCAGATAAAAAGAGCTTGTACTTAACAAATTATTTAGCTAATAATAGTAGCCTCTAGTGACCAGCATTGTCATGAGTCTTGCATGCGCGTGGTTAGAGATGCTGGGGTACTGGTGTGATTCCCTCGTTTCCCTGACCCGTTACCAAAAAGGAACTCAACGGCCAGAAATCAGAGACGCATTAATCCATTATAGAGATGCCTGATCGACGTGCACTGGGAGCTCGATCAAGACTACAGACGTAAAAATAGCAATAAGCACGGGGTAAAGATTTATAATGACTCTGGCGATCTACTGGGAGAGGAAGCTTAGCTTGAAACGAAACGAGAGAGAGCCTCATTATCTGCCCCCGGAAGGTGCGGGATCGACATGACGATCAGGCGTACAGAATCGAGTGATCGCTGCATAACCCTAGTCCGATAGATCAGAACAGCAACTAGTGTCGATGATGTCAAGAGGAGTACTTTTGCTGGTATAGGGGATATCCTAGCATGCGGCCCCTGGTGGACACTTGCCAGTAAGCCCCAAACTAGCTCTAGCCTTAACTAGAATGTGGTGTGAAAGTGTAGGAGCCTTCATCGAGACTACACCGCCAAGGTTGAAGTATGGATTAGCTTACGAACAGGCGGACCGAACATCTGGGTCAACATTCGTATGACACGGGAACGTGGGAATGCGGTCCATCCTGCAAGTGCATTTCTTCAGGTCGAGTTAGCTTATCACTTTCGGAACGGTTGTTCCGCTGCCTAGCAGAGACGCGGACGCATAGAACCATGATAGGAAATATACGGTGCAGGGAGTTGTATTATTTGTCGATGCAAAAGCACTCGCTAGGAGCGGGGTGATCGTTTCCGCTGTACATGCGCACCCGCTAATAATACTCGAACCATGACCACCTTCCAAGGATGCGCACCACGAAGTTTAACGAGAAGAAGAAGCCGAACCTTAAGAGAAGGGAAGGCTTTGGTGGCTGAAGGTCTTGCATGGCACATAAAGAGCCCACTGTCGAGGTTCTGAGAGTCGTGGAAACCTCGTGGGAGATGAATCTCCCATCATCCGGCGCGGATAACAATATCAAACAATACTGTTCAGAGATAGGAGATATTATCATCCTACAATCTGTTCCTGGTGATCACAAACGAGGTGCGGAGTGATAATTATGTGAAATACGCGGCTAAGAAGTCCAGCAGCCAGTATGTGCCAACGAGGGTAGATTAAGTTGAATGGGATGTGATAGGATGTGACCATATTTCAGCCATCATTACCACCTAATTCACGCGATGGCCAGCCCTTCTGCGTGCCGCTCCTTGTTGCACCTTCTCTGCCATTGCCATCTCTTGTGGCTCGGTCTCGAATGTCGCTGGGCGAGGTCAAAATCGGGGCATCACTTCCAGGAAATAATATAGTTGATCCAATCCGCCTGCCACCCGGTTATAGCGACAACGCTCAGAGGCAATGGATGTGATATCACATAAATCACATATCAATCAGCCTGGTTCCCTGACTACAAAATCTATGTGGATGAAGCCACCAAGCCCGCTGCGTCCCGTTTGCAGACTGCGAGAAGCCGTGATGCTGGCTCTCCGGTTCCTCCGACTGCGGGCACATGCTACCTAATTGCAATCGCTTTAGGCAGTTCCCTACCTAACGCCCGAGCGGGACTCTGCAGGATTGCAGTGCAGTAGGGCTCGTGTTTTCTCCTGTGGCTATGTCATAAATAATAAATCAGGAGTCAATTGTCTCCCAACTGGGCATTATTCAAGAATCATCATGGTAATTCCTGTGGCATCGACAGTAAAACTGCTACTCCCGCATGGTCTGATCTCTTTCGCGAGAAGCAACGGTGTGTATGGTAGAAAGGAAAGCGAAGAGCGAGAGGGACATGGGTGCCCCATCTAGAAAGCGTGCTGCCATTGCTGGGAAGGTGTGGCCTCTCTGTGCAAATGAAGAGCGTGATATACGCGCCGACCAGGATCTGGTGCTGGCGGAGAGGCGTGTTGGAGGATCGGATTGGCCAGTGCAGGTGATGGGGCTTGCAGCGTGAAGAAACGCCCTGCAGGCTGAGCAGCCAATCAATTCTTCCACTGGCCTTCCGCCTGCGGTTCCTGGATCGCACGCGGGAGCCACTCACGGGCCATCTCCGCGCCGAGTCCCGGTGCCCGCCCTGCCCCCCGCCCGGGCTGGGCTTCCATTGCTCTGTATCGCTTCGTCTGTCCGCCCTCGCAGCTCGTTGAATGGCTTCGCTATAGCCAATACCTGTGGCCGGATAGCATGTCGCAGATGGTGTTAATTAGTCTAGGGATTCAAGTGAATCCAGTCAATCCAGTGAATCCAGTGAATCTGGACTGTGCTGTGCAATGAGAGGGGATTGCAACTGTACTATTGTACAGTCACGGCTGGTCACTGGATTCCGCGTGACCGGGTCCTTGTCCACTCAGGTAAGATCCCGATCAGGTAGCTACATAGCTAGATGGATCAACCGGCAGTGCAGCCGCTGTCAACGAGACGGCGTCGTGGGCAGAGCAAGTAGCAGCAGTGGAAAGCCCTCCTCCAGCTATCTCGATCGAAGCTCTACCTGTGATCGTCCGTCTCCACTGAGCGTCTCGAAGGTCAGCGGCACTAGAGTATCTCCATCGCTCATTCTTCCTATAACCGCTGGGAAGCAACCTGGGAGAATGAAGCCTTTCCCCCCCAGTGGATGTGAGCTCCATTGGGTACATGAGAGAAGAACACCCCTGCTCTACTCTATCCCCCCATCCCCCCCGATATCATCTCATCTTCCATATGCATGCGCGTCCTGAGTCTTCTTCTTCTCCAACTCTGCGCTCTCTAGTCCGTATAGACTGCGTTGTGTTCAACCTCAATCTCTCCCGAAGGTCTAACTGCGGTCGATATATCCTAAATCGAGATTCCACAGCCAGACGCTCTTTCCAGTAGATGTTCACGCGCCGTCACACAAGGCTCTCCCCGTCTGGGACTGACTGAAGGTTTCGTTCTCGTTCGAAGCACAAGATTCCTACATGGTACCTGAACTGGATCTGGCGCTTGTGCGACATCCTGGATAGGTTCTGCTCGCCACGCTGGTACAGAGTCACCACCCGGTGACTTGGCCTAGCGTCGTCTCATAGGGTCAGTGAAAGTCATTAATTCCTGCGTTTTATACCCCCCTACATAGATATACTGCATGATGGCTGCTGCCCTCCTCATCTCACCTACCCCTCAGTTGGTAAATTCGACAAAACTGACTCTGGAAACCAACCTCAACGAAAATGTACTGACAATAGATAGACCCTCCGTGGAGGCACAGATCGATATTCCACAGCATGGCAGGCGTTTCCCTGCAGGAGGTTCTACCGTCGGACTCGGTATCCTCAACGAGTATCCCAATGACCCCTCAGTCACAAATCTCCGACCCGTTTGAACCGTGTGCATCCACCGCCTCTCTGTTTCTATACGCGCAGGGTCCAGTAATACTATCTCTCCATCATGACACCTTGGCAGTTGAACGTCGCTTCACGCAACATGGCGAAAACATCGATTTTATTTCGGTGGACAACGTGAGTGAGAGGGGTGCGGGCAGATTGGTGGTCAGCTATGATGTTGGCCAAACGGCCATCGTCTGGGATCTGTTCACAGGCTCTGAGATTGCGAGGTTCGCATCATTCGAGCATCTGCGTGTCGCAGCATGGATGCGCAACGGAACGGTAGCATTTGGTGAGTTGTACATATATCTTCATATATTCAACGCCCAGCTACTGACCTATGGATAGGCAACGGAAAGGGAGAGATCATCTTATTCGAGCCTTCCACCTCGGAGCACAAATCAATTTCCACAATCTCTGATCCCATAACGGCTCTGGCGCCATTGGCAGATTGTCAGACGCATGCGATTGGGTAGGTCGAAACCCAGAGAACTTGCATTCTTTGACTGACATCTTCAGGTATCAAAACGGTTCGATTCTTTTAGCAACGCTGCAGCCTAAGTTTGCCATCTTGCATGCGTTAACTATTCCAAGAGATCCATCACCAGTGGTCGGGTTGGCGTGGCATGCTTCTTCGTCGAAGCAGAAGTCCGACATGCTCGCGACCCAAACCGACGACGGAGATCTGAGGATTTGGAGCGTATCCAAGCCACCGGGAAACGATGCCCCAAGAGTAATTCGAGCTCTCAGGAGATCAGAGATTTATTCTCTGGGTCCGAAATGGATCGCGTGGTCCAAAAATGGGAGGGTTGTACAGTATATGGACAGGTGCGTGGCCCCCAAGCTAACTCAGCAGCACCCCTCCATTTCCCTGTACCCCATGTTCCCTTCCTCATCTAGCTTGGAACCATAAATGGACCGGTTCACTGATAGGAATACAAATTTATAGAGAAATCTGGGCCTGGGATGTCAGGACGAAACGCGTCACCTACGAACCTATTCCAACCATAGACGACATTCGTGGAGTGGCTAACTATGGCCCAACGGCGTCGTTGTTCACACTTGGACCGAACCATACCGTCCAACAATATGATCTCGAGTATTTGGCGATGGTGGCTAGTGTACAACATGTGCCCATTGAGATGCCACCGCCGCTGGAAGTACCGCGACAAGCCTCGAATTCGAACCCTAGTTTGCAGGCCCCTGCAGACATAAAGGAAGATATACCCAACACCAGACAGAAACAACATGAAGTGGATCCCATTATCGGGGCACCCGAGAAACGCGCACAAACCGCGAGTCCAGGATCGACCAAAAGTCGAACGAACTCCATGAGTTCCGGGGCCTCTTCCGGAGCAGGCCGTGGAGCTTTCTCGCCAATCAGCAAATCTGGGCGTAGCGGTACAACATTCTCGTTGACCTCAGGTGGTAATGGCCCGATACCTCGACAGACCTCGACGTCGATCGCTTACACATCCTCCGTTTCAACGTCCTCAGCAACAGGCAACAGATCTGGGTCTCGTTTGAAGAATGAAGTCTTCCGAAGCCCTGTTGATCAGCCGCTCGACGATCTGTTCCCCTTTATCCGCGCACGGCTTAATGATGTCCCCTACAAACAGCAACCCGCTCTTGACGAGGCTCATCTTACCGCAGACGATCTGCGCAAGCGGATGCTAAGTCTGGTGTTTGGGTGGGATAATGATATCGAGGAGCTAATACGTGCTGAATGTAGGTACAGCATTTCATGTCTCGTGAAAAGTTGGCTCTGGGGATACTAACTATTGTCTATCAGTGGATCAACATGTTCCCAATAGCCGGAACGCAATTCTCTTGTCCCGTTGGCTCGGAAACGTCGACCCGGACCAGACGACATCCATGATGAGTAGCGGATCGATATCAGCGACTGACTGGATGCTGTTGGCTCTCAGCCAGATGAGTGGCCAAGCACAAAGCAACAAAATAGGACAGGCGTTCGTCCAAAGGTTGCTCGAATCGGGAGACATACATACGTCCGCTACTATACTACTGGGCCTGGGAGACAGAAACGACGCCATTGAGGTCTATGTGTCCCGCAACAGGTTCCTGGAAGCGATCTTGATGACTTGTTTGTTGATGCCTTCAGATTGGCAACGGCAGTCGTACCTCGTCCGCCGATGGGGAGAACACGTCGTCCAGGACTCCCGACAACTGGCAATCCGCTGCTTCATGTGTACTGGCGTAGAACCGTCAGACCCTTGGACATCGCCATCGGCACCTCAAGTCGACACCTTTCCCAACCTTCATGAACAGAAGCTATCGATAGAAACGGCGACAGACAAGAACGGACCGCCCAGCAAGACACAGACACCATCCGAAAATAACAGCAGATTGACAGTGAAGAATTCTCCTCTTAAGCTGATTACGTCTTTTGGCCCTCAGGGAAATTCATCATTCAGGTTTCCGGGCCTGAAATCCGACGATGGAACCCCCACAAATGCACCTGGGATCACTCCTATAGCGGAGTCTGCTGTTGGAGAATCGGCCTTTTCTCCGGGAGGCCTTGGCCATTTCATACCGAAAAGTGCCCGAAGCCTGGATGCTACATTGTCAGCAAGGACAGTTACTCCCGGTGGCTACGCGAGACGGCGTCTTCCTTCAATCGGCGAAACACCTATTGATGTCCAGCCCCCAGCTTTCCCTCCGCCAAAATCGCTCCCGACACCCGTTGATTCTGGCTCTGACAAGGAGAAAGCTGACAAATCTGATGGTGACGATGGATTACGGAAAAACCAGGTCAAAGAAGGTTCCCAACAAGACAAGAAACCCCAAGAGGAGCCCTTGCTCCTGCTACCCTCGGTGAGATATGAACCCGGTAAAGAGACAATTGAAAGAAGTCCCCAAACAGCTGTGCAAACGACCGCCAAAGAAAGTGGAACCATGGAGCGCTCATCATCTCCCCCAGTGGCTGTTTTGGACATCCAGATCGAGTCACCAGAAAACAGTAATGACTTCCAGTCGCAAAGTGACCTCCAGAGCAATGAGCCATTCCGACAAGTTGATTACAGCTCTGCAGATACTGGCGTCCCTCACTCCCAGACCCCATTCCAATACCAGTCTGATGCCACCAGTGACGCGAGGAGCCCTGCTTCCACACTGCATAGCTACAGATCTATGAAGAGCCCAAGCATCAGCGGCCGGAGTCTGGACCAATACATCAGCAGTCTCGATGAAGCAAATTATCACGCAAGACACAGGGCCCAAACTCCTCGCGGCAGACGGAATACGGATGCCGATGGTTCTAGTCGTGTTCCAGGAAGGCAGCGGTCTGCTTCTCGTGAAGCTCGGGGACGGACTGATGATCGACCCGTCCTACCCCCACCGAGATCTCCATCCTCCCCGGTCTTCATGTCACTGGATAAGTTCTCTCGATATAACACGAGCACTGACAGCTTCGAGGGTACATATGGCGCCAGAAGCGACATCAGCAAGCCCAGGAGCAGAAGCAGATTAAGGAATGGAAGTTCGCGGATACGGACTTCTTCTACAGCAGAGAGACGCCACCGTTACCCATCCAAGAACAAGGGATCAAGCCGTAACAGGAGCCGTCAAAGCAGTCGGGATCCTCCCGGTCGCAATCGCAGTTCCGAGAGGGATGCGTTCGCCTTTACACTTCCAGCGCGTCCAACATCGCCTTCCGTGCAAGATAGCAATGCGCGGCTTGAACCCCATTTCGAGGAGAGTCTCCGTCTGGTAAGTATCGACAGGGAACGTCGACAATCTCGACATCGAAGTTCCAGTCGTCGTCCTGAACGGGGTACGAGCGCTCGCAGAGAGACGTCTCCAGATAGAAGACTGCCGATACCGAGATCTGGCAGCCCCCAGCCACGAGAGCGTGATGCTAGCATTCGAAGAGACTTGGATCGACGTACTAGGGAGAGGTCGGTTGATAGCCGCTGGCAAATCCCTTCGGATGGAGTCAGTGGTGGTGAATCTCGCAGACCAACTCCTGCTCCGCGGACCGCTAAAGGAAGTGCTCTGGAACGGACAAGGAAAGAGCTGGCTGCGGCGGAATTAGAGGCCAGACGTCTCTCGCTCGCTCGTCGACCTTCTGCACCCAACATCCCCCTCCCGGGAGAGATCCACCATACTAAGAGCGCCTCTGATAGTCCTCCCTTCACGGCCGGCTCCTTCAATCAGCGTGCTCAGGCGAAGAGTAGGACGGGGACAAACAATAGCTCCCCTGAGTACCCCAACAGTTCAGATTCCGGCTCGTCGAAGAGAAGCTCTGGAGTTCCCATTGGATTACCTGCTACCCCGAAAGCAATGCGACTACCGAAATACAGCAGTGATCTCCCACCTGATGCACCTGCAGTCCCCGAGATTTCCGATGATGCAGCCACTTCTCCTGGTCCAACTTCCCCGGACCAGCCAGAAAGGCTCGGGCGCTCCAGATACGCTCCTAGCGAGAAGTTCGAGATTGGCATTCCCGCGGATCTCCCCGCGCATCCATATTATAAACCGGAGATTCCCCGCAGCAGGTCCACTAGCAGAACAAGATTCCCTGGGCATTACCGCCAGAACTCCAGAGATTGGGGAGTCCATGGCAGTCCAACATATGGGTCTTCTCCCTCCGTTACCGTCAGCATTGAAGAGACTCTTGCAAACTCCATGCAGGAAGCAGGATCAACCGATGCCCAAAATCCTCCTCTCATTCCCGAGCTACAGCACCTGAATCAGCCTCTCCCTCCACCCCCAGCGCCGGGTTCCCGAGAGGGACAGTCACCCCAGAATTCCACTGGTACGATCGACATCGCCATTGATAATGACATCCTGGCCAAGTCATTTCCCCGTGCTATGACTGCAGCACCAACGATGACTGCGGATAGTAAACCTACGCGTGAACAGCGCCGCATGTCCTTCGACCATCGCCGGGGCAGAAGTATCAATGAAAGTTTCGCGAGCAAGATTCGCAACTTTACGGACCGGATGCGCAGCACGAGTCGAAACCGCTATGCACGATCACCGCCAGTCGACTCGTCAGAGCAAGTGTCTCCTTATGAAAGTATACAGATCACCTCGTATGACAACCGGCTTTAGAGAGCTGTCATCGACCATTCCTGATGCTGTTCTCCATTTCAGTAACAAGGATTGGGATCTTTCTCTTCTTGTCTAAGTCCTTTAGCGTTGTTCTTTTATCTTCTCACGGCCTATGACTTGTTCAGACCACCTGTTCGGTCTCGAGCATAGTTTTGTCTACATCCTTTCCGGTATCATTATGCCGTTCCCTTTTAGTATTGTCTTCTTTGCTATGCAACATACCCAACTTCTGTTCGCTCCATACCATTATGGCCTTTGTCTTTTCGATATTGGAATTTCAACTCTTACTTTTCTTACCATCCGGAACTGGAACTCTAATACATGTCAATTTCAACTCGCGAGCGCCTAACAGGGGGTAGAGCACCGTACATTACAATGACTGGAAGAAGCACATATCACACGGTGCCTGCTATTTATCTGCCATTATTATTTAGCGTTTTACTGCAGTTCCAACCTACACCGTAGCCCGCGAGGGCATAATAACAATGATTGAGTTATTTCCAAGAGTCTTTCTTTTTTTTTATCTAAACTCCAAGTAGTGATTTCAAGGTACACAGTCCATCTATCTATAGATCATCTCTTGAGACTTCTTGTCTCGATGGGCTGGCAGAGGTTTCCCCACGCTATTTCCACCTATGGGGATAAAATTGAATGAGCTAGCTACAGAATCTCAGCACCTATCATAAACGGGGCTCATGTGAATGCTGGCATGGTCCAGCACACAGCACACTGGCTGTATATTCGTTATAGCCTTTTATCTACTTTAGATCTACATTACTCGTCATTAATGTTTTTTTTTTTTTTTTTTTTTTTTTTTTTTTTTTTCTCTAGAGTTGTCCAGCCAAGAAAAGCAGATTTAGTAGAATTCTATAATAACTCCCCGTTCCCAGAGATCCGTCAAGTACATACATAGGAAGAATATGGGCAAAGAAAAAAAAAAAACCCCCCCGAAAAAAAAAGAATATGAAAGTAGAGTTCAAAAGGAAAGTTTTCGCTTAAGAAAGGACCTGCGGGTACACATTCCCTTTTTGTTTTCTCTTTCAAGCAGAATAATAGGTAGGTGACTGGGTTATTCAACTCATTTCATTCCATTCGAAGGGGGGAACTCCTATCTCTGCTCTCTCTCTCTGTGTCATGTCATGTCATGTCATGTGTAGAGTAGAGTAGAGTTGCTGGTAAAAAACAGAAAAGAAAAGAAAAGAATAATAAGACTGTGCTTTTTGCTTTATCGCCAACTTCCCCATCCGCGATTCTGGCTGCCTGTGTTGGGGGAATCTTCTCCGGCTTTGCGTTCCGCTTCGACCATGCGGTCGAATTCTCGCTGGGCTAGTTCTCGTTCGCGTTGGCGGTTCCGCTCTTCTGAGGAATATGAATCGGAAGCATCAGATGACGTCTGGTTCGGTTGTTGCGGGGAGCGGTAGGTCTGCTGCGGTCGTCGCTGTTCTGCATTGCCCGAGATATTCTGCTGACGGATGCGCTCCCAGGTACTGCCGCCAATAGCGCCGCTTGAGGACGAGTCATCCATTCGGTAGTCGGGGTTCGTGGGGCTGGCGTTATCGTCATCAAAGAAGTCAGAGCTGCCATTGCTGCTGCTAGTGGTAGCTTGGTCGCCGTATACTTGGCGATTCGGCTGAGATGGCGTCGGTATCGACTCTCTGATATCCGTCGTTCCCGTGCCGTAGTATGTATTATTACCCGGAGAGTCCGCGCTCAAGTCTCCCTCACTGCTCTGCTGTTCCTGGCTCTCTGCAAGGGCGCCCTGCTTCATTCCCTCTCTGGCCCGTTGGGCCCGTTGGGCCTGCTGGTGACGGTCAGTGACCCGCTCAATTTTCCTCCTTTGAATATCCTCCGGTTTCTGCTGTCGGATTTCCTCTCGTAGTCGCTCCAGTCGTGGGTCTACCAGCATCTGCGAGGTCGATTTGTAAGAAGCATAGATAGACGAAAATATCAAGCCCGTAATAGACCACCCGAACAGTCTGACTGCCGAGGCGAATGCGAATTGACGCATGAAAGCAGGGTCTGACTTGGCGAGAAGTCTGAAATATTCAGTGATGGCCCTGAGATCGATTCGTCGGTGCGGACTGGCCTTGACCTCCCGAAACTGATACAACGTATGTGCGACTCCTGCGGCGAGACCGAACGGGAGACCCAGCCGAGACAGATAGAGGCCTCGACTGCTCGATTCGACAAAGCAATCCAACTCCTGCTGTGTCGGGTATCGCTGTATAACCAATTTCGTATTTTCGATCCGCTCAATGAGCCCCTCAGAGAATCGACGCTCCCAGTTTCGTCTTCCGAAGAACGTCAGGTACATGCCAAGGAGGCCGGGTTGGTAGATGAGATCTTGTCGAACTTGTAGTGGATAGTACTTTGCAAAGGGCGAATTCGGGTCGACTGAGCGACTGAAAGGGTCTGAAGAGGCATTGTCGCTCTGGAAGCCATCCGCCTGCGGCGAGGCGTCGTCGAGGACCATTGTGTCCAGTAGCAGAGACTCGAGTCTACTGCCTCTGGAAAACAGAGCCGTTGATGAGTATGCTCTCTAATGATAAAGTATCAAGTTGAGATTGCAATTGCGTTGCACAGAGGGGAATCCGAAGCTCGAGCTAGCTGTTCCTGGAGCTGTCCGGTGACGTACCGCTTAGTCATCGGAGACAACGTCCGGCGTTAAGCAACTATGAAATAACTATCCAAAACATAAAAAGAAACAACATCCTGTATTCATTATGACACTTGTGGCTCCTCATTTGGTATCTTCATCGACTGACTGCAATTCTTTCTGGGTCCGAAGTCCAGTCTGATTGGATCATCTTGGGGCTTTTCACAGACAGTCGGCCACCGAGGAGACCGCATCATGAAATTCTTGTACTTCACGAGACAGTTCTGATAAATCCAACATGCTCACTGCTAGTCCTCCCTCCGAGCTCGTCTTCTCTGACCATCTTCTTCGTACCTGTACGTAACTTTTTCTCAAACCGCTCTCGCAGAAACAACTCCCAGGTCGCAGCCGCAAAAAGCACAACTGGAAAATGCACCAGAATCGCTACCCAGAAGTATAAGCGGTAGGAGAAAGTTCCCCCGCAAAGGAACAGTGTCGCAAAAATACGTTGATCAACACTCCTCGCAATATATCTGGCAAAATCCTTGACAGTAGTAGCCGGAGCAAAGCCCCATACCATAGCTCCATACGTGATACCGACAATCACGGTAGCCTCAATTGCTGTCCAGATAAGAACACCCTATCACTGTGTCAGATGACCCAAGTCAATATCCAAGAAGACAGGGAACCTTCACATACAATGAGGGAGTCAACAAAGAATTCAACCCTGTTCTATAGTCAGCGTGGACATTGTTGACGGATCTAATAGTCCATGGACCTACATGAACAGGTAGCCAAATCGCTGTGAAGTTCCTGGAAGTTCCTGGAAGTGAAAGGAAGATGCCCGCAGGTCCTAATGGAGATACGAGGGGCTGATTTGCAGCTAGCATTGCTTCCTTTAAAGCTCGGATCTGGTTCCAATAGATGACCACGACCAGCAACCCAGCAACCGTCGCTCCGAGTATTTGGGAAAGAATGTCTGAAAACCAATAAAGTCAGCTGGAGAAACATGTCGTGGTGGATCGATAAACTTACACCGTGGGACTGTCTTCCAAGGAAAATCCCGCCTTAAAGACTGTTCAGTAACGAAAAGATACAGTTGTAGGTTTCGAAAGTCTCCTTACCACATTGCAGAAGCGATGGTAATGGCAGGGTACATATGCCCCAAAGACAAGATCCTGACGAACAGGGCGATAAACGAGCCTACGGTAAATGCGAAGAAAATCTGAAAGAAGCTACCGTATGCAGTAGCACGAAGCTCTTTTTGAGTATTGAGCACGAAAGTTGTAATGGATGCGAGACCTGGAAAGCTGCGTAAGATATGTTAGCAATACTACCGGTACCCGAGGGAGATGCCGTGATTCCATCTGGTCGATTCGAACAGAAAAGATCGCATGCATCCTGGGGTACATACACATAGAAGAAGGCACCAGTAGCCTCTGCAATGCAGCTGAGCTGGTCTGGCGTTATCCGTTCAAAGTGCAAGATCCGCTGAGAGATCGACTTCGCTGCTAAGACATGCCTATACGCATGGCGACGGATTGCCTCGGAGGTACCAGTCTCTAGGTCAGATACAGTCTGGGTACGGTGGAGGTTGTCTGAAGACATCCTGAGGGAGAGGCAGTGTTGATGATAGGATATCCAAATGGCGAATGTGAGGCGATCAACGACCCAGTTATGCTGATAACTTGTGTCTCAGCAGTGACGGCCCATAACCAACGGAGAGGATGTTCGGCTTCAGCTTCGGAATATGCAGACGTAGCCTTTTGAAAGAGGCAGAGTGCGAAAGAAGTTGGAACTTCCCAATATTAGAACATCGTCCTTTCCCTGTACCGGAAACAGGCAACAATGTCTTCAAAATAAAGTAAGAGCTTCCCAATGAGATCAACCCGTGAGATGTACGGACTGGTCATTTGTTCTGGGTCTTTTCGCATCGTATGTCTCGTCATATGTTCAATGGCAAGAAAATCTGGCCGAGCCGCAGCCTCTTAGTTGAAGCCATAGGATTTGTATTGGCCGCTTCGGAAGTGAAGCAGATGAGGAGTATGAAAGGCTGAAGCATGACGTGACAGTGTAAGAATCCACAGAAAAAAATAGTCTAAAGTAGGTCAAGTATAATTCACTCAGAAACAATCTTTGGAAAGTGAGAAAAGAGACAAATTCTGGATATGTAGATCTGAAGCAATATTAAGGCTTGCTTGAACTCAACTTGAGCGCCATGTGGCTATCAGTGAGGAAAATATGAATATCGGGTCCGGGAAGATCGAACTGCGGAGTTCTATTTTGCAGTCGAATAGTTCAGAGAATTCATAATGGATATATGACAGAGTGGAGATAATGTTTCCAAATAGAGTCCGTGGAGACAGCATCTGGTCTGGGGACGCCGGGAAACCTAATACGGTGGGATTGAGGGATATTCAAAGTTGCGTCGGTCATCTACTTCAAGGTATTTGCGCCTGTGGGTACTAATACCATCCCAGCATGCAGCTCAGGAAGCCTAGAACTGATTTCAGTGAACAACCAAGATGTTTCGTCTGACATACAGTCTAGCGCAGCGAAAGTTCTGTACAGCTTTATTTCCTGTGATTCCACGGTGAAGTAACAATAATAGTAAAGCTTTTCGGCCAAAGCTTCGTCTATCACGAGACCATGGGCATACGTAGTTATCGACACTAAAGTAGAAGGGTTGGCCTATCCTGTAGGACTTATATAGGATATTAACCTAGTATTATTTCCATACTTGTTGTCCATTTCCTCGATGTATAACTGACCAATTTCATTCTCTCCATGCTCTCTTACCATTTTTCAACGTAAGGACGCAAGTCGACTTCGAATGCGAACGTCGTCCTGGGCTGGGTGTGCAAGAACCAGTATGAATCGGCGATCTAGACAGGAACGTGAGCATTTGTCATACCATAGGTATAATAAGCAGCAAAAAGTCACTTACAGCATCCGGACTAATCTTGGCATCGGGATGGTCGAACTTCCAGGACTTGGTCCTGGGAATATCAATGACTCCGTCCACGATGACGTGGCTAACATGGACACCTTGCGGTCCGAACTCTCGAGCTAGACTCTGAGAAAGCGCTCGAAGCGCGAACTTTCCACTGGCAAATCCAGAACAGTTGGCAGAGCCTCGGACACTAGCGGTAGCACCTTTCGAAGCTATGAGTCTCTCCTCTTCAAACAGTCCGCAGTTAAGACTCACCAGTGAAGATCAGCGACGGTGGGTGTTCCAGAGACGTAGCTTTGAGGAGCAACGGAAGAGTGGCCTGCGAAAAGTTGAATGCGCCCTTTCTATTATCAGAGAAGAGACAGTTTATCAGCTACAATATCATCCATGCTATGTATCGGAACGGCATTGATTATCTCACCCTTGGCTCTCAAATCCGGACAGAAATTCCTCTTCCGTCAACTCCAAGAATGGCTTGCGTACAAAGCCTCCACCAGGGTTAAAGATAGCAGCAGCAAGCAGAGCACTGGGGAACTCTTTTGCAATCTTGTCGAAGGTGCTCTGAACGCTCTTGAGGTCCGCTAGATCGGTGCTGAATCCAACCGCCTTGCCGCCAGCAGCATTGATCTCCTCAACAATAGGCTGATAGTTAGTTGGGTTCCTGGAAAGCAGCACAACTGGATACGACTTGGCAAACTTCCTGGCAATGGACGCTCCCTTCAGCATTGGTCAGCAGATTGCTCAAAAACAGAACGGGATAAAACAACTTACGGTGCCGGAGCCGACACCAGCGACAATCGCGATTGCCTTAGCAGCCATTGCGGTGGATTTAATAGCAAGGATTAGGTAGTTATACGTGGAAAATGAACCGTTCGGTTGAGCTCCCAACTGTGAGTTCAAGAGCTATTGATCTAAGTATCGCTGAGCGCTACCTAGCGGGGCGATCAATTACAAATTACCTGGACGTTGCCTTTTATGCTAGTTACTGACTTCTCCGCACCCCTCCTTATTAATCCATTCCTTACAAATGTCGCACGTTTTGGTAAAATCAGGTGACCCTTTCCCGATTTAAAACAAACACCATTTTCTACGCTTCTCGCGTCATATATACCTACCTAGTAGTTATAACTACTTCACTGACTTTACTAATCTATCGGTTTTATTTAGTTTATCTGCTCTACTAATTTGCTAGCTTTATCAACCCTATTAAATATTATTAATCTATATACCCCTCTAGCTTTAACCTATTCTGCTAGTTTTGCTACCTTTTAAATCTGTACATGTTTCAAGTCGTGTTGTCTAAATATATCTTAGGTTCGGAACATGGCAGCAAGACCCTGAAGATCCGACCGTTGGAATACCAACTTATCTGCCAATAACGTGCAGGATATGGGCCTTAAAATGGCGGGGATTGATTGGGACTGCATTCATTATTGGCCTAGAAGAGTTTGCAGGTCTAATCGACCCTCCATTAACTGATCTGATGTGCGTCGGGGCTGTCGACGGGGATAATCTATATCCATCATAAACCAACCCAGTGGGTAGCTATACTGACAGACATAATGTCCATTACATATCAGTGAGATTTCTGATTCAATAACAGTCCCTTATAAGAGCAATCGGGTCAGCATTGACTGGTGATGTCTTTTAAAGATCAGAACATGACAAACAAACGTGGGAAATATGCATGCAAAAGAAGTCACAAAAAACTTTGACTGCGCAAATGCGCTTTCCGAATCCATGAACGCCGCCACCTACACGGGGTTTCTCTTATCGCTCTCATCATGTGGGCGAAGTATGCGCCAGAGACAGTTATCATCGGTTCGAGCGGAAAAGAGATGCTATAATATAGATGGAGAACAATAGGAAATCTGCATCATGCCGAACGCAAAAGCCTTGCGGGTCAACGGGATCGCGGATACGGATTCGAAATCAATATGTGTTTCGGAATGATTACTGCTCATATATGGACGTTTGTGGGAAAGAGCTCTGCAACTGTGATTGAGAAGGTTTATACGCCATTCTAGCTGATTATGATAACATAGTAGAAGAGTTTGCTAGCCGCTTCTCTTATTTCTTTCTCCTTCTCCGCTTATGACTCGAAAATAAATATGCTTTCAGTCCAGACGCTGATAATATATCGCTGCTGTTGCCGAGAAAGCCATGTGAATATTACATACACATTCGTACTGGGTGTCTGCTTCGCAGTTTCAACTGCATTTATGACGTCTCAGAACCTGTATATTGTGATCGTCGGCTGTCATCAAGTCAGCATCCGAATCTGACACAAGAGGAACCATGGATCGAGTGAGAGACTCAGGCACGATGGTGGAGACGCTGTATGGTGCGGTATAGTTGCCTCCTTTCTCAATGATCTTTTGTTTGTTATCTGTCTCATTCGATATATTCCCAGCAGTTAAATTCGAACTCAAACAAGGTCTTGGAGTAGAAAGGGGATGCTATGTACTATGCGAGAAGTCGTTGATACTCGTATACTACTCCCGAGTAGGAGGTACTTATGGTAGCCCCACCAGGCAGTGGCTGGATCTCAAACTCACGACAGGCTCAACTCCCCATCGAGAAGCGAACGCTAGGCGACATACCCTCCTCACATCCCAGTTTATCGCTTATCACTGGTCTTCCCCATGGAAGATGTGCCGTCTCAATCGCCACAACATTGGTTGGTAATTTCCTGTCAGACATTATGGTCGCCAGGTGGCATTACGTCAAATATCCAGACAGATCCTGTGGATAGAGAATTCATCGCTTCGCGTTCATCCTCGTCAGCATAATCTTGTCTTGGAGACGGTATGTCGACTATTATCTACTATAATACAATGGCTCTCCTAGAAGTCCACTAACTTCAGCTTTCGAGAGCAGCTAGACAGACAAAGTTACATAGGAGGGGCCCCTAGGGCTGTTATCAGGATGCGAGATCTATCCCCGCGTGTGATGTTGCACATCTACTACGTACTTGGTCCAGGACTAGTCACACACTATGGATAGAGTATGGTACTCATACGCTCTACTAGCGGATCCAGTACATAATTCCACCGGAGAATTTTTCAACGGTCATATGTGGAGAAGGGTCGCAACAATCACCTTGATCTGCCACGCCACTAGCATCAGATATGAGTACCGGCTATGAGCGCGCCGGGAAGCCGATGATATCACCGATAATGCCCCGCGACAGTTGAGCAGTTTAGCCCTGCTGGGGTTACGAAGAAAGTCTCCAAGATCTTTTATCCCAGTCAATGATTTCATTCCGTCTAGACTTCTGCGCCACAGCTCGCTTGCCAGGGTCCTGTCAAGCACGTTTATTCGGATGCTCCACCCGGGCATACAGTCCAGTCAGCTCTGGGTTGATAGACCGCGCTGGTGTACAAGTTCTGATGGCCTGGCCGTTGAATCTATACACTGGTCTATAATGATGGAATCATTCCAGGAAAACTAGCTACATTTTGATGATTTCCTAGCACGGACGACTTTTTCCGATTTTTCTAATCTCAACATCAATATGTCTGCATGCAAATGTGCCTGGGTATGAACGGCACTGGCATGGACTGTACCATGTACAGTACCTATCCACGGACCGTGACCGCTCAGTGGCTTACCAGAAAAACAAACACCTACCCCGTATCCTGCAACCTTGACGCCATGATGATCCACGATGTCTGGGCAGCCCACACCACGCACCGGAGACAAATTCAAGCATTGACCAACATCCTATTCTGAGTATCGCATACTCTATACAGTGGACTACCCAGAGAGCTTTGATCACCCCCATGCAGGCCCATCGACGACATACCAGGCGTAATGGATCAGGGAGGCCCCGGCTACCATGCGGAGCAACCAGTCCTGCCTTATGGCCCCTGGCATCTCATTTGCTCAACCATTCAAGATAACGATGCTGAGGCCGCATCTTCGAGGACTCCCCTGCTTCTTCTTACGCAACATCTGCTACCGCTTGGTGTGGCCCTGCAGGGAGAACTTCGGTACGCTACCCACTGATATGATAGTCACAGGGCTGTGATGTTTACTGTCCATATTTGCTGGCTGGTCATGACGTATAGTCTCGATCGCATCTGGGATTCTTTATGACTATGAAGAATATAAAGGACTCTCAAGAATGCTATTTCTTGCTCTTCCTTCGCAGATACCAGACAAAGTATATGATTATTTCTTCACTTTCATCTATGTGGAACGATTATCCTGTTTGCATTACGATTCTCTGAACAGCAAACTTGTGTATTCATATATTGATCTTGATCTAAAACGCACCACGAGCAGCAACACTGTCAATTAATCTGTTATCTTTTACTTACGGTTTACGACTCTTACGATTGATTCCCTACGAGCTCGCATCTACGTGAGCTCATCTACCGACCGCACGCCCTGCAGAACTATCATCAAAAATTGGAATAGTCATCGACAAAATGTCTGCTTCTACTTCTCGACCTCCCAAGCTCTCCCAGAAGGGCCCTTCTACTCCAACCAAGAGTGTGAAGGGTACATCTTCGTCGAAAGGTAGCCCGGCTCCAGGAACCCCGTCCAAGCCTACTCCACCCAAGGTCGGTTCGAAAGCAAAGGAGCAAGCAAGCCCGGCTACGGAAAAGGCAGAGCAGTCACCCAAGGCTACTCCGCAGACCCCAAAGTCAGGAAAGAAGGGCAGACAATCCGAGCAAAGAGTGCCAAAGTCTCCGCCGCCCCAGGAGGAGCCAGAGGAACCCGAGGAAGAGGATGAGAACGAGGAGGAAGAAGACCAGCCCCAACAGCAGGGCATTGAGATGGAAGACAATGAGGGCGGAGAAGAAGAAGAGGGAGAGGAGTCCGAAGGGGACCAGGACGAGGGCGATTTGCAGGAAGCGGAGCCAGAACCTGTCAGTGAGGAGGAGTCTGAGGAGGAGCAAAAGCCTAAGCCGAAGGAACAACGCGAGGTTCCACAAGAAGACCAGCAGGCATCGGGCTCAGGCTCCGGATCCTTCTTGGGTCGGGCAAAGGGCCTTGCCAATAAAGCATCAAGTGCACAGAGTCTCGCTGGCGGTGTTAAGGATACGGTCCAGGATACTGCCAAGAAAGGCAAATATATCGTGGGTGACAATGTGCCCGTAGACCTATCAATTTTGAAAGGTCTCGAGGTCGGCGAAGGTGGAAAGGTTCTCGACCAGGCCGGCAATCCGCTTGGTCGCGTCGTCGAAGGAGAACCAGAAGACCTCGTTGGGCAGGTCATTGGTGACAACGGGGAGATCCTCGATGAAGATGGAGACCTCGTTGGCCGCGTCGAAGTCCTGCCAGAGGCAGCTCAGCGTGTCTCTGACAAGGCCAAGGAGGTTCCTGAACAGGCAAAGGACACGACTGAGAAGGCCAAAGATTCTCTGCCTAGTCTGGCCGACCTAGAGGGTCTGCCTGTCTCTCCCGGAGGAGTGATCAAAGATAGTAAAGGCAACGTCCTCGCAAAGCTCGTTGAAGGTGACCCGGAAGACCTCGAGGGCTACACACTAAACGGCGAAGGGGATATTGTGGACGAGGATGGCGACCCAATTGGCCGAGCCGAGCTCGTTAGGCAAGAGGCGAAGAAAGCCGTCGAGGACAAGACAGATGAAGCAAAGGAAACCGTTGATGATCAAGCCCAAGGTGCCAGAGACAAAGCGGACGAAGCCAAAGAGGATGCTGAACAGACCGCTGATGAATCAACTGCATATGCTCCTTCAGGCCCCGACCTGAGCATCTTCGATGAGCGCGAGGTCAATGATCAGGGCCAGGTCTTGGATGACGAAGGCAATGTCATGGGTACCCTCGAGAGCGGCAATGCTAGTGAGGCAGCCGGAAAAGTTGTCAACCAGAGAGGCCTAGTCGTGGATGACGACGGCAACATTGTTGGAAAGGTCGGTCTGGCTGATGCCGCTAGAAAGACAGAAGAGGCTACCGAGGATGCAGAGCAGGAAGCAGAAGATGCTGATCAGGAGGCTGAAGAAGAGCTCCCTCCGCTCTCCTCCCTCGAAGGTATGAAGTGCAACAAGCAAGGAAAGATTGTCAGGGAAGATGGAACTCCAGTGGGAGAGCTCATCGAAGGCGATCCCAAAAAGTTGTCAAAGCTTGGAGTCCAACTCGATGACAAGGCCCAGTTCTGGGACAACCGTGGAAATGTAATTGGCAAAGCTAAGACCATTCCCGTGGAAGAGCCTGAGGACGAGGCACCTTTCGCAGGTCTGGATGGCCTGATTATTGTCGATAACGGATGGGTCGAAGATGAAAATGAACACCGCGTTGGCAAGCTCGTTGACGGTGACGCAAAGAAGCTCGTTGGTCGAGCTGTGGACGAGGATGGCGACGTTCTCGACAAGCGCGGTAACGTTGTCGGCCACGCTGAGCGTTGGGAGGAGCCTGAAGAGCCAGAGCCAGAAAAGCCCGACCTGTCAGTTGTTAATGGTCTGACTCCCAACAAGGCTGGTAATGTCATTGGGCCCGATCAGGTCCCTATTGCCCGCGTTGTCGAGGGGAACCCGAAGGAACTCGCCGGTAAGAAAATCGACGGAGAAGGTCAAATTTGGAATGACTCCGGGAAGGTCATCGGACGTGTTGAGCTCATCCCAGAGGATGAACGAGAGACCAATCCCGAGGGTCCCTTCGCCGGACTTGAGGGACTTGTGGTGAACAAAGAAGGCTTCGTTGAAGATGAGGAGGGAAGCATTGTGGGCAAGGTCGTGGAAGGAGACCCCAAGAAGCTCCGCGGACGCGCTGTCGACGAAGACGGAGATATTGTTGACAAGCACGGTAACGTCAAGGGACATGTGGAGCCTTACGAGCCCCCAGAGGAAGAAGTTCCCGAAAAAAACTTGTCTGCCCTGGCTGGAAAGGTGGTCAACAAGGCTGGTAACGTGGTTGATGAGCATGGTACCGTCTTTGGCCGTATCACCTCCGGCGACCCAAAGAAGCTTGCCGGCAAGAAAGTCGACGGTCAAGGTCAGATCTGGAGCGATGATGGCAAGGTCATTGGTAAGGCTGAGCTCATCCCAGGAGACGAGCAGGAGAGACCTGAAGGACCTTTCTACGGCTTCGAAAATCTAGTCGTCAGCAAGGACGGCATGGTCACCGATGCCTCTAGCAAGATCGTCGGCCGTGTCACTCAGGGAGACAGCAAGAAACTCGAGGGTCGCAAGGTCGACGAGGATGGTGATATCCTGGACAAATCCGGCAACAGCATCGGTAAAGCTGAGCGCTGGGAGCCTGAGGAGAAGAAGCGAAACGTCAACCCTATGTCTGGCCGCAAAGTCAACAAAGAAGGCGAGGTCCGTGATGCTGACGGCAATCTCATCGGCAAGTTGACGGAGGGCAATCTGAAGAACCTCATCGGCAAAGAGATTGATGACAATGGCTACGTCGTAGATAACGACGGCAACAAGATCGGCGAATGTACTCTGATCGAAAACCTGCCTGATGAAGAAGAAGGGCCTTCTCCAGAGGAGCTTGAGAAGCAGAAGAAAGCGGAAGAGGATAAGCAGTTGGCACAGAAGATGACCAACATTGTCCAGCAAACGCTCTCCCAGATCCAGCCTGTCTGTAAGATGATCACAGAGGTATGTTGCTTGCTCTATTCTACGTTTTAATGTTTCCATATCTACGATATACTAATCCTGTATCTGCAGCACATCGAGAAAGCCGACCGCACACCAAAGGAAGAGCTCGACGAAGAAAAGCTCGTCCAGGAAGTCAAGCCCCTGATCGAAGAAGGCGGCCGCATGCTTCAAGAATGCAACGGAGCCATCCGCGCTCTTGACCCGGATGGCCGCATCGCCGCAACCGCCAAAGCACGAGCTGCCCAGCGCGATGCCACTCCTGAAGAATACCAGCTCGCGGACGTCCTCAAAGAACTCACTGAGACAGTCGTCAAGACCATTGACAACGCCCGCAAGCGCATTGCCGATATGCCTCATGCCAAGAAGAAGCTGAACCCTCTCTGGGCCCTGCTCAGCGAACCGCTCTTCCAGATCATTGCGGCGGTTGGACTGCTTCTTACCGGTGTACTGGGTCTGGTTGGAAGACTGCTCGAAGGTCTGGGCCTCGGACCCCTTGTTCACGGACTACTCGGTGGACTGGGTATCGATCGCTTGTTCCAGGGTCTAGGACTTGGCTCCATTACGGAAGCGTTGGGGTTGGGTAGCAAGAAGAAATAAATTGGCCTCTCTACTCGTGAATAGAAACGATGAATGATGATGGTCATGTGGCGGGAAAGGAAACCTCTCGGTCAATGTTCAGTTATATATATTTACGATTCGGTTACCTATTGTGCACTATCAGTGATGTTCTGTGTTTGTTTTGTTTCTTTTTGCGCAGGATATCAAATTATATAATTAGTTCTTAATTTCCAAAATAGTATTTCTTCTATTAAAATAATTTGATCCAAGGTTTTTAACAGAAATGTTCACTCGACCCAACTTGCTACCGACTGGAGCGTGGGATACAGTATGACTATTGTTTCTCTTCCTCAAGCACACTGCCATAGGACTTGCAGATGATCATGACTAACTTCTCCGCCTTAAAAAATAGAACGAAAGGCCCAATTGTGACGAGCACGATGCGGAACATCATTATTTCTATACTGTCCCAGAGTGTGGGGATGTGGTAATATCCCAGTCTGGTCTCAAATGAATCGTTTGACGCCATTGACAGGGATTCCACAGTAATTGCACGCGAATACTTAGCCTGTTTAAGTAATCTTGCTCAGTAGATCTTTATGATATTGAAATACCGAAGATTCGAATCCATAATGTCAAAGCTTGAGGACTTCGCACATCTCGTGCGGTTTAAACATGGATAATTGTCAAAATATCTGTGCGCGAGGGTATCGCAAGACCTAATTGGAAAGGACTCGTATTGCTATTCTTCGTGCAATGATAATGGTTTATGCTTTTTTTTTTCTTTTTATCTTTTCTCCCCTGGCATAGCCTTTGAAATTTGTAGTGGATCTTCCTCTTATTTGGCATGAATATACGAGTGAACCGCGGCAATATCTAACATTACAGGCGATTTTCATTTCGATCTCTATCTGATATAGCAAGGAAAACATATAGGGGAATCGTTATTATATACAACCAACATTATCCAATGAGCTCTCTGATGGGTTTGTCCAAGCCAAAATAGACAGGCGTAATGGCAGCTGAAAAACCCAGATGACCCAGAGGCGTTGGGTAGCCAACTGATAATTACAATATGATATGATATACTCTTGTTGTAGAACCAAAAGTACGGAGATGGTAGAGATCTAGAACTCCTTACTATGGTCTGCAAGTGGTTCATGATATGCCTCAACAGATGACGCAGGAACCTGACAAAATTGCACGTTCCGCGAGCACGTCAAATATGGTGGTCTTCTATTGCACTGGCGTTCGTTCCTTCAATCGTTATGTGACGTCATGCGTTAAAACAATCATGCTGACATAGTCTACGTGGAGGCGTAAATGGTAGGCTGTGCGGAGATGCGATCAAGTGTCGAAGATGGTCTGTATTGATGGACGCAGTAGATTCGAGCCACTTGCACAGATCGTCTTCGGAAAATATGGTTTGCCTTAATGGTGCTTCAATCCGGCCTTGCTGGTATCCGTTCGAATGTTGTTGACGTTCAGCTTTCCCTCTCCAAAATCGCGGTACACTTTCTCTCTGGCCGCGGACTTGTCTTCCCTGATAGTCAGGCAGTTGATGCCCAGGTACGTGGTGATTCTGTTGATGACCAAGAGCGCCCAGTGCATGTAGGCAACGAAGGCGAATACCAGGTAACCTCGCAAGTACCATACTTCGATGGTAGCACTGACCTGGGGGAGACCAAATCGGGGTAGATTGCCAAGGAGCGCGCCTCCAATCAGCGGAGTAATAAGAACAGTCCAGTACGGGAATGGCTGCTTGAGAAGATGAGCCAGGATGATCTTAGTAGTCATGCGGCCAAAAACAAATGACATAGTCACGCAGAACAGAACTAGTCTGTTTTCCGCCAGCAAGGTTGAGTAGGGGGAGAAGAGCCAAGCAACAACGCAGCCAGTGAAAACGCTAATGGGGAGCCACTCCTTGAGGACTGGCAAGAAGGGGAGACCCTGGCGTTTTCTAGCCTGATAGACATTCAGGACGCAGGCTGGCAGGTGACCAATGAGGAATGAGCCGAAGACAACGTATACCCAGAGTTCCTGGAATGTAGACTTTCCAAAAATGTTTGAGTAGCCCAGATAATCTGAGACGCGGTATGTCCAGATCTGGGGTCCATAATGACCTGAAGCGATCATGACTGCAATAGCAATGAGGAGACCTTCGGTAGGACCGTTGACATATCCAAGGTAGAGCGTATGCGTATGGTATGTTTCCCAGGTCGAAAAGAACATGGCCAGGCATGGAATGAGAGCCGTAAACGCACCGATCTTGGTGGCACCGAGACCCATGGCGGCTGTTTCCAACAGACTTGCCAGTGTACAGTTCAGGGAATCGATTCCATGGCTTGTAGCAGTCAGCTTCCCAACCCAGAACCGGCGTAGTGTATATGTACGAACTCGAACAGTTCCCCCAGTCCACTAGAAGTCCCTGTACGTCTGGCCTGCTTGCCGTCAACGTTATCAAGAGTCGAGTACATCCAAACACCGAAAGCAAAGCTGTAGTAAAGCCAGGTAGGACCCTATAATCATGGACAGACTTAGCTGTGGACTAGTCGGAGGCATTATATATGTACGTACCGGCCCTACTAGGTCAGGCATGAACAGCTCGACAAAGATGACATTGGCTACAATGAAAAAGAAACCCAACAGGGTGACCATATTGGGAGCGATCCATAGCGGCAGCAGCTCGACGAATGCATTCCACTAAGGCGTATAGGTCCGAGTCAGTTACATCATCACGTACGATGGCGCATTGGGAGAAATACGTAGTGTTTCAATATGTACCGCGAGATAGGGGACTTGTCGACGCTGGAGTATTTATACGACTTCAGGTGCACCAGATGTTCATCGGAGAGCGAGTCCTGCGTCGCTGTGTGGTTGGAATACATCTTGTTAGTAGGAGAAAAATGGCGACTATATGGTGGGCAGAGTCAAGAGATGTTAGTTACCTTGCACCATCCTGAATAACGCACTCATCTCTTCACTGCGGTTCTTTATTCACACACTTATAAACTGCGAGAGAAAGTGGACGACCTCCGGTGCGACACCTGCGGGGAAAAGCAACCCAGGTGGGGCCACACAACAGCGATTTGGCAACGGAAGAGAGACCGGCAGAGAACTTGTCGAATGGCCGGATGGATGAGAGATGGGCTATACAAAAGAGCGGAATGAAGAGGAAAAGGAGCATTGGCAGCCTCGGAGTTTAGAGTAGCGGAGTTGAGAAATCACGTGTCACCTGCTCCATGGCCCGAGCTTCGCGATCTGCGGCTTCTTCGATTCCGTCAGCGTCAGCGTCGAGAGCAACGAACAGCTCTCCAGTCCTCCTTGTTGCCCTTGAGCGGCGTTTCCATTGTCTCTATTGGCGTGGCTGGTGAAGCGCGCTATTCACCACTTGCCGCTCACCACCTTCTGTCGACTGTGAAAGAAGCTACGACGTCGCCAGCTTGCTCCCGCCGCACGAGTCGCGCAACAGGTGTTACGATCACAGTCACATCTCTTCTGACAGTTCCAGATCTTCTCTACGACTTGCGCTTTATAGAAGACGATCTGACATGATATGGCGGCCTGGAGATGAAGGTGGATGTCACATATAGCGCACCCGGCGCAACCTACGATTAAACGCTCATCGCGATGCCGGGTGTGGTCGAAACCCCGGCGGCAGGCCCCGCGTGGCCAGGGCTTGGATACAGTGTCGCGCATCAGAAGGTGGAGCTGGAAATAGATTTTGTGAACAAGAGTCTCAAGGGGAAGACGGAGATCACGATCCATCCTCATTATAAGGACCTCAGGCTCATCCGACTGAACTTTCGTCAAGGCGACCTCAAGCGGTTGAACGTGAGCGGCAAAGCTCCAACGACCAAATATACAGACCCCTATGACTCGCTGAACCTCTATGGGCCTCACTACCACCAGCGCCTCGCTGCGAAGATTGATCCCCTCCTGAAAACTCAGCCGGACCCTGAACTGGTTGTTATGATCCCCAAAAGCGTCCGTATAGAAGAGTTGGATCCGTTCTCCATCGAGGCGCAGAATCAGATGGCGCTGCGTGCGACTGGGAGTGGGGAGGATGCGGATGGCCCCTTGAGCTCGAAAACAGCAGAGACGGCACTTCCGCGCTTTACGGCCTTGACAGTCTACGCAGAATTTGCTATCGACAATATCCGAGAAGGCTTGCATTTTGTGGGGCTGAATAACGGTGACAGACGTTACCCACACGCATTTACGACCAATAGCACGGGGTTGGGCGCAGGATCATGTTTATTTCCGTGTGTCGATGACCCGTCATCTCGATGTACGTGGGAGATTTCAATCAAATGTCCGTCCACGCTTGGTGATCTGTTCGATCGCAAAACGAAGGAGACGCAAAACAACAAGTCCACTGCCTCACGCAGTCCTTATCTAGCTGCTGATGACGAAACACTGGACATTACGGTTGCTTGTTCTGGTGATATGACGGATGAGATTACGGATCCCCGAGATCCTGGCAGGAAAACAGTATCTTTTGCGTGTAGTTCGCCATTATCTGCTCAGCAGATAGGGTTTGCGATTGGGCCTTTTGAATACGTGAACCTATCCGAGTTTCGTGAAAGCGACCAAGACGATCAGCTTGGACAGAACGCCATTCCTGTCCATGCATTCTGTTTGCCTGGAAGAGCAGATGAAGTTAGAAACACATGCTTCCCTATGGCAAAGGCGATCGATTTCTTCTCTTTGAGTTACGGTTCTTATCCCTTCTCCAGCTACAAGATATGTTTCGTGGATGAGATTGGCACCGATACGAACCCGGTCGCGTCGTTGTCGATCTGCAACAACCACCTTCTTTTCCCGGAGGAAATCCTTGATCCCATGTATGACTCTACGAGGACGTTGGTTCACGCCTTGGCATCACAGTGGATCGGCGTCAACATAGTCCCTAAGGAACCAGGGGACACGTGGGTGATTGTCGGCATCGCATATTATATCACGGATACGTTTATGAAAAAGCTTTGCGGTAATAATGAATACCGATTCCGACTGAAAAAGATGTCGGACAGGGTCTGTGACTTGGACTTTGAGCGTCCGTCCATATTCGACATGGGCAATATTTTGAAATTGGACCCATCAGAGATCGATTTCATCGCTTTGAAAGCACCCCTCGTCCTGTTTATCCTTGAAAGAAGGCTAACCAAGGCGAGTGGCAAACCGACCGTGTCTCGAATCATCTCAAGAATATTCCTCAATGCTCGAATGGGTGACCTGCCAAATGGGGCCGTCACAAGTGCCTTCTTCCAGAAAACTTGTGAGCGTTTCGGACATGCTAAGCTAGACACCTTCTTCCAGCAATGGGTGTATGGTGCTGGGTGCCCACGCTTCCAGGCAACGCAACGATTCAACAAGAAGAAGCTGGTGGTCGAGATGATGATCAAGCAAGTCCAGTCTGAACAGCCTACCAACCGGGACCTCGACAAATCCACGTTTATGCGCGACGTCAAGGAGGAGATCAGAGGTATCTATGCAGGGACAATACAGCCGGTGTTTTCTGGTTCGATGACCATTCGCATCCACGAGGCAGATGGCACACCTTACGAGCACATCGTTGAGATAAAGGAAGGCGTAACTAAGTTCGACATCCCATACAATACCAAATATAAACGGTTAAAAAGGAACAAGAGGCAAAAAGAGCGCGCAGCTGCTTCCACTGGGGATCCTAATTCTGAAGCGCAGGACGACGTGCTTTTGTACTGCCTTGGTGATGTTCTACAAACCGAAGAAGAGGTGCAAGACTGGAAGCTGGTGGATTGGAGCAAGGAGGATGAAGAACGTATGGGCCAGGAGTCGTACGAATGGATCCGTATGGATGCCGATTTCGAGTGGATTTGCAAGCTCTCACTCGTGATGCCGGGGTATATGTACCTGTCGCAATTGCAACAGGACAGGGACGTGGTCGCGCAACTGGAGTCCCTACAATACATGGCAGCCCAGCGACCACATCCCCTGATCTCCACGATATTTGTACGGACATTGATGGATCGAAGGTATTTCCATGGGATCCGCACGACAGCAGCAATGGCCTTGGTGAAGCACGCCAAGGAAGACATTGACTGGCTCGGCTTATATCACTTGGAGAGGGCCTTCCAGGAGCTGTTTTGTATCCCGGGATCGCCAATGACACGATCGAATGATTTTTCGGACCAGGCCAACTACAAGCTCCAGCTAGTAATCCCCGAAGCGATTTCCCAGGTTCGCGATAATTCGGGAAAGACGCCACTCAAAGTCAAGCGGTTTCTTTACGACAAACTGAAGTTCAACGACAACTCTAACAACGAGTTTTCCGATAATTTCTATGTCGCAACTTTAATGCAGTCATTATGTAATGCTCTGCTCGGAAAAGTTGAAAAGAGGGGGACTGACGATCCGTCAGTTCTCGATTTCGACATGGAACGCGAGCTAGAGAACCAGGCGGAAGAACAGATCGAAAAGGATTCCATTGCCGAAATTGACAGATACCGCAGGATGGACGAATGGTCCAGTTCGTTCCAGAATATTTACTCGAGGACTGCGCTGAAGTGCCAGCTCAAGTTCATGCAAGCTAAGCTTATTGAGCTCGACGTCATGCAGTTCCTCCAGTACACGCGAGCCGGTACCTACGATCGTCTTCGACTGGACGCTTTCGAGTGTCTACTAGATTTGGATGTTTTCCGAAGTCCAGAGTTGCTGAGATGGCTCATCTACACCATGTCTGCTGACCCATCGCCTTGGCTACGATGGCAGCTCCATCGTCTTTTCGGCAGAGCGCTTGCACCAGTTGCCTTTGGTGAAGGGCAGCAGAATGACACTCATCCGCAACAAGGTGACGGTCTTATTATCGAACAAGAGTCGTCAACGGAAGTCCGGCAGGCGGATCTAGCACGGCGACAAACTATAACAGGTGCCATTGATGCCCTGAAGCAGGAAATATCCGCGAATATCACGCTGAAGGAGTCACTCTGGGCCGCATGCAACTCCCCAGTTATCAGTGTCCTGGAGATGTCCGAGTTCCTCGACCTATGTAAGGTTCTGTACGACCCCGTCTATTCGAAGATGGTCTCATTGAAATTCCCCCGCTACTGGGGTGTACAACATCTTGGCAAGGTGAGCCGTTTCCCACTCTCTTCCCCAACCATTACTGCAAACCCGCCACTAACTTCCACGAAGGGTCAGCTACGTTTCTACAAGACGGCCAAGTACCGCACAAGGCCTCTATCCAAAGAACCTACCACCAGCCAGGGCAAACGCAAACGCGACGATCAAGGAATGCCTCCTCCAGCTCCCAGAATCACTTTCAAGTCATCGAAACTAGGATCAACATCCAGCCCAGCAAACCCACAACCTCCCATGAAAATCCACATCCCAGCTTTCGGTACACCTAAGTCTCAACCGCCAACACCTGGCGGAGGGGGCACAACGCCATCCACACCAGGCGGTGGGCCGCTAAAGCTGAAATTGAAACTCAATCAATAATCGCAAGAGATTACCCGCATGAATACCGTGCTGCTGATATCACTGGTATTCATTCCCCGTTCTATTGCATTTTCCTTTTTCGTTTTTTCATCAAAAATATATTTGGGGCATTCTATGTGCTATTTTTGATCGAAGTGTATTCTCATACCTGTTTGTTTCGTGAATTATGGGTGGGAAGGAAAGGGGGTCAACTTTGGCGTGCCTTGAAGGCGTGGAGTTTCTTTCCTTCTTGCTTTCTTTTGCCCCCTTCCTATGTTCGGATGAAGTCGTCAATTCGAGCATGAGGCGTACCTGCTTCCAGCGAAACCACTCGATTACAATGACATGCTAATCGAAGATATTACATGGCTATCAGAGGAAGGCAGACTCAATATAAAGTGAGATATAATCAAGTTTGCAAGTGCACTATTGTGACATCCGTAGTTGTATCTATGGAATAGTTGCTTTTTTCTTTTCCCTTAGTCGCGAATAACCGGCCCATGAACTCCCTGGTTATAGTAAACATGTAACCCCCGCCATACAAGGTATCGTCATTCTCAAATCAGTTCTGTATCTGAAATCTGGGTAGTCTGCTAGTTTGATCATTTGTCGCTTATCCGTTCGAGCGCCTGTATTGCAAATGTTAGCAATCAATCTCTTATCGCTATCCGGTAACAGGGATTACAAACCTCCAACATGACGACCGAGTTACCACGAATGACCTAAACTCATGATCAGCAACGATGAAAGAAAGTGATTCCTGGAGATATTTGTGCTCCTTACCACCATGCCGAGTCTCGCTTTCTCGCCGCCGCTCTTCTCTTCGACGGCCTCGTCAAGGACAATGTTCATGAAGACCTACGCAGCACGCAAGTCAGTCAATTATGTCTGAAGTGCACTCGGATAGCAGTAATCAAGTATGCCTGGGAGATATAAGCGGGGAAATGGGTCGTACATCGTAGCCACGGAGGATACCGATGACTTTGCGGTTGCCGTTCAGTTGAACGAACAACCGCTTTTCCATGTACTACAGACAACCAACTAGTCAGTTCACAGGCACTGGTATTGTATAGTAATTATCCAACGTACCTTCTTGAGTTCAGGCTGAGCTTGAGGCATCTTGTCAAGCCTGTGATGTTGTCTTCCTCTCCTGATGTCTCCGCGTTGTGAAGAAGCGGCCGTGACTTGCTTGGCGACCAAATGGGAGAGCTGCGCTGGAACAACAATGATCCGGCGCAGCTTCAAAAGCGCGGAAGAGCAACTGTTGCACTGCCTGGATACCGCAACACAGTCTCTGTTCCAGTTGTCTTTAGCCTGACAATAATGAGTTCTCTCTTCAAGAATCGTAACAAAGCGCGCAGGGTAGGTCCCGTTGAAGAAGATGAGGAAAACAGCACCGTACAAGGTGAGCTTCTCCGCCACTTAAGATGTCATCATGCTTGGTATGGGTAGGGTCGATCTAACCAATTCTCATACAGATGCAGAACCTGTCGTCAAGAGACCGGCGAAGTCAAAACAGAAGTCAAAGCTGCGTCTTTCTTTCGGTCCAGGTGAGACGTCTATGGCCGAAGATGAAGACCAAAGTGAAGTCGTAACGCCTAAACGACCCGGACTGGGAAGACGGGCCCTAGAGAAAAGCGCTCTCCAGCGTTCATGGTCTCCTTCCGGATCGTCGGACCATCTCCCAATTCGAGTCGGGCAAGATCAGGATCGCCCCGTTTACAATCAAGATTATCTCAAGGAATTGCGCGATTCCACCCCATCAACACCAAAACAGCAGAGTTCCGTACAGAGCGACGAGGAGCTAAACCAAGGCGTGGATGTAGCTGCTAAATTTGGAGAGGTGATGGAAATATCTAGGCCCACTTCTATTCCAAGCGAAGCAGAAATCCGGGAGAAAAAGGCTAGGAGGGCTCGGTTAGCGAGGGAGCAGGATTTCATTTCTCTGGATAAAGGCATTGAGGAAGAGGAGGACTATTTGTCTCTGGATCCTAAGAGGGAGAAAGAGGAAACTAGGCTTGTGCGTGACGATGAAGACTTCGCAGAAGGCTTCGACGAATACGTTGAGGATGGTAGAATCTCATTGGGAAAGAAGTCTGAACGGGAACAGCAACGAAGGAAACGCGCAGAGATGCGCGACCTGATCGAAGAGGCCGAGGATACGTCTGATGAGGACGATTCCGATGCTGAGCGCAAGGCCGCTTATGAAGCTGCGCAGAGGCAGGCGGCGATGGGGCACGACCGTGCTGATCATCCTGAGAGGCCGAAAACGCCTCCTAAGATCACATCACTGCCTCGTCTCTCAGATAGCCTGAGCCGCCTGCGTGCATCATTAGCCGCGATGGAAGTGTCAAAATCAGAACTAATCAACAGGATGGAGGAGTTACGGAAGGAAAAGGCGGATATAGCCACTCGCGAAGTGGAAATTCAAGCTTTGATCAAAGAAGCAGGGGATAACTATGAGAGACTCAGATCGGAGGCAGGTCTCAGTCCCAGTGCTGAAGGGGGTCTACCAGGTGACGATATCCAGAACTACCGCGGTCTCGAGAGTCTCGGGACATCGATGGCGACGCCTAATGCAGCTTCCCCAAGTGAGGCATCATCATAATACTGGACGGTCCTCAATCTCTCCGTTGGAAAGGCTATCACTCGGGCTGGAAATGGCACCTTCCTTCAGATACACATAGTCTTTCATTTGCCTCTTCAATCTCCTGCTCCTATTCTCCATGTATTATATTCATGTCCTTGACTATTCTCGTCTTCCTACGATATTATGATACCCAGTTAGAATATATATTACACTACAGATCTTCTCTGCAGCATGGGCCGCCAGCCATTTCTATCGTTCTTCCGGGAACCGTTACGTAGGATAGCACAAAAGCCATAGTAAGAACATTTGATCCTCTCTCTATCTTCTCACGTCACGTTCTACCGTTTCTGATGTTGTTCTAGCACGCAGCGCGATGTCATTCCCTGGTTCGAGAGTCCTATAGACGAAAAAGACGGGAATCCACCTCATCTCTATCGCCATTCAGATGCAACTCCGACAGAGCTCTTTTATGATTTAGCTTTAGTCGCAAACTTATCAACCTTTACCGCCACGCATGAGATAAACAATGTAGAAGGTATCATTTCTACCTGCTTCCAGGACGCTATTCGGTCTGACCTTACAAACAGCTCTCTGGGCTTACGTTGGCTTTCTTGGGGTGATATGGTTTACGTGGCTACAAGTGACTCTATTCGACATTCGGTTCGCACGCGACTCCGTATTCGAAAGGATATGCAAAGTTGTTCAGCTTGGGACAATGGTCGGCTTTGCCTCTGCCGGGTCCCGCTTCACCACAAGGATACGAGACGAAAATGTCTGGGCATTCAAAGCGCTCACTGTTCTTCTCGCCGTTAGTAGGCTGATGCTGGCAGTTCAGTATTCCATAAATCTGAGGTTCATGCGTAAGAAAATGAGGACTGCATTTAAGGGTATGGTCGTTATAATCGCGGTACTGTTGATTACAAGCGCCATCTATACTGGGGTGAGTCGAAAGATATATTACCTTATTTTGCGACAGGCATTTGCTGACTAGTTGAAGCTATACTTTGCTTTCGGCACTCCAAGAAGCAGTCGATCATACGTCTGGATCGTATGGTTCGCCTTATTTGCTGTTGAGATGGTCGTCATCATGGGAATCTCCGGCGAGACACCGGGCATAGGATTTGAGGATACGCATCTCAATGTGAGGATGGGGCTCCTGACATTGATCATTATCGGAGAAGGTGTGATCTCTGTCACTAGGATCGTTAACAAGACTGTTGGAGGAGGAGGCTGGACTAAATGGTCATTCGTCCATATCCTCGGTGTGACGACCACAGTTGTAAGTCTCTCGTCTTCTATATGATTCAGGGAGTCTAATTCTTTCTTCACAGTATCTCGTGTGGCAGTCATATTTTGATCTATCCCCGCGGATGAAGTATGGGAAGATCCGTCAACAGATATGGACTCAGCTGCATTTCCCTTTTCATATTGTTCTCATTCTTCTCCTCGAAGGGTCTCAAATCCTTGCTCTGACCCTAGACATCTCACTCAAATTGAGATACCTTGGAGAGACAATTTTGTTCGTGTGCGAGAGGCCTCGTCCTGACCCTGCCCGCGCAGTGAGGCTTCTGAATAGTACAATTGTGGACATGGAAATCGATTATTCTCGGGGGGCGTTGAAGGAAAAAGAATCAATAGATTCAATCATCAATGCGCTGGCAGACCAGCCTCTTTGCCCTTCAAGCCACTCTGCTCATTATTCTCTAACTCAAGATCGAGCCGAGAATCTAATGAGAAACGTGACTGCGGCCTTGTTTTCGAGTATGGGAATAGCTCCCTCGAAGGGAAATGACACGAGTCAGCTTGACAAGAACAAGTTCTTAATCATGTACCTTCAACTTCTCAGTTTTGTCTACGTGTACTTCTTTGTCGTGGCATCCCTAACCATGGCTTCCTTTTCGGTGTTCACCTTCCTCACGCGGCGTCATCATCGCAGGCTGTACAGATATCTAGCTGTCGGAACACGCATTGTCCTTGCGCTTCTTCTGGCTGGGTTAATCTTATTCGCGCTGGAATTCAAGCTTGCATACCATTTCATGACCAGCCCTATGATACTTTTCACTGTCACTCTGGTACTATTCACCGGTTCGTGCGACACTTGTCACTACGCCTCCAGTATACTGACTCTTTAGTTCTCTTACTCGATAGGCTTTTCGATTGGCTTTCCACCAGGGAGCAGACGCGACCAGGCCATATGGAAGGTAGTGAAAGCGGTTCGAAACCGATGCCATCCAATACAATACCTCTGCGGAATTTGTCATCTCACTCATCTCACATGTCTGTCGCTCATGGCCACCTTGTAAATAATCTGTCCGGAGAGCAGCATGTCACGTCGTTCCAATCACCAGATATGGTACCTGGTTCATCGCATTCAGTGTGACTTTAGAGATATTCGCCGTCTTCGCTACTCTGCTTGCGATAGAAGGGAATTAGTTAACTTTCCTTGGAGTTTCTTACTGTACGACAAGCTGGGCTAGGAGGGTTCGGAATCGGATGGACATTATTACGCTGGAGTAATGAGTTTTGGATTTGGCGTGTACGATACCACATTATACAGGAAAACATAGGAAACCATCTCCTAATCTGTAGTGTCGACGGCATTAAATATGGCTTGGATGAACATAAATCGGGTTCAGAGGAATTAGAAGTTAGGGACTGTTATGCTTTCATCAGTAATCGCCATCATGCTGTTGAGCTGGGATAACAAAGACATAACTGTATAAGTAGTAACTCAGTGTAGCCGCAATTAGAACAAGAATTGTTGATTACTGAACATCTTTACTGAGAATCTTGAGATAATTTATATTTATACCACCTGGAGACACATTATTTCAAAATCTTCAAAAGCCAATTAATAGAATTCATTATTTAAGGAAAATCTCAAAATGCCATCAAGTCTAATTTTCATCACCGGGGCAATTGGCTTTATTGGCAGTGTGACTACTCGTGAGGCAGTCAAAGCAGGATATCGTCTTAGGATCAGCGGCCGAAGATAAAGTCAGATCGAAAAACTGAAGAAGTTCTTGCCCGAGTATGTCGACCAGCTATAGTTCGTTTTGATGTCTGACTTCACACACGAATCTTCTTTTTCTGGGAAGCTCAATGGAGTATATTATGTCCTCCATATGGCCTCCCCTATTGCAGCGCCAGGTCCGGATGCTACCAATAAGGAGACATACTTCAAACCCGCAGCTAATGGCACAATCGCTATATTGAAGGCAGCAGCAAAAATCCCCAGCATCAATAAAGTCATTGTCACATCATCGATTCTTGCTTTGGTTCCTATGTCCGGTGTACCGAATGGAGAAACCCTTCACGATTTCTCAACTGCAATGAACATGTATCATCCTTCCAAGATCGTTGCTAACAATGCTTCTTGGAAATTCAAGAAAACAGCCTCTTCAGCATTGTTCCTCGTCACTATACATCATTCTTTTGTTTATTGACATAATCCGCTACAAATTACCACCGAAGAAGTCGCGAATGGTGCAGATGGATTATTATTCGGTACGATCATGACCGGAAACCCTGTCGTGAGTCTACTCTCAGTCCACATCTTAGACGTGGCAGAGGCACACATCAGAACCCTCGATGACAAGGTAGCCAATGGCTCGAAATATATTCTCACAGCTGGGAAACACACATGGATTGATGTTGTAGCCCTCCTGAAGAAATGATATCCCACTGTCGGGTTCGGCCTAACTCGAGATACACCCGGACATGCTTGGGACGTTGATACGACCAAGGCAGAAAGAGAGCTCGGAACTAAGTGGAGGTCCTTTGAGAAGCAGGTAACTGAGGTCATGGATCAGCAGTTGTCGTTTAGAAAGGCTTCGCAAATGAGATCAGTACATATACAACTGTGGAGACGGATCTGTAAATCTGCACAGAGTGTTTCTATACATTTGACTACTTATCTTCAAAGGGACTCTAGAACTTTAGAATTTCTTTCATTGAAAACGTTCGTAGTTGTAGTAACGCACTTCTCTAAGGCGCTAATACTTCTATATAGACATGCTAGAAGTAAAACAAGTTAAAGTTCCATGTTAATCTATAGACGCGGCTCAAAACCGGAGTAGTTTTTAAACGTCAAGTCACATCGCCGGGCCTTAATCTGCAGCGGAACTATGGATTTCCAAGTATGAGCTGTGGGATTCTCCGCTGCTGTAATGAAGGGCATAGACATATCTCTCTATGATCAAATTATTCTCAATGTAACGAAGCTATATCCGCGGGGTAAGCTCAGCGGGATGAAATATATTGCTACTGCTATATTTGGCATCACATGTGCTATCTACGGAATCGAGGTTCCCGCATGAGTTTCTCTAGCTTGATTATTATAAATCTCCGTTCAGACAGAATTTACGCCTCATCAACGCGGAATTTTGAATCCTACTCCCCATTAGCGCAAGGTCTCTCGTATAAACAACATGCCAATGGGCTGCTATATCTGCGGTACGCCTCGTGACCTAGCTCCAGTATCCAGTGCTTTGAATAGTTACACAGTCTCGGATGTTTCTGCAACATTTGCCACGCGGAAAGGGGGCCATAACCATTCTAGAGGCGGTTATCCCGGTCCTAGAAGGATTTCGGATGGTGGGTCTCTAGGTTTCAACAGCCGATGTCTTTCAGAGTATCATCCCTGACTTGATCCGGCCATTGGTTAGGGTGTTTTGCTTCCTGCATACGCGAAATCTCCGAGTCAAAGACAAGTGGTAGGCATTGTTTTCACGAATGGCCGTGGCGTTCTGCCCGTCGATGGAAGTGGAAAGGTTGCTGATGACGGCCAGAGACCCTGGAAGGGGCTAAATATCCTCGGCGACGTTGAATATATCGAGTCCTTGTAAAATCACGATTGGATGTAGACTTAGAAACTGACAGGGACACCATGGCTTGAACGAAGTCCAATGATGGTGTCCATACAGTTATTCCTCTCGACGGTCCTGGCGGTGGTTTGAAGTAGACTAATGTCGGTTTCAGCTGCTATGCCCCTGCAGACATGAAAGAAAGTCGATAATATCATGTTGCTCCCCTATTCTGCTGATCCCAATATCTCTTGTGGTTTCTCTTGGGTCACTTCTCCATTGCTAATGCACGAGGGACATCTTTCCGCTGCCCACCATCCTTGCTCAGCCTTACGGAAGCCTTCCCGGTGATATTACTCTCTTGTAATCCAGTGAGAGCCGTGCACTGTACTGTGGAGTACCATTAGGCAGTCTTCTCCCGTTGTTCCTGTGGGAACCTTGAGAGCGGTATCGGTCAGCAAGCGGAGAATTTCCGCTGTATGTAAATGATTCCTTACTTGCAGGACCCATTCACTATCATATCCCGATAGTATCCCCTCCAGATCCGGGCTCAGATGGATTCTGTAGCGCTTGTGGGAACGGTGAGCCAGCACTGCCTCAGGCTACATGGTTCCGACTCTCAGCTCGCCACAATTCTCAGGCAATCAACAGTGACACGGATAGACAGGCTGCACAGCCGTTTGATAATGGTCACTCCGAAAGTATATGATGAAGTTAGCTTCTATCTGCATATATAACGTTCGCCGCCTTTTGGCCAATGGGTGTCTCGTGTTCAGGGCGATTGGCGGTCACGACGTTCGTGCTCATCCAGGCCGCATCTTAGTGCCATAGGGCTGAGGATCTCCACTGAACTGTTCTCCTCGTATCAGCAATCAGCATGTCTGAGCTTGAGTCATAAATAAGGTCAATCGACAAAAGAGCGGAAACTGGGTGAAATTAGTCTAGAGGCTCAAACGTATGTACAGTACAACAACTATCTGCTCCAGTTTTCACCTCGAAGTATGGGAAAGCCAGCATGATGGGAACGAGGGAGCGGTGACAGAATTCGACGCGGATATCTCGCTAATCATGCAAAATACACACTATAACAATATTGCCAGCATTTAGCTCGTCGCTCTTGATTCTCTTTTTAATTGCTTTCGATGTTTAAATGTAGGAAATAGCTGCCTACTTCTGCGTTGGTCCGGTTTGGGTTAGCAGCACCAGAGACGAAAGCAAATACCTAAGTTGTCCAACCATCTTCCATCATTTCCTTCTTTCCACGAATTTGTAGTATCCGTTTTTTCAATTTTTCTTCGGCTATGATAACTTCCCCCTCTCTCAACTAAGTATACGCAGCTGCATCCGGTCGCTTCATTCTCGGGTAACACCTGGAAGTATACGTCGAGATTTTGAGATAGGTCCTCAGTCCAGACAATATCATGATGCAATGAGCTAGTGAACTTTGTATATGATATTTATTTATTGCGAAGTTAAAGAAAGCATGTTTGAGCCTACTTACATCCTTTTGCTTTCCCTCCCAGCTCTCATTCTCTCGCCGGCTATACGTTATATATTCTTGCAAGGAATCTCGTATCTCAATCCGTATGACCCCGACTACTATGTGCAAACATGCTATCATATCAGGAAACCATAATATAAGAGACAGAATGGAAACCTACTGTTCGTCTCGCATTACTTGTGCCATCCATATCCCTTCTTTTGGTCTTCTATCCCTCCGTATCACATTACCAGAGCAGGCCCTGATCTTATGGCCACCCCCATAGTCTAGCCGAAAGTTCCGTTTTGGACTATTGAATCGGGAATGGCCCCTCTAGAATCTTTCCTAATATATTAAACACTAGTTGGAAGTTATATCTAAACAAAAGCTTCCTAGCTCCCCTTGTCTTTCCAAGAATACTCTGTTTAAAGTGCCCTTATAGAAGAAGGTTCTTGGATTATTTAAGAAGCGATTTGAATCGGTAGGTTTTTCTACATATGGTTATTTAACCCCTATCTATCAGGAATATATCAAGTAATTTTGTAGCTGTCCTCTAGATAAATTGACAAAATACCCCTTACATCTAGGTCTACTTAGTCATCGAATATCTAATAGTTATATATTTGCTTGAAGGAGAAAGCTATTCTGAATCGAAATAATAAGAATAGAAGTGTTTCCTGTATCTATATCAACAATCTATCGACTGGAATCATTTATTTTTAACCTTATAGCCTTCCTTTTCAAGTGGAAAGATATGGGCTGCCTTCTAGATTATCTATTGATATAGATCGACACGGTAGTTAATAACCCAAAGATAACAGCCCGTATACTCTTTTCAAATTCTGTCTCGCGGTCCCTGATATATATAAAGGGATATAGCGTCTAAGCTAATATTGAGTTCGTTGGAAACAAACACCTATTCAGAATGGTCCCGCCCAGCTACTACTAGTAGAGAATTCTTTTACAGCATGATGTCGATACTTGCCCCTCCGTTCATTGTGACGGATATTAGTGATTTGGCTGGCTACAAGCTATAAACTGTCCTAAAAACTTATCATTTCCCTTTGGGACTTGATCATCGGAGAGCTCCATGGCGTCCTGCATTTCATTCCTTGAATTTTGTCGCTTTCGTCTCCATTATTGCTGCCTCCTCATCCTTAGATACATTTTCTGAAGAATCAGACATTGGCTCTTAGTCGTCGTCTTCTTGCCGACTGCAATATGTGTATCTAGCGTACGAATAAAAGGCAAGTATTGGCACACATCTACCTACAGGCAACAATCTCTACGCATTAGTAGGCGGGGATGCATCTACAGGCTAAATGGGCATAGAATCTCTCTCGTTTCTCTGACCGGTCCTTAACATGATGCCTATCCGACATGCACGGGGAAATAAACGGTGAGAATCGATCAGTTTAGACCGCTCGGGCAAGACCCATGTAAGCACCATGATGTAAAGCATGTCAGCATAGCAGCATGTAACTAGGGGCGCGTTCTGCGCATTCTAGCATGACAAAGTTGATTTAGGTTGGGTTTCGCTGCAGGACCCAAGCGTTTGGTTCTGAATATCCCTTCTACTGCTGACATGGTTACCGCTGTTAGTTATCCAAGTCATCTTTCGGGGATATGGCTTCTGACCCAACAACTTCAACAACCATGGGTATCCGACGATCTGGACCGACCCGCGTTATGCGCGGTGGCATCATCTTGTTAGGCGGAGTGTCGGCTGTCAATTTAAGAGTATAGAATCTGCTATCTCCTCGAATAATCAATGGGAGACGTATGTCCGGGGTATCCCGGGTGAGATTATAAGTATCCGGGTTTGTATGTGGCAGTCCTACCTTTTCCCTGGAACTCAAGAATGTAACCCTCGATGCAGGAGCTTTGAGGGAAGACATGGCATGGAATCAATTACCAAATTGTCGGTTAGTGCGTGACGAGAACTGGCGATGCTGCGTCGCATGAGACTATCTACACATAATCTCACCAGGACCATGGTATGGGGTATTGCATGCCTCTTGCTGTCCGGGGTCCCGGTGTCGAAGATGCAAGGTTATGTAAGAACCTACAGCAGTCCAACAGGCTAAGAGGTGTATTTGGAATAATGCATTATTTTGGAATTCCAACGCGGGGGTGGCATAAACTACGATCTCCCCGTGAGGGGTAAGAAAATAGTAGTCAGAATAAGGACGCTGGAGGTAGCTGCAGGCAGGACCGGTATTTTATTTCGTAATCACAGAATTTAGGACGCTTCCTTTGTCTCCTATACAAAATCATCGGGTGAGTTGCTGGTTGATAATTGACACTCATTCCCTGACGCATTTGGTTGGCCCTTCTAGATACTCTTCTTATCCATGGATGGCCATATACACGTCTAACTAACTAGTCTGAT